CTCTGCGCGTGTCACTGCGCGTGTCTCTGCGCGTGTCTCTGCGCGTGTCTCTGCGCGTGTCTCTGCGCGTGTCTCTGCGCGTGTCTCTGCGCGTGTCTCTGCGCGTGTCTCTGCGCGTGTCTCTGCGCGTGTCTCTGCGCGTGTCTCTGCGCGTGTCTCTGCGCGTGTCTCTGCGCGTGTCTCTGCGCGTGTCTCTGCGCGTGTCTCTGCGCGTGTCTCTGCGCGTGTCTCTGCGCGGGTCTCTGCGCGTGTCTCTGCGCGTGTCTCTGCGCGTGTCTCTGCGCGTGTCTCTGCGCGTGTCTCTGCGCGTGTCTCTGCGCGTGTCTCTGCGCGTGTCTCTGCGCGTGTCTCTGCGCGTGTCTCTGCGCGTGTCTCTGCGTGTCTCTGCGTGTCTCTGCGTGTCTCTGCGTGTCTCTGCGTGTCTCTGCGTGTCTCTGCGTGTCTCTGCGTGTCTCTGCGTGTCTCTGCGTGTCTCTGCGTGTCTCTGCGTGTCTCTGCGGGTCTCTGCGTGTCTCTGCGTGTCTCTGCGTGTCTCTGCGTGTCTCTGCGTGTCTCTGCGTGTCTCTGCGTGTCTCTGCGTGTCTCTGCGTGTCTCTGCGTGTCTCTGCGTGTCTCTGCGTGTCTCTGCGTGTCTCTGCGTGTGTCTGCGTGTGTCTGCGTGTGTCTGCGTGTGTCTGCAAGTCTGCGTGTCTGCGTGTCTGCGTGTCTGCGTGTCTGAGTGTCTGTGTGTCTGTGTGTCTGTGTGTCTGTGTGTCTGTGTGTCTGTGTGTCTGTGTGTCTGTGTGTCTGTGTGTCTGTGTGTCGGTGTGTCTGTCTGTCTGTCTGTCTGTCTGTCTGTCTGTCTGTCTGTCTGTCTGTCTGTCTGTCTGTCTGTCTGTCTGTCTGTCTGTCTGTCTGTCTGTCTGTCTGTCTGTCTGTCTGTCTGTCTGTCTGTCTGTCTGTCTGTCTGTCTGTCTGTCTGTCTGTTTGAGTATGTAATTCCCCAAGCAGTGTGAGGTTCTAAGTTCATTTAAAGTGACTCGTCTATTGCCAAGCCATAGCCTGGATGTCTCCCAGCCTGGCTTCCTGGCACGGCTCTCCTTTGTCTCCCTTCATTTGTGCCCCGTTGTCTCCCAGCTGGTTTCCTGGGTGGACAGGTTCATTTGTTTCCCTTTGTCTCCCTGACGGGTTCATTTGTTTCCCTTTGTCTCCCTGGCGCGGGTTTCTGGGTGGACGGGTTCATGTGTCTCTCTTTGTCTCCCTTCATTTGTCTCCCGTTCTTTCCTAGCCTGGATGCCTGGCGCAACTCTCTGGAAGGACAGGTTCATTTGTCTCGCTCTGGCTGGACAAATTCACCTCCCTTTGTCTCCCTTCATTTGTCTCCCGTTGTCTCCCAGCCTGGATGCCTGGCATGCCTTCATTTGCCTCCCGCCTGGCGCAGCTCTCTGGCGCAGCTCTCTGGGTGGACGGGTTCAATGTCTCCCTTTCTTCAGAAACAACGCATTGATTTGTTTTGCATTGTCTGCGGATTCATTTGTCTCCAATTGTCTCCCATTTATCTCTTGTTGTTTCCCAGCCCGGATGCCTCTGCCTTTGTCTCCCTTCTGGGTGGACGGATTGTCTCCAGCTCTACGCGGCAGGCTGGGAGACAATGAGAGACAGCGTCTCCTGGTCTGATGGTGGACATTTCCCGTTACTTGCTCCCTCTCTCCTTCCCTCCCCTCCTTCCTTACCTCCCTCTCTCTTCCCTCCCTTCCTCCTCCTCCCCTCCTCTCCCGGCCCTCCCCTCCCCCCTCCCCTCCCCTCCCCTCCCCTCCCCTCCCCTCCCCTCCCCCTCCCCTCCCTCCCCCTCCCCTCCCCTCCCCTCCCTCTCCCCTCCCCCTCCCCTCCCCTCCCTCTCCCCTCCCCTCCCCTCCTCCCTCCCCTCCTGCCTCCTCCCTCCCTCCCCTCCCTCCCTCCCCTCCCCCTCCTCCCCTCCCTCCCTCCCTCCCTCCCTCCCCTCCCCTCCCTCCCTCCCTCCCTCCCCTCCTCCCCTCCCCTCCCCTCCTCCCTCCCCTCCCCTCCCCCTCCCCCTCCCCTCCCCCTCCTCCCTCCCTCCCTCCCCTCCCCTCCCTCCCCTCCTCCCCTCCCCCTCCCCTCCCCTCCCCTCCCTCCTCCCCTCCCCTCCCTCCCTCCCTCCCCTCCCCCTCCCCTTCTTTCAGTCTCTCGCTCTCGCTTTCTGTATCCCTCCTCTCTTCCTGTGCTGAGCTGACTGTGACAGTTTTGGCTGCATTCATCAACATTTGACCATGTCTCTGGATTTCTTTGCCGCCTTGCCTGCCATTCGTGTCAGCAAACTGAATCTGCAATCGTGAGGGATCCTGCAGTTGCTTTGCCCAAACTGCCCACCGACTGTTGACAGGGTTGACGCGAGCGGATCAGTGCCATGGCTTCTGTGCAGGGCATCATGGACTCTATCAATTCAGTGTGCCGAAGCAAAGGCGGCCACTACGGCGGCTACCGCTGCCAGGCCCTTCCAAAGCACTGGAGCAATTGCAAATGGGAATGTGTCAACCGGGATTTCTCGAGCTGATTTGTGTTCTGGTCGCTTTGATTTAGGCACAATTGTTTACTTGGTTTGAAGGCTGGGCCGTTCTTTGGGCAGCCCTTGCCGGGCTGCAAAGATGTGCGGTTGGGTCTTGGTGGAAGGACATTTGAGTAGGGGGAGGGACTGCCATACTTCCAACAGCTTTGGCAATGTCTTGCACGGAGGTGGTTTCTTGGGATGATGTCAGCCGCGGCACAGTGGGCGGGACTCTTTCTTGCTGGGGCTCCAACATCACCGACACCTATTTGAAGAGCAAGATACTTGGCTCGACGAGCAGTTTTCGCTGATTTGTCGTTTGGATGCATGGTTCTTGCAAGCTTTTTCCTGGGCATTGTAGCTTCGCAAGACGCGGGCAGAAGGCATTTGCTTCGTGTATATTGAAACTGTGGGCTTTTCCTATTATCCCATCCCTCTGCGTTACATGAAGTGGCTCATGCCACAAACTGCGCTTGCCTGGCGTCAGGAGCGGTGCCAGCCTCTTCACGGTTCGCAGTGACAACTGGAATGAGAAGCTGGGGGTTGTGAGGGCGGAAGATGTGGCCGTGGTTGCAGGCAGCGGAGGCGGGCCTTTGCAGCCAGTCACTCTGCGCACGGTTCTCCAGCAGTTGGGGCAGTTCGGCAGCTATGCTGGGTTGGACAGCAGTGCTGACCTCTCGAACCCTGAGCTGGATGCCAAGTGCTCCATCCGTTTCCAGACCACCTTCATTCCTGTGGACGGCCCCGACGGTTGCGGCAAGCTCGAGTTTGCAACAGAGGCGTACAACTACAACACCATGGATGATGCCGACCCACGCAACCTGGTGCTGCTGTGCACCAGCCAGGGCATGGCAGTGCAGCAGGATGGCCGCGGGACCAAGAAGCTCTTCCACCACGCAGTGGACGACAGTGGCGTCATCCACCGCTACTGGCTGGAGGCAGAGGAGAGCAGACACCATGTTGGAGGAGAGCAAAGGGAGACTGCAGAGGAGCGGGCTGTTGCACTGGCGCGCGGCAAGGCCACTTCGAGCGTCATAGGTACACGTGCCATGGGCCAGCGCTTCAATGTGCTCATGACCATTCAGGTGCCCCTGCAGCAAAGCCGCCGCCCACCCCAGAGGAAGTGCTGGGGAGGCTTGATGCAGCCACTAATTGGACTCACCTCAGGCTCAGGTCAAGTTGCTATGGAAGCATGTTCAGCTTCTGATCTTGACTGGGAGTTGCTTGAGGATGAAGAAGACACCTTCTGCGTATCAGAACGGGATCGGGATTGCTGCAGACAGTCTAGACGGAAGGTACCCGGCCACAGCAGCGCTGCTCGCGTCTCTCGTGGTTCTGAGCACGACACCTGGTCCGGGCTCACGGCGAAGTCGGCCAAGCGCAACCCCTCCGAGCACGTGACCATCACGGTGGTGATCTATAACGCAGTGCCCCAGTAAACATGTGGCACACTGTTGCATGCATTTGTGTAGCAGATCCAGCGGAGATAGATGGCGCGTAGAGAAGACAGGAGCACACACACACACATAGACGTAGTGCATACCTGTTGCATCTAGTTGCAGCTTGCGAATGCCAAGGTCAAGGGAGGGGTACCGAGCGCTGGCGACGTGATGGCGGCCATTGATGATTTGGAGTCGCTCTACCGGGCCTGCGCAGAGACGGGCAAGTTGGCGGACAGCACCTTTGACTTTATGAAGGAGCCTTTGAAGGTGGACGACATGATGGACATCTCGGCCAAGTTGGCTTTCCAGCCACCTTCAGTTGCGGTGGTTGGATTTGACACATTCCCAACAGCCTGAAGCAATCGTTGCCTTTCATGATACCGCAGATACCGGCAGATACCTTGAGCCGAATTGTGCTGGTCTCCAGTGCAACCGTTTTTGGCCAAGCTACGAGCATCAGCCTTGTGCAGGATGGCTTTGACGGCTTTTTGGCTTGGCAAATTTACGAAATGGTCACGAGCCTTGTACAGTGAGGCGGAGGACTTGCCAAAAGCGCCCTTGAGCGAATCCTGGCCGTTCGAGTGTTTTCCAAGAAAATTCTGCTGAGCCTATCCTGTATTCCGTGCAGCTTTGTGTTGCTGGGAGCTGGGGTGGGACAGCGGGACCAGTCCAGCTATGTCGCGGCCTGGCCGCATTTGGCTGTATTGACTCGGTTTGGCAGGGCTATGCTGAGCGATTCAATGCTATGTCGGAAGATTCGGGTGTAGGGTGGCAAAGCATGCATGGCTCCCTTGCAAAGGCGCATAAACACCGTCATGTCAGGGATGGCTGGAGCCCAAGTTTGGTGCTCTCAGTGACAGAGAATTGCCCGAAGTCATTGCTTGCTGGTGCAAGAGCCCAGGACAAGAATACTGGGATGCAGGAACCCGGCATTTGGGGTGATCTCAGGCCGGGCTTATGCTTGGATTTGTGCCTGAAGAGCGAGAGAGAGAGAGAGAGAGAGAGAGAGAGAGAGAGAAAAAGAGAGAGAGCATCATAAACTCATGTCTGCCAGGTCAACAGCTTTGATTACCTGGTTAGTTGTAGTAAGAGATCAAACCCGCTGGTTGGCCTTTTAGGCCATCATATCGGTCACTGTAATGACCATCTCATCCACGCGAGGAGTCATGACATGGCCAAATGTGAGCTTGAAATTGGAGGGGTATTTATGTTTTATTTTTTCCCCCCCCCCCCCGCTTTTGGCTTCTTGGCTTCTTGGCTTCTTGGCTTCTTGGCTTCTTGGCTTCTTGGCTTTTTGGCTTCTGGGCTTCTTTGCTTCTTGGCTTTTCGGCTTCTTGGCTTCTGGGCTTCTGGGCTTTTCGGCTTTTTGCGCTTTTTGGCTTTTCGCATCCTCTGCATTCCCAGTTCCTCTTCGGCAGGTGGCGTTTTGGCTTTTGCGGCTTTTTCGCTGGTTTATGCGGCTTTTGGCGGCTTTGGCTTTTCGCATCCTCTGCTTTCACAGTTCCTCTCTGGGCACCCTTTCATTGGTTTTTGGATTTGGCTTCCCGCATCATCAGCATCACCAGTTCCGCCCTATTTGAATCATCACTTCTTCGAACATCATGGGGGGGAAGGCCCCCCCCAACCCACCCACTACTGTTTAGATTGTTTGCATAGTAATTGCACCCCTATTTGAATCAACGCTTCTTCAAACATCATGGGGGGGGCTGCCCCCCTACTTGAATCATCACTTCTTCCGACATCATGGGGGGGGCGGCAGGCCCCCCCCCCCCAACCCCCCGCTACTTGTTAGTGACTTTTTACAGGGACTGAAATGCCCTCCTATTTGAATCATCATTTTTTTGACCCCATCAACCCGCCAGCTACTTTATCGATTTTGTTACCCACGATTTGTTGGTGATGCTAGGGATGTTGGTCGGACATGCGAGGGATGTTGAATACGATGCTGGGGATGTTGACGGGCTAGTGTAAAATGCGTCAATTTCGCGAGAAAATGCTGTAAGATACGACATTTTACTGGCCCGGACGGAAACAAAATCCAAAAACAAAAAAAACAAAAAAATCCGCACCCCTTGAAATTTGCGGAAGGGCTTCTCAACAGCTTTTGTCAACAGCTTTTGTCAAGAGCTTTTGTCAAGAGCTTTTGTCGAGAGCTTTTGTCAAGAGCTGCACACGAGCACTTGGCATCTTGCTTGCAGGCATCAAGGGTCCGCAGCTGAGCTTTCTTTCTCCACACACACACACACACACTTGCCAACCGTGTTGGCGATTGTTTGCGTGCAAGAGTGCATTCCAAGGCATTCGCGATCTATTTGGGGCATGGCATCTACCGACACGACTGTGACAGACAAGCCCATGTGGCTGTGACCTCAGCGTTCGCTTGTTTTTCCACCAGGATTCCAGACAACGTCAGGGTGCAAACAGAGAGCACACTTCCGCACTTTGGGCTGTCAGGATGGGTACGGGCAATGGCGAGAATGTCACGGCAAATGGGCAGGCTGCTTGCAACAGTCGCGGGGAGTGGAATCAAAGTCTTCGTGTCCTCATTGGCAATCGTTTGCTGGATCGGGTGCAACCCTTTGAACGAAGACCCTTGGTTACAAGCAATTTCTCAGCCTCACATTGGAGCAGCACCTTGCCTTTGATCAACAAACATGATCCGATTTTGTGGAATTGTGGCAGCTTCCCGCCTTGGCAGGAAAAGCCCAAGTATCCCTTCTTCAACTGCGACTGAGGGCAGATACAGAGGGCTGTTCAAGTGGTTGTATGATCTTCCAGAATGTCGAGCTTCTGGCTCTTGTACATACATTGGAAAGCAGGAGGCTACGCTTGAAGCGCTATGAATCATCTCTGGGCGTGACTCTTGCCTAAAAGATGCTCCTGACAGAGCGTACAGCAAGGCGGAAGGGTTTGAAGAGCAATTAGCCGCTTGTGCAGAGCAGCATCATACTCGCAGCAGCTGGATTCAGCGAATTCATTTTGTGAGACATGTTGCCAATGCTTGCAATTATTCTATACAGCTAGAGTTCATTATCTATGCCAACATAACATGTTCCTCGTTTTCCTTTTGCGTGGATCATGGCATTGCTCTTTTCCCAGTCCACGCCGTCCACGCAATTTTTTTGATGGGTCATAGCAAACAGAGCTGAAGATTCCAAGTGCGGCCATGGCCAGCTCCATTCCGGCACGGCCAGTCAAGGCGAGCGAGAGCTGTTGCGAGTCTTTCGAGGATTTTGCAGGTTGAGGGAGTCCTTTTAATGATTTGAAGGAACGCTAGCTCTCTCTTTTTGCGAACTTGTCTCCGCTGGGTGCTTTGACTCTCAATGGGTGTTTTGCCGAACATCCCATGTGCAATGCCACATCTTCAGGCCATGGAAATGCAAATGCCCGTGGAGTTTCGCAGCTCAAGTAAGAGACACTTCAGCTGTGAGCATGTCTGTGTGCGTGTGTGCGGTGTGTGTGTGTGTGTGTGTGTGTGTGTGTGTGTGTGTGTGTGTGTGTGTGTGTGTGTGTGTGTGTGTGTGTGTGTGCGTGTGTGTGTGTGAGAATTGACCTATGCGGTTGCTATGGGCGGACTTCAGTCAGAGCTGCCTGGCTGAGGCGCCGGCACGAGCCTGGCAAGCCCTTGTGGTGCAATTGCGACAGCTGCGGAGTCTTTGCAAGATTAGATTGAGCGCTTTCAGGGCTCTAGGGGTGTTAAAGAGACGCATGGAGTCCACGGTTCCTTTCTTGCCCAACGAACATGCTCGCATGTTCATGTTTCATGGGCCTTTGAAACGGCTTTGATTGGGTGCGACTGTTTCAAGTCTTTCTGCCATTGTCTGCCTGGATTGCACGATGTCTTCAACTTAGGTATTGTTTGCCTTTGCATAGCGCCGCTTGGGTGGCAACATGTCTGGTCTTGTGAGCGTGCAGAATCACTGCGCCAATGCTTGAAAGGTATGGGCTGCTCACGGACTGGGCCTAAGAGAAGCCCAAGCTGCCCAAAATTGAGTCATGGGACGTCCATATTGAAAGCTGATCAGTCTTGGTCCAGTTGCACTGCTTCAACTGCTTCAGGCTTCATGAGTAACTGCTCACTCAGCGAGCGCTAAGGGCTCGAACGTTGTGGTGCTCAGACTTGGGCGCTGGCCCTTTGGCGACGCTTACCACACTGCCTTTACTCTAGGCGCTCATCAACATTTATTGTTTGGGATGTTGACAGAACTTATGCACACATGCAATAAGTTGACAGGCTACGAAGCACTTTTCGTCCTCAGCATTTGGTCTCACCTAGCTGCTTGGCTGCAGAAACCTTCAGGTGCAGCATGCAAGCAAATTGGCATCACCCTGGCCTCTACTGCATTCGTCACAGACATCTGCTCAGGGGCGCTTGTGCAGCAAGACATCTGCATACACAAGTCTTTCTTGGATTTGGCCGCATGGTGCTGCTTGTCAACTGACAGCGCACGTAGAGCCCTTTGTATGACATTGCCAGAGAGAAAACATCCCGGTCCACAGAAAGGAGCAGTCAGACAATTTGTATCCTGGAGGAAGGGGCAGTTAGCAAGTTAGTGCGAAGCAGGAGGAAAGGGCAGATAGCAAGGTAGTGGTACTGCTACTCTGGCTCCTACGATTACAGCGACTACTACTGCCACTACTCTGCTGCTACGACTACTACGAGTACTACGACTACTAGCACTACGACAACTACAACTACTACGACTACTACGACTACTACGACTACTACAACTACTACCACTACCAATACCACTGTGTAACACTACTACTACCACCACTACTACTACTACTACTACTACTACTACTACTACTACTACTACTACTACTACTACTAGTGCTACCACTACTGCTGCTGCTGCTGCTACTACCACTTCTACTACTACAGCTACTTCTACTTCTACGACTAGGACTACTATCATTCTGTGACTATTGCTAGCACTAGTACTACCACAATTACTATTACTTTTATTATTACTATTACTACTACCATTACTATTACCATTGCTATTACTATCAGTATTGCGGTTGCTATTGCTATCGCTATTGCTATTGCTATTGCTATTACCATTGCTACTGCTATTGCTATGCCTTTTACTAGTACCAATGCTAATACTTTCACAGTTACTATTTCTATTACTATTACTCCTCCTCCTACTACCGCTGCTACTGCTGAGTTTAGCTTTTTCGAACCTGACCTTTTTGTCAGCCAAGAAAGGCCCCACGATTCTCAGTATTCTGATGGCGCTCTTGGGGCGCCATAAATGATGGTCTTAGCCGTTTCACCTTCTATTTTACGGGCTGTATGCCTATCGTGTTTCGTTTCATTGGCTCCTGCAAGCTCTACCTCTTTACGCAGGCAGCTCCACTTGGATCCCGAGGCTTGCATGCTCACAGATCCTGGCGCTTGCCCGCGCGATGTGGAGTATGCGGAAGGTGAGAGACACTGCACCAAGCACGGCACTGAGAGCATCCCACAGCATAGCCAGAGTCTCTGCTTCGGTAGGATACCCTGTTCTAGAGGTGTTGAAAGAAAGCCAAACCATTTGCATGGGCCAAACTGTTGTTGTGACACTCGCGTTGGGGTGGATCCTACGTCCGGGAAGGGTGCCATTGTTTGAGAGTTTGCTCACTCGAGAGGTGCAGGGCTCCGAAGCCTGCTCGGGCTCACCACTGTACCTTGGATCGTAAGACTCATGTCGCCGTGGCCAGAAAGGCAATCATATGACTTGCTGTTTGGCTGGTTGGTTGGTTGAATTGGCGCCCTTGGCTCACGATGCCATTTAATGGTTTTGACGTTCTTCGCTGAAGATGTGCTGGCTGTACTGCATTTGCCTCTGGCTCATGGACCTGCTGTCAGGTAGCACCTGCCAGCGCTGCATAATGCTACTTGGCTTGCATCCGTCGGTCCGTTGCCCAAACACATTTTTGCTGGACTGGGCAGGGCCAAGCTTAGCTCAGGGCGCTTGCAACACTCTGCCAAGGAAGATGGATCACCACTGTCCCTGGGTGTCGGGGTCTCAGACCTTTTGTTGAACTGATGATACTAAATGTAGGCTTTGCTTGCATGCTTGCTTTGCTTTGCTTGCTGGCGGGCTGGCTTGCTTGCTTGATTGCCCACTCTTGTTCCTGCCAGGAATAACTGCGTCGGGGCCAGAAATCAGATTCTCAGCTGAACGTTGCACCGTTGGCATGATGTGTGTTTTGAAAGTGCTAGAGGATGGGCGGGACGGAATTTTAATGGGGAACCCCCTGAAAGTGGTTGGTGGACATAAATCCCCACCGAAATGATGTCCACCACGGGGTCCCTAATTAAGATTCATACCCATATGGCACCACCATTCCTGTCCAATGCCAAGAAGTTGGCTGACCTCAGGAAACACTTCCTGCAGTTTCTTTTCTATACTGCTATGCAGTGTGTGCTTGCTGGCTTTGCCCTGGGTGCTCACTTTGTGGCTTGGCTCGCAGGCAATTCACAATTTCGAGTTTGATGGTTGGCATTTCTCCATTGTCCTTGTTGTCTTTGTTTGATTCTCACCAAGGCAGACTCAGCGGTATCGCTTCCTCGCAGACCTCGCAGACCCCAGGCTTTCCTTGGGAAGGAGGACTGGCTGCAGCGGGCGCGAGGGGCAGGTTCGGAGAGCCGACCGAACTTGGAGGACACTGCTGAAATGGTGGCCTGGCGCGAAGAGTTGAAGAAATACTCGGAGCACCAGGCGCCACTCACCAGCTGGCAGCACGAAGCATTTGGCCGATGCAGGTTCGGAATGAAGCAGATCTGCTATGCTGCGCTTGGGGCTCAGATTTTGTCCCTTTTTCCAAAGGGCAAGTTGAACGCAACAGCAGCAAGGTGATGGTCTTTTTCGTGGCCATCATCTTTGGACTTTTCACCTGCATCATGTTCTGTGACCAGGCTGATCCAAAAGAGCTAAGCTCATGGCAGATTTGAGCCTCTTTGGCTGCGAGTCTTGTGGTATCCTCACTGCATAGCTGTACTGGCGACATGAGACTTGTTGCATGAGCAGGCGTCAAACATCGCCAACAACACCACAGGCCCGTGCTTGCAATGGAGACAACTTGTAGATTGCGGTTTTGGCTTCTATCCCAATCGACATAGTCTAAGGCCAAGCCGTAATTTGAGTGGGTTCAACATCAAACTGTGCCGATATTCTAAATTGAACCTTGAAGTAGGAAGGATACATTCAGATTATGTACAATGATGGACAGTGGAACACATAGTTCCAATCAATGAAACACATGCTGGTTGTTGCAGAATCTTACAGTGCTCAGGGCGTCGACCCCTCTTCGGTTGTTTGCGCAAGAGGACAATGCAGACATTTTTCGGGAGCGCAAGGCATCGATGTCATGAAGGGCAAGGAACGAGAGCCAGCTCGGCCTTGGAGGGAGTCAGTGCAGGACCGTCGGGCAGTTGGACCTTGCGATGCTGAGTGGCCGTGTGTCAAACCCGTCCAACCGCCAAAGTGAATATGTCCAACACATTTTTGTGGATTTTTGCACGGTCCAATGAGTCCCATGGGTCATGGGTCTTGGCTGAGCTTTGCGAGGAAGTCATGGGCCGCGGTCCATCTTGGCGATGGCTGTTGCCAACCCCGTTGCGACAAACGCGACTTGGATGCAAATTGGGTAGCTATGAGACCCTGTCAACCACATATTCTTCACTTGAAGAGGAACACACATACACGCACGCACGCACATGTAGGAGAGCGTTAGCTATTCTCATAGGCGTGTGGATTCGTGTCACACATGAACTGACAGGCCCGGATTCTCAGCTGGACTCACAGACGATAGCGGATCTGAGGCAAGAAGAGTGAGTGGCCATGAGGAATGCGAAGAAAACAGTGCTGCTCGACGGCTCCGTGACTGTCGTTTTCATGAGAGCATATGGGTATGGGTCAAAATAAACCCTGCAGGTTTTAGTCTTTGCTTCCATTTATCAGGGTTCCATTTTTGGGACGCATTTTTGACCCACAGCCAAATTGAGAGTCTGAGACTCGCCAGGCTTGGAACTAGAGCAAATCACAATCTGCGTGTAGGGCTCCTGCCTGTCCTGTTGGGATGTCATCATTACGGAATGCATGGAGAGAGCAGTGCTTGCAACTTCTACCTTCCCTGCACGGATTCAGCTGCGCGACATCTTCACAAAGTGGAGGATGAGCTGACGTTAGCATTGATTGACTGATCCATGGCATATTTTTCCGAGTGCAGACTACGCAGACCAGCCAACGTACAACGATTTCAGAAAGGACCCGCTTTCCCACCTTCTCTGAACCTTCGTTAGCTTCCAACATGCGCTGGGCTGTCGTGGTCGCAGTCACAGCTGCTATTCTGCAGGCGCGCTGTACAGATGGGCCTCTCAGAGCTATGTAAGCCAGATGGAGCTGCCACAACTTTGCAACTGCATGTGGCGCAGGTTCAAGTCTCCAATGCCGCTCGGTCACACTCAGTGCGCGGTCTCTGGAGCGATGCAGACGCATTCACTCGTTGCCATAGCACCCTATTTCGACTCGACGATCGAAATGTGATCTTGCCATGCAGGCACAATCTATGGGCCTGGTGTGGGCCCCTCAGAAGCCCCTCACGGAAGTCATGTAAAGTTGTCAGCTTTGTTCAGTTTACATCGATGTGGCTTCTTGACGTTCTACTCAGCAGCATTTTTCGTGCAGGCCTGTTGAGCCCGAGGGAGTACCGGAGGACTTTGAGCTACCGCGAATGCAATGAGCCAGCACTCAGTTTGATGGAGCCAGCATTGTATGTCATATGCCAAAGAGGCATTGACACGTGCCAACGATTCAGCGATGAATTTGATATTCTTGACTTGAGATACACACCAAGTTAATCACCAGGAGCAGCCAAGTGGAGACCCTGGCAAGAAGGACCCCATGAGCGAGTTGTTGCACTGGGCTCGCAGCCTAGCCGGCTTGTGCTGCTTGCACGTTCTGACAAGCCATGGCATTGACCCAAGCGCTTTTGTGAGTCTTGGCCATGCTCGCTTCCCCATTTCTCATTTCTTGCATTGGGGCGCAAGGCCATTGAGAACAGCGATCCGGAAACCCTCAAGAGCCTGATGGAGAAGTACAAGGCAAGGGGCAAAAGCTACTGTGACATTTGCAGAACTTGTCATGGTGCCCATGAGCCGCATGTGCCCTTGCACCATACCTACTACCATTCCGGATCAAGCACTCAGTGCCTTGTCGGTGCTTGGGCACGTGTGGATGCTGAACTCCCCAGTTTTGCCAGTGTCTCAGTACAGGTTCCTGATTACTCGAGAAGCTTGCCTCGCCTTTCACTTTCAATGTCTTGTCAGACTAACTCAAGAGCTTCACACCGCAAGTAACTCAAAGCTGGTTGCGAATGTGAATACAGAAATTGTACTCAAAATCTCTATGCTTTGAATTGAAGGCGCCTCAAACTACCCAACATTGCGACATCTCACCAAGGAGCTGGTGACCATGCAAGATTCAGATGAAGCACTGGAAAGGAAGATGAAGGCAGCCTTTCGAGCTGCTTTGACGGCACGCACTGCATGCACCCAACCTGACTGGCTGTGGACAGAGGGACGTGCCAACAAGTCCCATCTGAGGCTGCAGCTGAGAAAGTGAGCCAACCACCAAAGGCAGGGAGAAGATGGCATCGTCGTGTTTCGTGGCTTCGTATTCGTTGGGCATATGTGAGTGTCAGACGTGAACAGCTTGGAGTGTGGCCAGATTGATTTTCCCTGCATGTTCCACCGATTCCTTGAGTGGCCAATTTAATGCTCATTGACAGTGCAGCCAACCAGGTTCTCAACGCGACGTGGTGGAATTTCCACGCCGATGGGGTGAGTATTGGGATGTTGAGCAAGCTTGCTTCGCCTATGTGGTCATATGGTTTCTTTATTGATGGAATGTCCGTGATTGCAAGTGCTGCAGCACTTGCCACGCCGTTCTCTTCGAGTCATGACTCTATCTATAAGACAAGTATTTGATTCAGACGAAACTTGAAGCGGCTCTAAGATGCTACATTGGGGTCGTATGTTCAGATATCCGTTCATTTTCAAAACACTTGAGTCACTTGAGGCACAGGAGCAGTACATGGCACGGGCGCAGCGGGCTTTGTACAGCCTGCGGGAGCGGATTCGAGATGTACTGGAGCTGGCAGCCGAGAGGGCGGCGCTCATCAAGGAGTTTTGGAGGGCACCCACTGGCAGGTCAGCCGTTTGTGCTAGAAGGCGTCTGCAAATCAGTGCCCTGAATGTGAAATAGTGCTAATAGGTTCCAACCTACAGGAGAGGTGTTTGGAAACAGCCTGATCATGACGGCAGGGCCAGATGGACAACTTACGCCTGCTTCAGAGAGCATGACCACCCCCAAAACCACGGCACCCAACATTTGACGTTCCCTGCCTCGCAAAGAGTTGCCGTAGGAGTCTGCAAGAGCTACCATTCAGGAGGGCCTAAACACGGGCCTTTCGCTTCGCTTCCGGGCGTTGCAGCGCCTGTCCGCGACGCGGAGCACGGCCAGGGAAGGCTTCCTGAGGCTGCGGCAGCGCGGCGTGCGGGTCTGCGGCTGCGAGGCGTTGAGCGCAGCGGGAGATGCCGCTGCAAGGGCCAGAGATCGGGCCGCGAAGCTCCGTAAGGCGGGGAAAGGATGCGGACAAATGGATTCCTGGCTGTGTGGGCATAGGAAGGAAGACTAGGGAAGGCAACCAAAATTGGCCTAGGCTTTGCGGGGGAGCAGCGTTTGGTCTTTGTTGCTTGGATTCTGAGCTTCTTAGGCAACCAGTTCATGCTTTTGACTGTTTAAGCTGTTGCACCTCGCAATAAATCTGCAAGCACTCACCATGCTGGAAGCCGGTCATGTTTCTAAAACAGTCCAATACGTCTACCCTCTAAATTCGGAGTAAAGGACTTGCCTAGTCGCTTGGCGAAATACGCAATGTTGCCTCCTCCAGTGCATTTGCTAGGCCTTTTCCGATTCGAGCAACATTGGTCCCAAAGTGGCAAGTTGCCCAGCATCTATGGGAGCCATGCTATGTGTTTCATTTCACCCACTTTTTGTTCTTCTCCGGCAGCTCTTTGGTTCCATGTCCAATTTTCTCACCGCAAAAGAAGCATCGCAGCACCAAAGCAGAAGTTGCCCGACCCATCTGCTCCAAGCCCTTCCCATGCCCCAAAAGCAGGACGGATATCCCATGTCCCTTCCTTTCCTCCAAGTCCCTTCAAGTCAGCTTCACGATTGACGGTTGCCCCCAATCCTGTCACAGTTGCTCTAAAGCAAGCCACATTGGAGGTTCTCAAGACAAGCGCGCAACTCAAGCAAAGACGCGGCCACACCACCAAAATGCCTCGAAGACAGATTTGGTCCCCGGTTTCACCCCAATGCGTTCAATTGACGGTCTTTTACAGAGCATTGTTTTTCCAGGTAAATGACTGGTAGCCCTCCCAACACAAAAGGGAAAGAGGAAAAACAGGAAATGTGAACCTGTGAATTCCTCTGGATCTCCAGGCGGCGTGCGGGCGCCTGCAGGACGGGCGCTGCCAGGCCACCGCGCTGGGCGCTGCGACGGGCGCCGCCGCCGTGGGAGCCTCCGGGGGTGCTGCGGGGCTGGCGGCCGGGGCGGCGCTGGGCACCGCCCTCGGCGGCTTCGGCGCCTCAAACCGAGAGGATCGGAGCCGTTTTTGTTGTTTTTGTTTTGAGTTTTTGTTACATGTTGTTTTCGTGTTGTGTGCATTTGTATTTGGTGGGTTTTTGTTTCTCGCCTTTTTTTTTGCGGTTTTTAGTCTGATGGGTCTTTTTCGCTGTGGGTCTGGGGCCTTTGCAATGTGCAGCCGGAGCCAAGGGGCCCTCTTCACTTTTGGCCTTTCGGTGCCAATCGGCGCCGCCATCGGCGGTGGCGCCGGCTGGGCAGTGGGCACAGTGGTTGGACTTGGCGCTGGGGCAGTTGGCGGCGGAGTTGCTGCTTCGGGCATCTACTCCAGGCTTCGGGTCGATGCAAAATGCTTGTCGAGGGAGTTTTATGGCAACTTGCCTTTTGGCATGAGAATAACGGAGCCCTTGGCTCCACTCCTGCCAGGCGAAAAAGATGACGGTTCCAGCAGCAGAAGGCTCTTTTCAACTGGAGCTCATCTGACTCCGCCGTGGGACTTGGTCTTGATGAGCCAGTTGTAGTGCCAGCCTAGGAATTCAATTCGAGGTTTCATACTGTGTGCAGCACAGATTCACTTGTCCATAGACGTTTTCGGCCACCTCTATGTTGGCACGTTGCCAACTGCAGAGGTTTGCGCTTGTTTTGAAAAAAGATACGTAAGATATCCGAAGCCCCGGCCCTCGTTGGCCGCTCTACGTGGTGCCGAGTTCCTTCTGGCAGGAAAACAACTTGACCATCAAAGACGTCTATGGACAGGACGTTGTTGATGCGCTCTTCAAGAATGAGGCATCACCATCAGATCCATGCTTGTCCTTCATGAGAGAGGTAGAGCGAGAGAGAGAGAGAGAGAGAGTAGTAGTAGAGGGCAGCATGTCAGTGCATGCCTAGATCACTCCAGGGTGACGTGATCAGCGACCAGATTGCCGTGATCCAGGACTTCACATACCAGTTGCATGGAAGTCGAAATGTGATGAATTCCACTGTGCCTGACTGCTGCATTGCTGGCGTTGTGGCTTGGTCACAAGTGTAGGATTTTCGCAATGCCTCCTTGGCTGACAGCATCCCGTCTGCACAATTTGAGCAATGTGCTGGCTTCACAGGATGCATCATCCCTGGCAATCTCATCCTTGCATTCATTTCAGCCCAACTTTGCTGAAAAGCCTCAATACACCTTCTTCAAGATCCGGAAAGCATTGTGGTAGATATTTCTGACCGGATACTCATCCATTTCTAGTTGCAACACCCATAGAACTGACGCGTTTAGCGTTGCGCCCAGGCACCCTGAATGCAGCTTTGGAGGAGCTTGAGGCACGGGGCACTCTGGGTTTGCTTCAGATTTGAACCTGAGTCCTGTGAAGTCTCCAAGGAGGTTCTCCACCAGGTGGATCATGCGCAGCTCCCAGCCGAAATATGTGTGATATGTATATATATATATATATATATTATGTATAGGAAGTATGGGATATGCGTGTATGTGTGCATGTGTGTATGCGAGCGAGTATGTGCATGTGATATGGCGCATGTGTATGTGTGTGTGTGTGTGGACCCTCTTAGTCCATAGAGGCAGGGAGTCACTTCCTTCTGTTGCAGCGGGACCGAGCTCTCTGATGCTACTCTGTCCAACGATGCTACGCACCAGAGAGGGAAGCATCCACTGGCCATGGATGTGCACCTGCATTTTTGACTTTCGTTGCCCACCCGTGTGCATAGCGTTTGCCCGGCTTGAACTGAGAGTGTCGTGTTCGTGAGGACCCCTCAAACGTTCAGCTGTTTTGTACGCGTCTAAAATGTATGTGTATGTGCGTGTAGGTGTTTGTGTATGTTCATATGCATATGTGTGCGTGATTGTGTATGCGTGTGTACGTGTACCCGGCGCACGCCTTTTTCAACAACTACTGCAAGGGGCTTGCGCTAGGGGCAGAGCCAAAGGTATTATGTTTCTCAAGCAAACTTTGAGGCCGGCAATCTGAATCGCATGGGCGGCATGCAGCCGCTGCTGGCGCGGAGCTCACCTAGTGCGGCCAGCGCGCATTTCCAGCCTGGCTGGCAGTTGCGAGGCAAAGTGCGGTTGTGACCTGATGTTGTTTTGGACCTAAAGCAAGCCGATATGTGGCAGTCAGACTTTGAGGACTTGGCCCTGGGCACTGAGCGAAGTGTGGAAGCCTTAGCTCTATCAGATCTTGAAGCTGATGAAAGAGGGGCTCCAAAAATTAGCTTTTGATTAGTAGCAACCGGCCGATGCATCTCACCCGGCCGACGCATCTCACCCGGCCGTGACCCCGCGGCTTTTGCCGAGGAGGCCACACGGAGCCTGGCACTTTTGGCCCTGGGCGCCGGCACCTCAGGCAAGCCTCCCGAAAAATTAATTCGGGGCTGATTTGGAAGACACAAAAAGTTTTGAGTATCTGCAGTTGCTAGCTACTTCTGGATGCTTCAGAAGGACAAACCCTTGTTTTGCGCACGCAACGCCGGCCACTCAAGTTGCGGCCTCGGCCCCAGCTGCATTGAGTATGGCAGGGCTGCAAATGACATATCCATTTGTGGAAGTTCGAAGGGCTGATGAAAAACAGCACGCTTCGGAATGAGTATCGGCACTTGCATGCGTGGCATGTATCAGGCTGCAGTGAACAACAACGCGCCCGTTCAAAAGGAGCTGTATGATTTGCAAGGAGCATTGCTCAGATGTTTGCACATTAGCAGCAGATTGACCAATGAGTACATGAATGAATGGCTGAATGAACCCGCAAGATGTGTGTGTGTGTAGACATGTGTACTTGTGCAGGCTGGCTGGCCTAAATGTGATATTGAGTCCACACTTTCAAGAGAGCGTTTGAGGCCTGGAGCGCTTGGCGGCAGAGCTCCAAAAGTGCGACGGTGGCCTCTCCATTTTGTCAACGAAATAATTCAATCAGTTCAAGCGTGTTTTCTATGCGTGTCTGAGTAAGGGTGCGACATTTGTGACTCCACCGTTGGCCAGGTAGCTCAGTTGGGGGTCCCTACTGCGCAAAGCTCCTCTTCTGCCTCTCCGGGCTTCTGCAGAACGCCGCAGTTCTGCAGGACACTGCTTGCTTCTTGCGTTTCTTTTGTGTGTTGCGTCCAGGGTCCAGGGAGGTGGGAATGACCCCCAACAGCATTCGGATCCTGGCGAAATGGTTCGGTGCGAATGACGGCCAGGCCCAGGCAGATCAGCTGGGGGTCACCGACTGGATGATGGATGTAGGGCGCCTGGCGTCATGACGCCAGCGTTGGAGACAGCCGGGTTTCCCCCACGGCCAGGAGCCCCCAAACTAGATTTCTGTCCAGGAACTACCTAGTAAAAATTGACCGTGGCTCATTTATACACATTTGTCTGAGAACTGCAAGCCCATAGATGTGGCGCCAAGTCGCGCCAAATGGTATCCCTTGTGCAGAAGTGCAAGGTTGGCGTCAAGCACCCAGCGCCGGCAGTGGTGAAGAAGGCTTGCTTTCGTGCATTTATATTTTCCTGAAGGCGACGGTATGTAGCGCGATGCTCTGGCATCAAAGTTGGGGCAGATCAAATCCCCCATACCAACGGAACTGCTCACGCCGTCCCGTGGAGACCACAAGTCCGGCTATATGTCTCCTGAACTCAGGGCGAAAGGGAACGGACAAGCTGGCAGGACATAGCTTGCATCAGTTGTTCTTTTGGAAGGGGGCTCATGCAGCGGGCCATGCGGGGTGGAGCCATTTGCCGGGTCAATCTCAACTCGCCCCAAAACACCCAATGGCCATTTTTAGTAGGTGGTTCTACTACCTGGTTTTACCGGGGTTATAGTAAGGGCAAAACATACCTTTATTTTGGGCGCTGCTCGACTGTCTTAACTCCAGCCTAGCTGTGCCCGCACCTGATGCATATTACTGGGCGCCCCGAGAGGCATTGGGCTACCTGGACACTGTTCTGGCTCAGAGCCCCCAGGTGCTGCTTTGGAGTTTGGCGGCTGATCTCAAATCTGCCTTCGCAGTTGCCCTTCCTCGACCGATTGCCGGGAAAGCGAGATGTCGTGACAGCCTCCCTGCTGGGACTGGTGCAGGACTTGGAAGGCTAGGAGGATGGTGCCTCGCTCCCTTGCACCTAGGTCAAGGATCCAGACGTTGACCTCTCAGAGAAGGCCAAACGCCTGGTATTGGTTCATATACTCGTTTGGACAATATCTTGTTTGTAGCGAAACATCGCACCCCTTGAGCTTGTAATCGTGGTAAAAGAACTGAAGCTGGGAGAGACACTTGTCAGGGGACGGCCAAGCAACCCAAACGACCCAAACGACTGAAACAACTGAAACGCTACGCCGGGGAAGGCGCTGGAAGTCTTGGGCCGCTTTGCGGAGCTGCGACCAAAGCTGCTGCTGGGCTCCAGAGAGGTGCGGATCGGATACGCGGGCGCACGAGGCGTCTTGTTTTGAGGGTTGCCTTTTTGTTGAACAGAGGTGCCCCATTTGAAGGAACACACAAACAAAAGTTCCGGATGAAACCCCGACCGGCCATCCGAGTGGTTCTACCTAGGACCATGGGCTTATATATACAATTCTAACCATTGGTGTAGAACCAAAAGTCGACGCTTTTGGGCACTGCTCCCCTGTCTCTGTTGGTATCCTTGTGAAGCATCCAGAATGAGGCTTGTTATTCAGACACGTTGCTTGATAGACGTCGCAGTGGTGCTTGGGCAAGAAGTTGGTGCTTGGGCAAGAAGTGCAGAGCACCTGCCACGGAATCAAGTGATGATGATAGCGTGACAGATTGGCAAAGCTTGCAACATGAACACGTTGCAAGCTTTTCCTGGTCCCGACGAGTCACGCTGGTTGGTTGGTCGTAGGTTACACACGCCCAAGCCGATTGGTCTGTGGGGTGGGCAACATTTGACACTGACAACATCTCCAGCATTCATATGGACTGAAAGGTTCCAAGGCAATGGTGTCACGAATCAGTCGGAAGGCAAAAGGTTCAGCGCTTCCGTCGCGAAAAGGTCCATCTTTGCGCGTTACTTTGTTTGTGCTCTGGCCACAGCGTGCCTCAGGAGATCATCGCAGCAGCTCGCCAAGCCCAGCACAGCTGCGAGCTGCAGGGCAGCAGTCCCAGGATGTGTAAGCAACTCTCCCGAGTGCTGCCGTGTGCCCTTGATTTCGTATTGAGGCATTGACAAAGACGTGTGCAGCGGTCTGCTCCACTCTGCTGCAGAGGCTTTGGGCATGTCTTGGCAGCATGCTCTCGACTGCCAGTTGACTTTGAGTCCAGTTGTTTTGAGCAGGTGGACCGCAAACTTGCTGGGTGGTCCGGCTCCGATGTGGAACTCTGAAGCGGGCATTTCGACTGGCCAGCCTCAGTGCAAAGCAGTACAGCCTTTGCAGTTGTGCTCCACGAAGTCTTGAATCCGTGGAAGTTTTGCTTTCTATGCTAGTGGCACATGCAACCTGTATAGTGTCCGTAGTGCTACATAGCTGCCAAGAAATGGCTTGCTTGCAGGAGGTTTGTACAGGGGTTTAATTGACACCCGCAGTCCTGGCAACTGAAGCCCAAAGACCAGGTGGCTCTGAATGGGTCCACAGAAAGGCGGTAAAATGTGCACAAAGACGGAGCCGGATGGAGCTGCCTTAGCTTGACGCGTGTTTCAAGATCCACTATTCCAGGGGGTAATTCCCCATTTTTTCTCAACCATCGTTCTTTTCAGAAAAAAAACAAACAAAAACAAACAAGAAAAAACAGCAGTTTCGCCTTACTGTACTGTAAGTTTTGGATGGTTTCCTGAAAAGAATGATCCTTAGATCATGGACTAGGGAAGCTTCCCCTGGAACAACAAGGACCGAGTCCTTCACCCTGCAGCTTCAGTTCTGCCCTTGTGGCTGCGTATGAGCCGCCGGCCATGCAGTTGCAGCAGGCCGCGCAACCGGTCCGGCAAAAGGCTCCTGGACTCCAGCCACAATCAAACTCAGGTAAGCTAGGGCATAGTCCCAAGGATCAGGCGCGGTCGCCTTCTCAATTCTTTGTGTGGTTCTGGGTAGACCATTTTAATGCCAAGTTTTGATTTTGGCTCTCTTGGGTTTCTGTGGTGAGAGATCCTGCCGCAAGAAATCCCCTGGCCAGCCTGCGCCGTTGCAGCGCCCCAATCAGATGCTGGTGCACCGAGTCCCGAGCTTGGATACCACATAGGCCATTGCCCGCATTCTATCTGCCGTTGTTCCGCTCCCCATGGACAATGGCCAAGTCAAGTCAAAAGACTTCGATTCATGCTCGAGTCTTTGAAGAGAGATGCTGAGGCCGCCTATCCCAGTGTTTCAACAGTGCCTGTGAGCCTGGCAGCGAGCTTTCAGTCGCTTGGCAAGGTGGATGCTGACGTGACCCTGTCTAAAACATGTTTCTTGACTTGCCGGAGAGACGTTGGACTTGGCTTGCAGCATACAACAATCATGCACCTATGAGCAATCCTCATATCCGGACAGATCTGAGGACCGCAGCAGAGGCGAAGGCAGGGCACTGCCTGGCTCCATGCATTCGCTTGGCACGTGTAGCGCATACTTCAGGCTTTTCTTGAGATTTCCTGAAGTCACGCCGTTTTGCAGAAGTCTCGTGGCTTGTCAGAGTCAACCATGAAGCAGACAGCATAACCACGACTGCCAGGTGTGGGACATTTAATCAATTTTCACATTGACACGTGCTGCCTTATATGTCAATGGAGAGGACTAATAGGTCGGGGCTTAGTATGATTGGAACTTGCTTTTGTCAACCTCCGGCTACTTGTCCTAAACACATGGCTTCCTGGCTCTTTGCACCCCGCCGTAGCCTCAGAAGATGCGCAATCCTCTCACCTTCAGCCCAAGAGCATTGGGGCAGACCATGAGTGCAGAGCATTGGCGCCGACACGTCCGACATTGACACGAGCTGTCCAGGGAGGTAAATGCCGGCAACAGAGATTGATTGATTGCTCTCTGCAGCAGTTTCAAGCTCACTTCGGTGAACAGCACTCCACACTTTCACTGCGCAGTTGCACAGCCAACTGCTTTCAGAAACTTGCAACTCACGTTGTTTGGCAGAATAAGTTTAAATCTGTAGCAAGCCAAGTTGTGGAGGTGTGCAGCAAGTGCCAAGCGTCTCACCCAGTGCATTGATCCGAAGTGGATCTCTCGAGCAACGGACCCAAGTGACAATTTTAGCAGGGTGTAAAGATTTGTCCAGAAAACTTTTGATAGCACGCGTGAGAAGGCTGAACCGTGGAGTTGCCTTGCATGCCGGGAGGCAGACCCACACAAGTCCGTTGCTCAATTGTTTGGGTACTAGTCAGTCATCCTTCGCCATGGTTGACACTGGTGCCACTGATACGCCAGCACAGGCGTCATGCGCTGTGCGAGTTTGAGTTGAAACTTAGCCACTCGTTGTGGCACTGCCAACCAACATGCGTCTAAGCCACGAACCTCTTTTGGTTTTTGGTTTCATGCGTTTTGGGTTTATCTTGACAGACGGCGGAGGGGACTGGCATTGTCGTTGCCCATGGGTCCTGCACCAGGCATCTTCTGAGCTCCGCTCGGGCCATCTGGCTTTGCGCTCAGAGTCAGATCGGTTGGCAAAAGGCACCGAAGGCACCAAAGGCGCCCACGCGGGCGCCCGCAGGCGCCCGCAGGCGCCATAGGCACCGCAGGCGCCCGCAGGCACTGCAGACGCGGACCCCCCATACTTTGGCGGCACTTTGCCATCTCGTGCTTTCCATGTGGCCTAGGTTGAAGTCAATGGCCTGGAGCTCATGGGCCAATGATGCTTGCATCAGAACCCTGCTGAATGGAATACTTTTGGCCATGCTTTGGGGAACACCAATGCTCCTTTCATCTGGTCCCTGGCCTCAAAATTCTTCAGGTGGGGATTGAGAGCAGACTCGAGGCTTGGCGTCGGAGAGTGGGAAGCTGCTCAACGGCCAGCGCGGCCTGCTGTGCGACTTCCAGGCCTGATTTCCTGAGGTCCTCCGAGCACACCTCGATTTCTGTTCCAGCTTGCATTAGCTTCTAGCGGACGCCAGTTGACACAGCTCACCTTTAAGCCAAGCATTCGCAGGCGACCGGGCGCTGGCAGGTGCGAATCGGCCGCTGCCTTGGCTTTCTTGGCTTTGCGAACTGCTGCGTTGCGGATTGTGCACTTCTTGTGGCCCACCATAGCTTCGATCCGCTGAATACAGAAGTGGAACCCACACGATGTGGATAGCTTCCAGTGATAGCTTCAATTCAGTGAGTGATTGCTTCCACCAGCCTTGTTTGTGAGCATACTGGTTGTTTATGAGTATTCAGTATACATGGAGACATGCAGAGAGGCGAGAAGCTGGTGAGCCTGAAGCCCGTCAATTTGAAGAAGGCGGGGGCTGTGAGCTCCAGAGCGGTCCAGGAGCTGCGGCGCTTTTCCGGAGTTGGCGGTTTTTGTTTTTTGTTGCAGCTGTGAGGCGGAGCTCTTTGTTTCAATGCCTGCAGCGGCTGACGGTGTTGGTGCTGACGCTGCTCCCTCTGCACCGGCACAACCTGCACAGCCTGCACAGCCTGAGCAGCCTGAGCAGCCTTCGCAGCCTGAGCCTTGGGAAGTCCTTGATGGCAACGAGTCCTTGACAGTAGTGTTGTGCGAAGTTGAACAAGAAGCATAGTCTTGAGCTCCCTTGGCAACTTTTCACTAGTTTGATGACGGTGCTTCTCCTGTTCTGCACTTCCAACTGCTGCTGCTGCTGCTGCTGCTGCTGCTGCTGCTGCTGCTGCTGCTGCTGCTGCTGCTGCTGCTGCTGCTGCAAACTTCCTCTCCTGCTCCACCTCCCCTTTGTACTTTTGCACCTGCTGCTCCTTCTCGAGACCTTGAGAGTATCTAACGCGGAATTCGCTGCAACTTACTACACTCCGTGATTTATTTTGCAGCTAGCTACGCCCCTGTCAGAGGTCGGAGAGGCGGAGCCGGAGCCGGAGCTCCGGCCTCAGTTTGGCTGACAGTTGGGTCGTTTGGATGGCAGGGCATTCTCAGAAGGATTTCAAGGGTCTGAGAGGTGTAGGTGAAGTGTGCATCGCTACACATGCGCCTTTGGCCTGTGTCACCTACCTTTTTGAAGGAGCTTACTGGCACAGCTGGCTTGAGTGCAACAGTCATGTTGAGATTCTTTTGTTTCGACATCCAGCGAACGTGTTTCCCACATGGCACGTGCCGTGCCATGTTGTCCAATGTGTAGCAAGACCAGTTGCATAAGCAAACTGACACTCAAAGCAGTCCTTGGCCAACATGATGTTAGATAGTCAGTCACAATCGAGCGAAACAAGAAGTGTTTTCTGACTCGTGAGCGAGACCTGACTCCTTCATTGTCATGAAGACTTTGTGGCACCTCAACCTCACCGACTGGAGATCCCCAGGCGTACTGCACGTCGGTTGCACCTGAGGCAGCAGCAGCTCAAGCAGCAGCTCCTCATCTTCTCGGTCCAAAGTGAGGCGGGAAGAGCACCAGCCATTTTTGGATTCAGTCCATAGAGCTGAGTCACTAGGTCTTCCCAACTGAAAGTGGGGGCAGGGTCCAAGGATTAACGTTAAATCATGTTTTTTCATATCAGAGGACTGCAAAGTGATACGCATGGAGAGGAACCACCAGTCAGTGTCAGTCACAGGGTTGGTGCTGTTTCAATGAAGCCTGTTGAATGGCTTTTAAACCACCACTCATGAATGCAGAGGAGAGACAGCTGCATTGGGGGGCGTGGCAGAGTGAGCTCAGGGAAGAGCAGGAGGACAGTGCTCCGTTGAAAACCGGGGAAGAGGCGTGGCAGCGCAGCTCTGATCAGTTCTCGCTCGCATGAGTTCGAGCGCTGGCGCATGGGCCTATGGGCCGGGCAGGTGGAGATCTTCGGGCTGAGCTCGGACGCTGGCAAACCTTTGAATGGCCAGAAGGCCGGCAGTTGCGAGGCCACAGATTCAACTGGGTTTTGAGGGTCCCCCCGGGTCTGTGGGTCCCACCACAGTTTTGTTCAATTTGTTCTTTGAAATGGGTTTTCAAACGACTTGGTTTGTGGGTCTGCCCATTGGAGACACCCCCGAATCGAGCACTTGGCACAGCGCACGTGCCTAGGGCGTGGTGACCGAATTCTGCGTCGAGAAGGACCGCTGGGAGGTAATGTTGTCCTTGGAGAAGGCTGGGCTTGGCTCTGTAATACTTCTGTTCCAATGACCCGCTGGAAGGACTTAGGAACTAGCTGCACGCTTCCGCTCAACAGTGTTGGTTTGCGCAGGCTTCAAGCTTTCCGGCTTGCAAGCCCCCTTTTGGGCGTTGAGGTTGGGGGAGCTCCCCCAACCTTGGTTTCCCTACCAGCGAAAAGTTCAACTCGAACCTCCGATTGCATTGGACGCGCTTCTTGCAGGTCGTGAGCCTCCGACCTCGGAACTTACGGCGCACCAAGCCTCTGCCGGGGGCGGTGCCTGGGTCTGCGGCTCAGAGACCGTGAGATGCACATAGCTCGGATTGCCGAACTAAGGCGGCCTATCAGAAGCCCAAAGAGGGAAGGGCTCGTGACTCAGCTCGGGCGCTTCAATGGGAAAAACCTCCAGAATTCTGAACTGACTGAAGGACCAGCATGAAGTATTCTTTGGTGATATTGAGACTGGCCGAATTCTTTGGTGATATGTTGAGACGCGAACCAAGACGGGGCCCGAGGTCTTTGGCGTCGCTGCTGGGCATGGGAAAGCCCGAGCCGGAGAACCCCGAGGCGCCACACGGGAGGCGTTGCACGACCCGGGGCTCAACGGGTTCAATGGGTTCAACGGGTTCAAAGGCCGTTGATCTGAAGTCGTCGGTTTGGAGATGGGCAACTCCTTGCGCGCAAGCAGTGATTTCAGGCAAAGTCTGCGCAGCAAGGGCCTGAAAGTGATGCCAAGTTCTCGAGCTAAACCTGAGGTGTTGCCCATGTTGCAGCAAGGTTGGAAGCCAGTGTGAGTCATTCAGACCGCACGGCAGGATCGGCTGAAACACCGTGCTTTCATTTCTTGTGGGATTCTTTGGCTCGAGATGAGACCCATTTTGTTCATTCGTTGGTGTTGTTGGGCCAAGGTGGCAGTCTGTGTGGGCGCGGACCTCTGCTGAGGCGGGCAGAGGTGTTGAGGAGGGACATGTGAACGGGGCGGCTGGCAGGTCCGTGACTCCGCACCTGCCACCGCTGCGGCGTTGAGTGGCCCACTAAGACGCAGAGACTCCGACAGCCGTGAAGTGTCATGAATATTTTCAGATGCCAGCGTATTGGCCTCAAGAATCTGCCGGTTGGCCAGATTTGATCAGATTTGATTGGCGCAGTTCTAGCCTGAACGCAAGTCTTTGGCTCACACAAGGAAGCAACTGACGCTCGCCTTCCGCTGATGGTCATAGGCGGTTCTCATCTCCTTGAAGCACTCTGCAAAAGCAAAACTTTGCAGTACCTCTCTGACATCAAATCCGACCGGATTTCCACGCCTATGCGAGAGAACTGCAAGAAGCAAAACCAAAAAATCAAATGGACAATCCATAATTATCATGTGAAGGAAGCACAACACACGAATGATGATGGCAACACGCACGCCGGATCAAGAAACAGCCTGCTGAGGGGCACTGTGATGTGATTTTTTTCGTGGAGACTCTTTTGACTCTTTTGCCTCAACAGATGCTGCCTATGTTCAGCATCAGGAGAAATCTACTCAGTTTGAGATCGACGGCGAACATGGATACGTCATGGTAGTCCTCACGGAAGGCTCAGCTGACAGCCGTGCAAGACCCTTTTGGATGCACAAATTTCTATGTGATTTGCACGAATTTTTGTTCGTTGAGTGTGCAATACAGGCTATGTTTCTTTTCCAAGTGTACCAAGACCAAGTGGGAGATGCTCAAGCATTTTTCTCACACGTACGAGAGTGCACGACCAGCAGAACCACAGCGTAGCCGTGCAAAATGCACATATGCAGCATCTTGAGTATTTTGCAACGTCAAACCTCGACCTGATCTACAATGAGCAGCTGCAGCCAAACTCCAAAGGGAAGGTTGAGCAGAATTGTTTGGCAATCACTTAGCAGCGGCAACATTGCCATCTGCCGCCTTTTTTCCACCAAGTGTGGCTGCTCTGAATGGATAAACATCAGACAACAGCGTATTTGCAGTTCGTGCTTTGCTGCTTTGTGAGCCTTCCTGTCAATCCACTCCTCTTGCCTGTTGCAAAGGTGTGGAGCAGCTGTCGCCGGGGGCCCAAGAGTCTTGATGGGATGGCGTGTTGCACGAGCCGATCTTTCGCTATCTCTCTCCCCTCGCATTTTGTATCGCTCCCTCTCTTTCGGTGTCCAGCTAAGGTACCTGCAATGCTTCCAGTCCGAAGAGGAGAAGGCCTTACCCCAATGGTCTCGCATGTCTCGCACTCAAGCCGCATTGAGAATTTGCTTTTCGTTGGATCATTGGACCCCATGGCGTATGAAACCGAGAGACTGGCCGATGTGGCTTTCGATTGCGCCAGACGGAGCTCAAGCGGCGGCGGCGTGAGATGAAGGCTGCGCATGCGAAGGAAGTTATGTGGCCATGGGAGCTGGGAGTGACGCACTTCAAAACAACTTATCTTACCAAAGTCTCTTGGGAGGGTTGGGTTGGTTCATGGTGCTGAGAATCAAGCTCATGAAGAGATCTTGCATTCTGCCAGATCCGTCGGGAGCTGGTGATGCAAGGTATCACAGACGAGGACAGATCAGTTGTAGCAAACAGAAAGTGCTGCTCATGTTCGCAGATTCATGGTATCAATGAGGAATTTATGTATTGAGGGCCCATGGCAAATTGGCTGTTAGTTCCACTTTCAGGAGATGGTTGTGGAGGCACGCGGCACAGAGAGCAGTACAGCGCATACACAGGTCTTGTTTCGGGGATTTTACTTGCACCTAGAGGGCCAGAGCGGAATTGGCGGCTGTTATTTGATCAGCTTTGTGTGGCATGGACTTACGCTCGCCGAATGCCTGCGAATCCTAGACGCTCAGACCATGTTGAGTCTTTCCCTAGTGGCATGATTGCCACCTGGAAGATACGGGTCTCAAAACTGAAGCTTGTAGCATTCTGAGGAGTCCCGGAGTCCCCGCTTAGAGCGAATGTCTATCCTCTTGTCCCAAGCTTGGGTTCTGGATTTGCTGAACAAATCCCATCTTCCGCCGTTAGGGTTCAGGAAGTCATCCACCATCTTTCTTTTCGTTTGCAGGGCCACAACTCACATTGGCATCAGGCTATGTAGCGAACGTACGCAGGCCTTTGTACAGCGCTTTGGTGATTGTATGACACGGCTGTGCATCGGGCACAAGGTACTGTGGATGGACGACATCCTGCACCGCCTTGAAACCATGGGAAACCGTTGTTGGTATTTTTAGGGGAACACCAATTCCTGCATTTCGCAGGTGGTGCAGGATTTCGTCCATCCACAGTATCAAGGTATGGCCATGGGTCAAAACCCCGTACCCCCTGTGAACATCCCACCAAAATAGACTAAAATGGAGGTGCACCTACCCCAAGATGGGGTCCCATTGGTTTTAACCCACCGCCATATCACTGCAGACAGCTGCTGGTTTTCCTTCAGGTCATCCGCCAGCGTGAAGAAGAGCGCAGGCAGGCCATCCTCTTCCGCGGAGAGGCCGGGTCTGAGGGCAGGCCTGACAGAACTTTGCGGGGATGGCCAACACGGGATGGCCATCCTGGCCCCGTGTTTTGGTTGCCAGTGCAGATTTAGACTGGGTGGTTTTCTGGGCTGTAATTCTCTCCTAAGGCTTCCGAGTCAGTTTCCGTGTTGGGGCAACGGAGGTCACCTACTCAAGGGGGCCTTGGCATGGGAGACAAAAAGTGCTCGGATTCGCAGACCGCCGCGTGGGGTCGTTGCGTGTCCCGCTCGCTCCGCTTGCAGCTCCGAGGTCGATGGAATCCATCTTTGCCTCTCAGGGGATGTGTGCATTTCTCGCGGCCGGGCACGGGAGTGCAAGCCAAGGGAAACCCAAACTTCACATTTCACGTGTTCAAGGCGGTTGCCAAACCAAAGAGGTAGCTGAGGCTAGGGTTCTCCAGGCTCGGCTGAGAGTTGGCTGAGGTTAACATGACTGAGGTCAGCGGGGGTGCTGACGTCAAGGTGACTGTACTTTGGTGGCTGGAGGATGATGGGCTGAGGTGGCGAGGTGGTTTCTAAGGTGGCTGGAGCTGTGGGAGGCTTGCTGAGGCGGCCCAGGTGGCTGGCTGTGGCTGTGGCAAACGTTTTCTGTGGTACCTGGGGTTTGACCCGACCTGCACCCGCTGCCCGTCAGAGACTCTGATTGAGGAGAGCCGAGCTCCCTTGGAGTTTCACGCGACGTGGCACCGGCCCTCGGCGGAGTGATGTGGCTTTCTACCCGGAGCTGTTCGACAAGCCCGGACCGAGGTAGCGGTTTTTGCTAGCCATGTCAGAGTTTGGGGGGCTATTAAGTATAAAAGTTTTGGCCCAAGCCTATGTCATTCTATGCCCTGACTCAAAGTATTGGCCTGTTTCATTTTCGTTTGGAGAGGGCGGCCTGTGCAACATGATTGCTGCGAGCCTCAGAGCCAGCGGCATCTGCCAAGGCGTGAGGAGCACAACTTACCTTAGTCCTCAGAGCACCTGTGATCGAAGCACAGCCAACTGCGCCTTGGCTCGTGGCTTGGAAGATAGCCACTGGCACAGTAGAACATAGAAACGGCCTTATGGTCAAAATCAGGGGTTCGGCCCAAGAGCCAGCTTCTGTTCTTTTCCTGAATTTTGTGGCCAGTGCGCAGCCTTGATTGAAGCTGCTTGAGTGACATGGCATTGCGCCGAGCCGCCTTCGCGAGGTCTGCGCAAGCCTCCGTGATTGGAGAAAGCTTGCAGCCTTGCACTTTGTACTTGTGAGACACCGCCATTCCTGGCTGCTCTACTCTTAGTCGCAAGGGATCATGGCCTCATGGCTGAGAATATGGTTTCACAGAAATCCTCGAGGGATCTGAAGAATTCCAATTAAACAGGATTGATCGATAGGGGAAGAGACTGACTCATGTTGACTGAGGGCAGCTGTTTTTAAACTGGCCTTTTTTGGGGGGCGGATGGGCAGGCCTATGCCTCAGCTGCTTGGCGATTGGCAGACCAGCCACAACAGCTGCAGCGTCGCACGCTTTTTTTGGGCCTTTTCAATGGACTCGGATGCTGGTTTGCCCAGGCATTGTAAGCACAACGCAGCAAACATCACAAACAAACAAGGCAGGTCATTGGAAAAGAGATACGAGCAACCGACAGCATGATTGGTCGGCTTCTGTTGCTGGGGAGGACATGGGAAGACAGCCCAAGTTCCCCACAAAAACCAGGTGGACAACCAACATGTTCCATTTCAGTCCTCTTGGGGAACAACAAATATGGTAGAAGTTCATATTATGTTTTCCAGGTGTGTTCTTTTTCGACTCAATCAAGCAACATGATTTGCAGTGCCAGCTTTTCCTCCTTCGGTGCTGGGCGTCGAGCACCGCCGGGTGCTTTCGTGTTTCGTCAGGGACTCCATCGCCGGAGAGCAGGAATTTGGAGATCGGCAGCTTGAAATCCGCTGTGCTTGTCACGCCTTCCCCACGCCACCCGAAGCCACCTGAGTGCCATATCTCCAGATTCTCTTGTCCCACTGCCCCCCCCTCACTCCCTTTGCAGACCAGGGGCCTGGCGGGCTGGAGCGAGAGCGACCGTCACAGTACTGCTTGGGCAGGCCGCAGCCTCGGACAGCGATTCCTCGCAGCCCGATACTCAGCTGGGACGTTTGCCCTCGGGGTGCCTGGCACACCACAAGTTGCCAGAGATTCCTCCAATGCAACATCAATTTTTACCATCTCTCTGGCAATTTCAATGGAAACGATAGCGGACTGACATACCCCTGCAAAATACTAAAGCCTGGAAAAAGATAGAATACCCACCAAACTGGGTGCGAACACACGTTTGAAAGTGATTTTCACGGCCGTCGGTGGCTCACGCGCTCGCGTACATATGCCCACACACACAAAATATATTATATATATATATATTATTATATATATATATATATATATTATTTTCAACGTCCCGGAGTTTGAGAAGAGTGCATTCCTTGCTTTTCCTCAGTTTCGGCTTCAGTCTACTGATTGTTTGCACGCTCCTCCATGTGGGAGTGTGAAAATGTCAGGTGTGTGCCACCCATCATCGGGTGGGTGGCCTCTTAAGGGAGCACAGGGACGAACCGGTTTGTGGGTATTCGCCCTCGCGAGGCTCCGAGTGGTTCAGGGGAGTTCCTTGACCGACTTGAGGTCCTGTACGGCTGTTCCATTCTTTCTCCCAGCTCCATCGATCTCAGCTTTTTTTGCTTTTTCTCTCCCCCACCAGCTCCGGGCCTTCTCAATGGAGCTGCAGGCAGGTCTGCTCCCTTCTCGCTCCAACCCTCTGAGCCGCGGCCTCTTCCCAGGCCGCTCGCGCGAGAGAGCAGATATCAGGCGAAGGGCAAAGGTCGTGAAGGAGTTCCACGAGCTAAATGCTTCCAAGGCTACACCGAAGAGGGCTGCAGGAGGGCCTCGCTTGGTGGCCGGAGGAAGGAAGTTGAGGAGGAAGAAGTGGAGGCATGCCGCAAAGCTAAGAGTCTAAGTCGCGAGTGGGTGCGTCCCGGCGGCATGGCCAAGAGTAGCTTCCACTGAACCTTGAGCATCAGGCTCTCCCTGGTGTGGCAGGGAACCTGGGGAGCGCTAGCCTGGATGCAGTAGTATTCCGTTGAATTGCTTCAGCTGCGACCAATCGGGTCTTGCGCGCCCGAAAATAGGGTATAGCACGAGTCTTTGTAAATGTAAATGCAATATGTTATACGCATGTGTTATATATATATATATATAGATATGTATATATGCACATGCACACGCGTTTCAGGGTTTCCGCAGAGAAGATTGGCTGGCTCAGTAACTCACTTCGTTTGGTCATGCTTGCGCGTGATGCAATGTGCTGAGGAGCCCTGGTGGGCCACAAGCCATACCCACTGCTGAAGCTAAGAAGAGGCAGCGCGGTGAGTGGAGCGCCATTTCGCACTCAGAGCCCTGTGCAGGTCTTCATCCAGCTCCAGTGACTCGGAGAGTGAAGCCAATGAAGCCAAACGGCAGAAGGCCAGATGCTCGCGACTCAACTCGGAAAGACAAAGTAACAGCTACCCGAAAAAGCCAACGCTTCGAGCCCAACCTAACCTATCGGGCCATTGGAAAGTGTTGGGACAGGTGACAGGCCAATGTTTGCAACACCCGTGCAGGTCACCGCCTGATCTGATCTGAAGGGGTGCTCGTTCGTATGTGGCTGTGGCATGTCGTTTCCAATTGACGTACAGCATTGCAGACATCGTCTTTTGCAGACATCTCAAGTGACTTTACTCTTTTTAGTCTCTGGTCAGGATCGACTTGTCACCCGTGCCTTTGCGTTTCCACTCGCCCGATGTGGACACGCCCGGCCTTGAAATTTATTGCAACGAGTTCAGACAATTGCCTGATGTCAAAATTATGTTTCAAAGTGAGGCTGCCATCACCCCACGTTTCTTGGCCGGGGAAGTTCATGAGATGCAGTCGAGCCCCGCGTGACGCTGGGCTCGCTGTACGAGGGCACGCGCCTGTGCCCAGCTGAAGTCCGAGGTCATGCAGTGCGAAGGAGGTCTTCGAACCTCCTCCCTGCGAGTGGCGTGCGACCATTGGCTGTAACACAGGTGAGTAGCGAGCGGAGGTAAAAGGGAGTGGCCGCAACCCACCTGACATTGCGAGTGCATGTTTGTCAGAATTTCAGCCGGTTTCAAGATTAGATTCTGTTGTGAATAGTTTTCAGTTAAACTGTTTGGTTTCCGTTGATCACCTCCAGGGCTCTAGCAATACCTCTGCAGCTTCAAGGGATTAGAATTGCTCATAGCTAGTGTTGGGACCAGCAATAGGCCATGAGGAACATGCATTTGGCCAGCAACGCACTTCATGTCCTCTGGGTTCCTGGAAACCCATATGTGACGTTTTTTTCTGTCCATACGGCTTGGGCCACAAAAAAATGACCATACGGTTATTTACGGCTTTTTGTCAACAATTTGTTGAAAAAATACGGGTTGCATACGGCCAAATACGGCCACCGGCCAGCAAAAAATGGCCATACGGGAAAAATGATCCAAATACGGGTTCCGTCCAAAAAAAAACGGCCATACGGCTTTCCAGGTTGACATATATTTTCCTGGCCCATCCGAGATGTTTGGAACCCACATCACGGCATGAGCAAACGGTCTGGCTTCGTCAAAACGGTGCGTGCCAAGGTTTGGAGCTACTTCGTCGGTGCGCCATGTTTATTCTGGGAAGCCTTCATCACTGGAGAGAGAGAGAGAGAGAGAGCGAGAGAGAGAGAGAGAGAGAGAGCGAGCAAGCGAGCGCGAGCGGGTGGACATCGGGCAGCTGCCCGAACCCGGGATTTTTTTTCAGCATCACGTCGCACGCGTTGACATGCAAATGCGGCCAGCAGATTCATACTGCGGCTATACATATTTAAAGATTCAAACATGTGCCCGTGCCTGTCCTTGGCAAGACTTTGCTAAAGGAACCACGCTGAACGAACATTGCTGATGTCAAACCATACAACTATCACTTCCGTCAGAGACTTGCCGCTCAGCCATGCAGCTTGAGTGACACTGCCGTTGAATGAGTTTCTCAGCCACCGCCTTTCTGCGTCCCACCCATGTCACCTCGTGCAGCTGCCAACCAATGCCGACGACTCAGGGGACCCAGCAGTTCAAGTGGCAAAATCTGGTCGAGTGCACGGGTTGAATTTGACAGATGGCTGCTGCGAGTCCCCCACGCTCAGGCCATGCCCGGCGCAGATGTCCGACGCTCGAGCTGTATTGACAGCACACACAGAGCTACAACCAAAGCCTGAGTCAGTGGAGGCTAGTGGGAGGACCTTCCTATAAACTAGGCTTGTCTGTTGACTAACGCAGCTTAGACGTGGCGCTTTTGCGATGTTTCACCAACATCAGATGCGACTGGCGGTGTGTTGGGATTTGATCCAAGGCCACACTTGCAGGCCACACGCGCTCTGTGACCAGCCTAGCGCAGCAGGGCCGCTGGCAGGAAGCGCTGGCAACTCTCCGAGACCTAGGAAGAAGCCGCCTGCGCCTGGCCTGCGTTTGGCTGGTCACACTGAGCTGCGCCGAACTTTTTATAGAAGACACACACACACACACCAACCGAGTATTCCGCTGGTCAGCTCATGTCAGTGGGTTCGATGAGCACAACTCCCATCCATTTGCCCAGTGTCCCAACGTGGGCGCGCAGCCGAGTGAGGCAGCCGCGGCTGGCCGCTTTCAGCGCCGGGAACCGCAACACTTCCGGCTAGCCCCCCGCGAAGCGACATGTGCTGAGGCCGGGCTCCGGGCCTGCCAAAGGGCCGGCCGCTGGGATCAGGTCCTGCAGGTGCCTAAGTGACGTGACCGTTGCTGTGCATGCGTATGGCTGTGGGTCAAAACCAATGGTACGCCTGTACCATTTTGGGGTAGGTGCACCGCCCATTTTAGTCTATTTTAGTGGGGATTGGGCGTTTGACCCATGGCCATATCTTGAATCTTGGATGTTTGCAAACTGCACGCCTGCACGACTTGTTGGAAACTGACAGTACCCAAGCATGTACCTTGCATTTCGACTTTCCTCAAAGGTCCGGCCTTCTGAGCATGTGGTCACGAGGACCCTGCCCACCGGAAGACTGCCTTTGATAGCTTCAAACATGTTTGCAAAGGATTCCACGTAGACGCTCTGGCGTACAATGCCCCTGCCTCAGAACAAGCAAGTTCATGCTTGCGCCTGATGGGTGCAAGCATCCTTCCAACATAGCGTGCGTTTGCGCTGTTTGAGTCATAAGACACGTCACACAGCTTGAGCTGTGGCTTGAGCCGTAGCTGAGACGTGAAATGGTACGCGCACACACACACACACACATATTACATATTTATATACATATATATATATATATGTATATATACATATATTGTATATATAGGAATGTACATGACATGTACGGGTTATACTGTTTTACGTCGAGCATTCAAGATCTCAAGAGGCGAAGGAGTCACTGTAGGATGCGGCATGACGCCTTGATGTCAATGCCTTGTTGCCGGTCGGTAGCTGGCGCAAATGCACAGCTTCAAAGATAGGATGTGACGTGGCTTGATGAATACAAACATGAGCCTTGCTGGAAGCGGCAGGTAGCTTTGAATGTCCTCCTTTCCATGAGCGATTGGGCGTTGTCCCCAGTGGATATCAAGTTGAGATGGACAGAGAGAGGTCCGCATTCCACAAAACACTGCTTGTGAGGCACACGTGCTCAGCACATTTGACCACATGCTGGTGCAAGGCTACTGAGCGTGTGGTGTTCCAGCCGTGAACGCTAAGACACTTAACCCGACTATTCGAATACTTCCTTGATGGCGATGATGGTGCATCAAGAAGGCTACCTATCAGCACTTGAATTGCAATGGCAGACATTCTTCTTCAACATTTTATGCCATTTTCATAACCCTGACAGGAGCTGCTCCTGTCGCCTTCGATTCAAGCTGCAGCAGTGCCCTTCTCGCCGCGAGTCGGCGTCCAGGCTCATGGTTCGCGCCGTCAGAGGGTTGCTAATCCATGGAGTGGTTGTTTTTTGACAGCAGAGCTAAATCCAACAACTGAGCAAATGAAGGCCAGTGGCGGACAGCCCCACCAGTATGAGGGTTTGAGCAGCCTTTGTGAGCCATTGCCAGGTTTGATTGCAACTCGGAGGATCCCACTTTTGGCGGCAAACATGCATCAGCTTCACAGTTGCACTCGGCTCAGCAGCTTGCAAGGCACGCCATGGCAATGGGTCGCTGAGAGCTTTACCAGCATGCGGAGGCTGGGAATGGACAGGAAGCCAAAGCAAGTTCATGGGAGATGTGTCAAGGCCAGCCCGGAAAAGGTTCCATGCGTGGATTGGCGCTTGATGGCTTAGGCACTGCGTGTTCTTATTGCTAAGAGTGTGATGAGTTTGCTTCTGGACATGACAGCATTTGCAGTCTTGTGCTGGTTCACTGAGGGTCTTTTCGTAGGATGGCTTCATGCGATGACCAAGACAGACAGAACGGCAGTTTTGTGACGAGAAGTAAGCGTGTTTGTGTGGGCTTGTGTGTGCGCGTGCGTTTGCGAGCGACTTGTACATGTGGTTGTTTATTTGAGTCTCAAACCAACGAAGGAAAGCTATGTTGGCATGCATTTTGTAGCGTGCAACTATGCTAGCTGACGCGAGATGCTGCAACAAAAAGACAAGTAGGACATTTTTCACTGGCTGCAGAAGCCGCCAGTTGTTGTCAAGATTCGAGCCCTGCATGCCCTTGTGAGTAAAGCACCACCCAACAGAAGTCAACACTCCGCGGGATGTTGGCCTGTGCACTGAGGCAAGCAACAAATCCTGGCTCTGCAGGATACAACACTGCCCGGGCCTTTGATGGGTGCCCAGTTGCTTTCTGTCACTTCAAGAGTCTTGAAGCGATAGCCAGAACCACATTTGGCAAGCTGAGGCCATATCATGGTTTGTCCGTGCGCAAGAGTGGGCCAAGAGCTTGGGGCACTTGCCAAACCAACTTCCACCGTCCACCCAATGCACATCTTCGCAACGCCCAACTGGCGGTTTTTGTCTACCAGCATCTTTGGGGGGCACTTGCAAGCCCCTGGAAGCTGGCAACGTGGCGCAAGAATGCAGGCCAAAGCCTTGCTCCTCTTCCAGGACATGGACCGGTCCTGAGCTTTGACACGTCAACCTTGTGACGGTTGACCGCTCTGGTGCTACCAAGGCTCCAAGTGGAGACCGATGTCTTCACTTTCAGCAACCTGATCTCTGCAGTCACGGCGCGCTATGGGGCTGTGAATTCGTTGAAATGAATTCAACCGGTGCGCTCTCCTCATCTCGCACCTTTGCTGAAAACCCACACGTAATTGACGGCTTGCAGCGACTTCCTGGAAGCCTGCAGATCCTGCAGCACGTAGGAAGGCGGCTGGCCGGAGACGGCAGCGCAGCTCTTTCTGGACATGCGAGGCTACGGACAGGGAGTCTACACTGACAAATTGCATGGGCAACATGGTCATGTTTTGTGGGGTTTCTGCAGTGCCCAGTTCATCTACTTGCAAATAAGGCAGTTGGCTGTTATAAAACAAAGCGCGGCAAGGATGGGCAGACTGCCATAGATCTTTTGCAGATTCACATTGGCTCGCAGTAGATGCCTTTTTGGGCAGGCCGACGACTAACTGCAGACGTCGTGGTGGCAAACACAGCCATTTCTGCAGCCCTGTCGGGTGAGGCTTGCTGGTGTATTGGAATGAGCAACTATTTTAGTGCAGTCACCTGCATCAAAGTTCTAATGTCAGGCAGCAATGGATCTCCTTCATGACATGAAGGGGGAGGTGCGCACGGCATTCTATTTGTGCTGCAGAAAAGCCGCCTTAGGTATCTGCACTGATAAGGCCACAAAGAAATCACTTTTCCGTTGAGTCATCCTGAGAAAGACGCCCACACAGGGATCCGTAGTTTGGACACGGCAGTTGTTGCAGGTGCTACAGCCCGACGTGTTCAGCTACAGTGGCGTTCTGGATTCCTTCGCCGTCGAAGCCAGGCCCAGCAATTCGTGGGTCAACGCTGAATAGTTGCAGCTGTTGCGGAGGAAGTCTGCTCTCTGAAGGTCTGAAGGTTTTGATTGCGCCTTCATTGCCAGGTGGCAAGATTCTGTCGCTTTGATTCAGGACTGAATGGCTCCGCTGCTCTTGTGCGCAGAAGTCTTGTTTTGGCTTTCTCGGTGTCGAGATACTGGCTTGCCGGCCTTACAGTTCCAGGGGGTTGGTTCACAACTGGTCCATGCTTGGGATGTCGGGGGGAACCGTTTCTCAAGAAGGGGACTGGTTTTCAAGGGAAACCAACAGGAAACCACCATAAACCACCTACCTTTTGGAGGTCCCCAATTTTGATACGCCCACAAGCCGGACCCTTTCTGGATTTCAGAAACCAACAGGATAATTCCAACTACCTGCAGTCCTGCAGTCCTGGGTCAAGCAAAGCCTTTGGAGGACATGGTCCACGTCGGCCTCGGTGTTGGCGCCGTGGCGCTGAGCGCGCCGCTGCCCAAGGCGCCGTGGCGCCGGGCGCTGCGGCTGCTGAAAACGGCTCGGCGGAGCCACACGGAGCCCGACGAGGCGGGCGATGGCAGCTGCGGGACTTGGGAAGTCTGCGGTTGGGAGCCTGTCTGAAGTCACTAGTCTTCAGACTTCAGTCCAAACCCCAGACTTCACGATGTCCAAACCTCCAGTTTCAGGTGTGAAGAGGTGTTTGGAGGCCTTTGGGAATGCGCTGGGCAAGTTTTATGCATGAAAAGGCCATGCTTTCTCCCTTCTGCTTGCAGTTGCTAGTCAGCCTTCGACTGTTTTTGCCGCCTTGCCAAGTGGTTGAAACAGGTGCTTTGCGGCGCAGCCATAGGCAGCTTGGAGCAGAGCCTCGAATGGCGTCAAGCATTGAACTTCCTACGTGGGATGCGCTTGACAGCGCTGCGCCTCAGCGACGTGACGGTCTCCTCCTCTATCCTTATTTGTGCAGGCGCGGAATGCCAGCGGGTTGTGCGCTTTGTGGATGTAGCCCGTTCCATTCCGTGAGGTGCCAGACGCTGGGTGCGTGCCTTGTGGTTGCTGGAAGGCATCGGCGCCGCCGCTGCATCTAGCTACGCTTTGATTCTGGGTGAGCTGGAGCAGAGCGGGGCGGGTCCCGAATCGCTGCTCATGAGTCGCCTAGCAGAGAGTGCCTTTGGAGCGCTGCCACGGAAAGCCTCGTGCGGGTTGTTAGGCGTAGTAGGCTGCCGAGCATTCAAGATTGCATCCTTGAATCTGTGGCTGCACCATGTGCTGCAGTGCCATCCTGCAATCGCAGCAACTTTACCTTTGCTTTCATGAGCGCTCCACATGGGAGATGAGAAACAACAGCATACTTAGTAGTGTATGTGGCTTTGAGTTGCGTGTCGACGCTGCCAGCTCTCTAGCTAACCACAGTTACGGCATCAAGTTAGCAGCACCGGGCCACGTGCTCGTCAATCAGATTGATGTGTATGCTCAACTAGACTCGAGCTCCACTCCTCTCCTTACGCTTCGCAGTATGGTAAGTGATACCTAGGCAGGGCCAGGGGCCAACGGCACCTGCGTGAGAGCGCGCTGCGTTCAATTGCCCGAGGCGCAATTCATGCTGGGACTTGAGAATTTGGAGCCAGAGGAACAGCCGCAAGGCGACCCCGGCATTGCTGCATCCTGAGACTCCCCAGTATTTGTATTATGTACGTGTAACATCGTGTAACCTATGTAGCTTGATCAGTTCTGCATGTTGGAGCCGTTTTAGTGCACTAGTGAAATCATTGGGCCAAAGATCCGAGGATTTCCGAGCTGTTTGGCAGTTGACTTCTATGTCTTTGGGCGTGGGGCTTTTTGCCATCCCGCAGCGGCCTTAGAGTCAAGCACAACTACGTGCTTGCCGGCAAAATCCAGGTATTGCTTCGGAGCCCTTGGGGTGCTTCAGGGAGGCATTCTTGTGGTGGCCTTGTGCTCAGCTTGCCATGTTTCAGAAAGACGGCATGCTCATAGCACAAAGCACCTCTTGCGCAAAGTTTTCGGTCTCAGATGTACCAACTTCCAGTGTCACGTGCACTGTCTTACAATAGACACAGGACATAGCACTGGCCACAACGGCATTCTTTTGCAAATCTGGCTGCGGCGTGGGGTTAGTTGCAAATCTATGTTTGTACTTCTGAGATCAGCCAAAGACTCGGGTCGTTTGCCCGTTTCCTGCTATGTATGTCGCCTCAACCGGAGATGACAAGCTTCCACGGCTGGGCAAGGTTGAATGAAACATCGTTTCTGCTGAAGGTGCAAAAGAGCAACGGCTTCCAACGCTTGATCGGAACCTACAGCAAAGCTTTCGGCGTGGCCTTGGATGATGACAACCTGCAGAGCTTCGCTGAAGAAATCGGCAGATGTTGCTTGCGAGAAGCAGATGACATCATGTTCGCTGATGGTCCTCTTGCAGCAGCTCTACAAGAAGTTCAGCACTACAAGCAAAAGCTGGTTGAATGCAACCTCACAGCAATGAAGCAAATCACTGCTATGAGGGATGGCTGCCATTTGAGTGAGGAGCTGAAGGAGGATACTGTCATGTTCCACGAGCCGTTAAATTACATGGATGAGGCACAGCAGAGGCTGGTCATAGCTGTGGTCTGCGACAAACTTCGGCAGCTTGAGCGGGGCACCGCCCCACAGTCGCTGGTTGATGCGTTGACCCGCTATGCAGAAGCCCTCCTGAAACAGGAGGAAGGTGCAGGCATGGATGAATTGTTAGAAGTTCAGTCTGGCCTGCAGAAGATGCGGGTTCAGAAAAAGGCTGTTCAAGCAAGGCTCGAGCACGCAGAGACTGAAAGCAGCTTGCTCAAGAAGGAATTAGAGGACGGGGTGCCATTTGTTACATGGACCACTGCCTGGCCCTGCTTGAAGTGTGAAGCCTTGCTGAGTATGCTTTCATGGCTCCCACGCTTTTCCTGTTCCCTGACCCATCAGGAGGTGAGGAGTGCGCTCAGCGAGACCGCCAAAGCGTACGAGGAGCTGAGGGAGCAGGAGCCGGTGTGGCACGAGAGCATTGACGAGCTGCGGGACTTGTCGGAGCACCAGAAGGCGGAGATCGCGCAGCAGCGCGTGCATGTGGAGCACCTGGTGGCGGCTGTGGAGCGGCGCGAGGCGGAGATCGAGGAGCTCTCCGCGGCCAAGGACCGACTCGAGGAGCGGGGCGCGCAGCTCGAGGCGCAGCTCGGCGCCTCGGACGCGGAGCTCTCGGAGGCGCGGCAGGAGGCGCAGCGAGGCCAGGCCGAGGCCGCGCAGCTGCGCCGGAGCCTGGCGGAGCAGCAGCGCCAGGCGCAGGCTGTGGCGGAGGCGCTGCGGGTGGAGTGCGTGGAGCAGCAGGTCGCGAAGGAAGAGCTGAGGGATGCGCTGCAGCGCCAAACAGAGCAACAGACTTTGTTGCAACAGAGCCTAGATGTGCTGCAAGCACGACATGAAGCCTTGGCTTTGGAAGCAGCGGAGCTGCAGGAGGAGTTGCGTCGTAGGAATGCCACGCAGACCCAGGAATCGCAGACCGAGATCTGTGGGCCGGACTTGCAACAGGAGCAGGGTGAAGCCAGTCAGCTCCGGGTAGTCATGGAAGAGCTGCAAATGAGGGTCAGGGACATGATCGAAAGGTACCGCCAGCGATTCGGCAGCGAGGCGAAAGAGATGGCTGCAGACCTGGGCATGGATGAGCTGCTGCGACGCTTGGCATGCTGTGACTGTTGGCTCAGTAGGACAGGTTTCTGCATTAGCAAGCTTTGCCCAATGAAAGGCCTGGCTAACCTTGGATACCTGTAGATGCTTGGGTAAACAGAAAATGCTGACCCAGGAGAGCAGACTGCATTCCAGCGGCTATACGATGACGGCCTGCTTCGCGTGAATCGTCTTGAGCAGCTGCGTGAGAAGGTCCGCAGGGAGCGGAACAAGCTGGGCCTCACAGCAGATAGGGACGAGGCGACTTGACTGAGCTGGCGTCTTCAATAGTGTGTACCATGCAGAGTAGTTCTTGGTCAAAGTTCAGCTCCACGGGAAGTATGACGTCCAAGGTCTTGAGTACAAGGAATTGTTATTGATGTATAGACATTACCAATCGAACGCATATGAATAGAATCCTGTTCTTTTTTCCCCTTCTTTATGCATTACAAGACCTTTCAAGCTGTTCAGTGGTCCCTTTTGCACTTTTTGTTGCAGATTCCCACCAAAAAGAAACGTCAACCCCAAAAGACTCCCTTTTTCTGCGATCACTGGGTAGTTGGGCATAGTTTTTTTGGTTTTCTTCTCTTTTGATTTGTTTCTCATTGTTGTCTTGTCATTTTCAAGTCCCATTCTGACAAGTCTTGAACATAGGAACAATGAAACATATTATTAAGATAATTCCCATCGTATTGTTCTTTCTTTCTGAGTTGTTGATATGATGGACATTACCAGATTGTTAGTTCCTTGAGACAACCTTGAGAGAGTGCTGCTTGGCATTTGCGCAAACTCCACGTTTTTGCCGGTTTTGCTAAGGGTTTAGGATTTCGACTCCAGTTCAGTTTGCGCCGAAAATCTGCTTTGTTGCAGTGTGCCATCAGGTTTCCGTGCTTGCTGCTGTGGAAAAAAGTGATCTCCGAGGCCGGACTGATGCAGAACTTAAGACACTTGCAGTTTAATTTCTGGGCTGGTCAGGCCTCAGGCAGATGTTGCAAGCTGGCCGGGCCTCGAATGCCGATGGCATTGGCTTCGGCGAGGCAGACAATATGTCAGGAGTCTTCGATTCTCGGCCGCTTGCGAGCATCTCGTTTGCGAGGCGACGCAGGCCAGAGGCCTACCTGAGGCACGCAGCCTGGGTTCAGCCAGCGCCCAAGAATCTGAGAGCGGACACCGAGCCGTGGGATTCATTTGCAAACCCCAAGCTTCGGCTGAAGGTCACCCCTGTCCAGAGTCGGCACTGAGGTCTCACTGCCAACTCTGTGCCTGGGCTCAAACAGCTCAAGTTGGGATTTTGCGCCACGCCACGCCTGCCTTGACCAAGGCATACGAGCTCCTCGAGCTTCCCTGTGAAGAATCTGAAATTGGATTCATCGCAAAAGGGCTACAGAAGGAGCACTAAAACATGACCAGAGTGTCACAAGACACGGGTCACCCAGTTTGTACCTCGGCAGTTGTCAGAGAGTACACAATGAGGGCAGTGCAGAGCACAGCTTTGGAGCTCCGTGAAATCAGTGGAGCAAACGAGAAGTGACGGTTTGTTTCGGCGAAGGCGGCCATTGCTGTAGTTTCGTGGATGAAAGTATGGAAGTTCTGGTGGCGTGAGATGAGGTCTTGGGATTCTTGGCTAACACGGCTGCTGCCCCAGAGCTTGTGCTTGACCTAAGCATGTGGGTGAAGAGGTGCATTTGAGGCCATTGAGAGACTACTGGACTGTGCGGAGCTTCGCAACCTCTCAAAATATGAGGCGCCGACTGAGCCATAATCAAACACTGGTTAGATGAAGGTCAGTAGGGAACAGTCTCAGCCATAAGCAAGTGCGAACCGGCCTTTCATTGGCTTGGATAGATAGACCAGGGTAATACCCAGTTTTTCAAAGTCGGAGCTCGCAAGCAGGCGGCTTATTGCATCACCGCGGTGCTGTCAGGAGATTGCAAACTTTGCTTTTGGTCGAGCAGGTCAAGTGGCAATGGCAGAGACCTCAGCAAGTGGATGGTCGACAGGCATGGATGAGCCATGCCCCTGCAAAGTTGTAAGGCCTGCGTCATCGCTGTCACAACTTGGATTGTCGGCGTCTTACACTCCCCAGGGGAAAAATCATGACTTGCTGACCGCCGAAGGCTTCGCTGAGCTATTTGGCGGCAGCTCTGGAGCTCTTGGCCGGCCCCGAGCTACCATTGCGGGCTTCGAACTGACAAAGCTCGCTGAGGTTTGTGTGGCGCTGGCATTTCTGGCAGGCAGCTGCCCAAGTCAAACTTGAAATATGGTCGAGAAGCCAAGGGCACGGCCATTCAGTTGAGGTGTTGACATCGATGAAATAGGCCGAAATGCGCGCAAGTGCGTACATTAGTGATGTCTCATTGCAAAGTTTGAAGCACAAGCCACTGGGTAGACTTTTTGCTTGCGCAGGCGGTTCGGCAGCTGTTCTGAGTCGAGGAAAGCGCTCCCTTCTACTGTGCGCCAAGCTGTTCGAGTGAAGACTAGATTTGGTGTGATTTGGTCCTTTGCGAAGCGCCACTTGGACAGGCTTGCGCTGATAGCCGTCCCCACGCCGCAAGGACCTTGACTGCCATGCAGCAATTTAGTTCATGCCCGGAGTCGCTACCTGTGGCACTAGACATTCTCTGAGGAAACTGCTGAGACGGTCTATGGGTGACAATGTCTTGCTCCTAGCGCATTTGTTTATTGACTGGTGATGCTGCCTCGGTACTTGTTGGTCCTATTGATGATACAATGTCTTAGACTGGTGTCTGATTTTTACATCGTCACCGTGCGCAGCTTGTGCTCCCGGCAAGGCCTTTGTTTCCACAGCAGGAGTTTGTGCTATGTGCGCCGCCCTAGCCTTAGGGCATTCTAGCTTTTTTGCCATGTCAGGGTACTGCCAAGTCTGACCTCCACACTTGCTCATTCTCTCCCCCAGCTCTTCCGGCCGAGGCTGCAGTGGTTTTCATTGGGAGCTGTGTGCTGACTCTTTCCGGCTGCCAGCAGGAGAGCTGGTGACAGCATTTCAAACAATGTTTGTGACGGTGTCATGTTTGGAACCCTGTTTTCTAGCCAAACTGAACAATGGCTCAGTAGATTGAGACATAGCCACACCGCAGAAGACAAAGGAGCTTTGCATCAGGGGCCCGGAGAAAATTGGACGAGCCTATCATGCGGCAAATGCACTTGCTTGGAAGGAGCCTTGTTCTCATCCTCCTGCGCTCATCAAGGGAAATGTCCAGGAGGTTCTGGAGGTCGGGCTGACGCTTTGCCAAGCCTGCCCCTTCCTGCACCAATTTGGTGCTGGCATCCAACATGCTGAAAAGGTCAGATTAAGGCGTGTCCAACACGGGCAGCCTTTTTCCGTACTTAGAGCAAACACACAGGATATGTATATGTATATATACACATTTATGCATATTCTCTATCATTTCGAGATTCGGGGGTCCCCTATTTTGAGAGGCTCATTCGAGCGCTGTCGACTGCAGAACATGGCGACCTTGGCCTTCTCCTTTTCCATGGTCTTCGCAGTCTTTCCAGTCAAGCACTGAGCTTTTTCTGGTTATTCAGAGCAAACCATGACTTCGCGTGGCATGCAACTGCAGCAGTGTGCAATGGCTGAGTTAGTGGGTGACCGAGCTGCAGCAAGCGGATCTGTCGCGGTTGCAGTGTGGGACTGAGTGGCCATGAGCCAAGAAAGCAAGGCGTAACACAGAATGTAGTTGATAAGCAACCTTTGCCAGAAAGACATCCGTGGCATGCCTCTCATGTTCAAATGGCACCAAAGGCATTCAACTTTGTAGTTGACCTTGGGAGCTCTCCTTTCAGGTTAGGTCCATGAGGGCCGTGGTGAGGACCAGCATTACGTTTAGCTCTTCGCTCAGCTTGCAGAGCATTGGCAGGGTTGTGGTTGCGTGTAGCTTGGTTGCCTTACCCCAGGCGTTTGCATCTACTTGCTAGTTGGCTTGACTGGGGCCTTCGCCTTCAGCAGCCAAATCAGGCAGTTGTTTTTTTTTGGAGGACGCTTGCCACATTCGAAAGATTGCCATGCTGAAATTCGGAGGAAGCTCGCCTTGCAGAATCTCCCGCTGCAGCCAGAAGCCTGACAAAAAACACCGATTCCATGGCGTGAGAGGTGGGGATTGGCACCGAGGAACGTGCTTCCACAGCTCACGTTTACCGCTTGTGCCCTGGAACTTGTGCGCTTGATATCTGGTGTTTGGTGTGGCTCCGGTGCGGCTTTCGGGTCGGCTAGGTGGTGGGAGTCTGCTCGCTGCTCTTGGTGGCCATCGTAGCCTTCCCGTGCATCGAGTCCCTCGCGCTCTGCCATCACCTGGCTTGGGCGCCCGGGCGAGTCGCGAACGAGCCGCGGGCGAGTTCCGTGGAGCGGCGACCGAGGCGTGGCCTGCGAGCCGCAGGGACGCTCGCGCCGCGATTGTGGCTTGCGCCTGGTACCAGGGACTTGCTTCGCTTCGGGCAGGGTTCGCTTGAAATGGGACCTCTCCAAAGGAAAAGCAAAACACGCCATGGCGATGGCGACGTTTTGGGGAGATATCGGGCGGAGTGGGCTTGAGGATAGTGTCCAACAAAATGATAGATCGGGAAGTTGTCCAGGCCCAGCTGGCATTGGTGAGGTCGCGATCATGTCAGTGCTGACTGATGCCTTCATCGACACCAAGATCGCCTTTGCACTCACAGGCGTGGCCAGTCATCGTTGAGGTGATGGGGTTCAGAATCAGCAAAGGAAGCCCGATGAGAGTGGTCATTTCCATCAGGTGCCTTGGGGTTGTCGCTTGCGGCATATGCCCGATCCTGAGACTTGCTTTACCTTCGTCATGCAAAGTGTCACGCCCAGGTTATGCCTGCATTGCTCTACCTGCGGCTTCGCGGTTCAAGCGGTGGCAGGTGGAGGCAGGTTATTGATGTGAAGACTGAAAGCAGACTGCGCCGCTAAAGGATTCTTTACATTTTTCTGCGTTTCGAATAACAGCACTGCGAGGGCAAGTTACAAGCTCTGGATCATACCGTCCACAGCTGGATCTTGAGTTTGAAGGGATGAGGTGAGACCTGTAAAGGTGCGACTTGACACTCATTATTGACCCATCGACTTACGGCAACCAAAGTGCAAGCGTTGGGAGACACCCATTTTCCAATCCCAATCATTTCCATGGGGCCAATAATTTCCCGACATGTGAAACCTGACCGCACCTTTGCCCGCAGGTCTTTCAGTGCTTACATCCTGCTGTTGTTTGGCGGGGTGGTACTCTTGGGCGGAACCCCTGCAACCGCCGGGTCCCCGGCGAGAGCTGCCTGACTCTTGAGTTTCATGTTGAAGGTTCCAAGTCCACTGGTAGCTGTCGGTTCTTGTTTTTTGACTTAGGTCGTGGCAGCTATGCAAAAGCCGGGCAGCAGCCCAGGGACCTTGTCCGCCTGGGCCTTGTTCGGTGTGCAAGGAGGAGGTTGCGTCTTGAGTTGCAATATATATATATATACTTTAGAGCCTCCGGCTCAGTCCGCCGACATTGTCCTCTCCCTTTTCTCCTTCTTCCTCTCTCCCTTGTCTCCCTGGTGTGTTCTGTCGTCCTCTCTCCCTCCCTCCGCTCCCCATCCTCCCCATCCCCCCAAGCCACTCTCTCCCCAATCTCCCTCTCTCGTATGTATGTATGTATGCATGCATGTATATATGTATGTATGTAATGTATGTATGTATGTATATGTATGTATGTATGTGTATGTATGTATGTATGTATATGTATGTATGTATGTATGTATGTATGTATGTATGTATGTATGTATGTATATGTAATGTATGTATGTATGTATGTATGTATGTATGTATGTATGTATGTATGTATGTATGTATGTATGTATGTATGTATGTATGTATGTATGTATGTATGTATGTATGTATGTATGTATGTATGTATGTATGTATGTATGTATGTATGTATGTATGTATGTATGTATGTATGTATGTATGTATGTATGTATGTATGTATGTATGTATGTATGTATGTATGTATGTATGTATGTATGTATGTATGTATGTATGTATGTATGTATGTATGTATGTATGTATGTATGTATGTATGTATGTATGTATGTATGTATGTATGTATGTATGTATGTATGTATGTATGTATGTATGTATGTATGTATGTATGTATGTATGTATGTATGTATGTATGTATGTATGTATGTATGTATGTATGTATGTATGTATGTATGTATGTATGTATGTATGTATGTATGTATGTATGTATGTATGTATGTATGTATGTATGTATGTATGTATGTATGTATGTATGTATGTATGTATGTATGTATGTATGTATGTATGTATGTATGTATGTATGTATGTATGTATGTATGTATGTATGTATGTATGTATGTATGTATGTATGTATGTATGTATGTATGTATGTATGTATGTATGTATGTATGTATGTATGTATGTATGTATGTATGTATGTATGTATGTATGTATGTATGTATGTATGTATGTATGTATGTATGTATGTATGTATGTATGTATGTATGTATGTATGTATGTATGTATGTATGTATGTATGTATGTAATGTATGTATGTATGTATGTATGTATGTATGTATGTATGTATGTATGTATGTATGTATGTATGTATGTATGTATGTATGTATGTATGTATGTATGTATGTATGTATGTATGTATGTATGTATGTATGTATGTATGTATGTATGTATGTATGTATGTATGTATGTATGTATGTATGTATGTATGTATGTATGTATGTATGTATGTATGTATGTATGTATGTATGTATGTATGTATGTATGTATGTAATGTATGTAATGTAATGTAATGTATGTATGTATGTATGTATGTATGTATGTATGTATGTATGTATGTATGTATGTATGTATGTATGTATGTATGTATGTATGTATGTATGTATGTATGTATGTATGTATGTATGTATGTATGTATGTATGTATGTATGTATGTATGTATGTATGTATGTATGTATGTATGTATGTATGTGTATGTATGTATGTAATGTAATGTAATGTAATGTAATGTAATGTAATGTAATGTAATGTAATGTAATGTAATGTAATGTAATGTAATGTATGTATGTAATGTATGTATGTATGTATGTATGTATGTATGTAATGTATGTATGTAATGTAATGTATGTAATGTAATGTAATGTATGTATGTATGTAATGTATGTATGTATGTATGTATGTATGTATATGTATGTATGTATGTATGTATGTATGTAATGTAATGTATGTATGTATGTATGTATGTATGTATGTATGTATGTATGTATGTATGTATGTATGTATGTATGTATGTATGTATGTATGTATGTATGTATGTATGTATGTATGTATGTATGTATGTATGTATGTATGTATGTATGTATGTATGTATGTATGTATGTATGTATGTATGTATGTATGTATGTATGTATGTATGTATGTATGTATGTATGTATGTATGTATGTATGTATGTATGTATGTATGTATGTATGTATGTATGTATGTATGTATGTATGTATGTATGTATGTATGTATGTATGTATGTATGTATGTATGTATGTATGTATGTATGTATGTATGTATGTATGTATGTATGTATGTATGTATGTATGTATGTATGTATGTATGTATGTATGTATGTATGTATGTATGTATGTATGTATGTATGTATGTATGTATGTATGTATGTATGTATGTATGTATGTATGTATGTATGTATGTATGTATGTATGTATGTATGTATGTATGTATGTATGTAATGTAATGTAATGTAATGTAATGTAATGTAATGTAATGTATGTATGTATGTATGTATGTATGTATGTATGTATGTATGTATGTATGTATGTATGTATGTATGTATGTATGTAATGTATGTATGTATGTATGTATGTATGTATGTATGTATGTATGTATGTATGTATGTATGTATGTATGTATGTATGTATGTATGTATGTATGTATGTATGTATGTATGTATGTATGTATGTATGTATGTATGTATGTATGTATGTATGTATGTATGTATGTATGTATGTATGTATGTATGTATGTATGTATGTATGTATGTATGTATGTATGTATGTATGTATGTATGTATGTATGTATGTATGTATGTATGTATGTATGTATGTAATGTATGTATGTATGTATGTATGTATGTATGTATGTATGTATGTATGTAATGTAATGTAATGTAATGTAATGTAATGTAATGTAATGTAATGTAATGTAATGTAATGTAATGTAATGTAATGTAATGTAATGTAATGTATGTAATGTAATGTAATGTAATGTAATGTAATGTAATGTAATGTATGTAATGTAATGTAATGTAATGTAATGTAATGTAATGTAATGTAATGTAATGTAATGTATGTATGTATGTATGTATGTATGTATGTATGTATGTATGTAATGTATGTATGTATGTATGTATGTATGTATGTATGTATGTATGTATGTATGTATGTATGTATGTATGTATGTATGTATGTATGTATGTATGTATGTATGTATGTATGTATGTATGTATGTATGTATGTATGTATGTATGTATGTATGTATGTATGTATGTATGTATGTATGTATGTATGTATGTATGTATGTATGTATGTATGTATGTATGTATGTATGTATGTATGTATGTATGTATGTATGTATGTATGTATGTATGTATGTATGTATGTATGTATGTATGTATGTATGTATGTATGTATGTATGTATGTATGTATGTATGTATGTATGTATGTATGTATGTATGTATGTATGTATGTATGTATGTATGTATGTATGTATGTATGTATGTATGTATGTATGTATGTATGTATGTATGTATGTATGTATGTATGTATGTATGTATGTATGTATGTATGTATGTATGTATGTATGTATGTATGTATGTATGTATGTATGTATGTATGTATGTATGTATGTATGTATGTATGTATGTATGTATGTATGTATGTATGTATGTATGTATGTATGTATGTATGTATGTATGTATGTATGTATGTATGTATGTATGTATGTATGTATGTGTAATGTATGTATGTAATGTATGTATGTATGTATGTATGTATGCAATGTAATGTAATGTAATGTAAGGTAAGGTAATGTAATGTAATGCAATGTGTCATGTATGTATGTATGTAATGTATGTATGTATGTATGTATGTATGTACATATGTATGTATGTATGTATGTATGTATGTAATGTAATGTAATGTAATCCTAATGCAATGCAATGCAATGTAAGGTAATGCCTGTCTGTCTGTCTGTATGTATGTCTGTATGTATGTATGTATGTATCCTTGCACTTCCCCTTTGCTCCCCAGTATTTCCCGCAAAATACACGGTTTTTCCCGCGTTTTCGCAAAGAGGATGTCCAAAAACACAGAGTTTTGTCAGATTTTCGGCAAAAGGATGCAGGAAGCCCAAGCCAGCAAAAAAGCCGGCAGGGGGAATCGAGCCTGGGACCCCTGTTTTGCAACACCGGCTCCCCGAAGACTACGTTTAGTGGAACGTCATGAAATTGCCGCGCGGTACGTGGGGGGACCCCCCCCCAAAAAAAAAAAAAACCTACGTAATAGACGTCGGGCGGGGGGGGGTTAGGGGGGGGGGTTATCCTCTATCCTCTCTTAGGTGTCCGACACGCCGAGCAATGTCGGCGGATATATGTATGTGTATATATATATATGTATTATCGAAGGAAGTTTAGAAGTCTAATATCGAAGGAAGTTTAGAAGTCTAACTTCCGACAATATCGACAACTCAAGCAGAGCAGTGCAGAGCGAGAGATAGAGAGAGAGAGAGAGAAGAAGAGATGAAGAAGCGATGAAGAAAGATGAAGAAGCGATGAAGAAAGATGAAGCATGGTGTGCGAAATGTTAGAAAGGTCGCGAAATGCTGTATTTTTCAATGTTTTGAGCCTCCAGACGGCCCAGAAGTTACTTCGGTAAAGCGGCGGGTGCGGAGCCTTTGGTCGGAATTGCTGGCAAAAAATCGCACGCGGCCTGCGCGCGGTGCACATTTGGAAGTCAAAATCGTAAAAACACTACATGCTCGGGCTACTTTTGGAAGCTCCAACTTTCAAAAATCGCACGCGGCCTGCGCGCGGTGCACATTTGGAAGTCAAAATCGTAAAAACCTGAGAGGGTCGGGCTACTTTTGGAAGCTCCAACTTTCAAAAATCGCACGCGGCCTGCGCGCGGTGCGCGTTTTTAAGATGCAATGTAGCTTGACAGCGGTAAAACGCATTGGAATGGCAACGCGCAAGGCTTTTATCTAACTTGGAAAAATGCGTGGCGCCTGCGCGCGGTGCGCGTTTTTAAGATGCAATGTAGCTTGACAGTGGTAAAACACATTGGAATGGCAACGCGCAAGGCTTTCATCCAATTTGGAAAAAATGCGTGGCGCTTGCGCGCGGTGCGCATTTCTAAGATGGAATGCAGCTTGGCAGTGGTAAAACGCATTGGAATGGCAACGCGCAAGGCATCCTACGCTGCCCTGTTGAGTTAGTCGCGCTCTAGATAGATAGACAGACAGACAGATAGATAGATAGATAGATAGATAGAAAGCTGGAAAGATAGAGAGACAAGTAGACAGATAGATAGAGAGGTAGACAGGCAGATAGATAGGTAGATAGACAGATAGATAGATAGATAGGGAGGTAATGTCGCTGTGACCGTGTGGCGTTTCGGCTCTGTCTTGTCAGTTGCTCCGCGTATGTCATGTTTGTTCAATGTCCCGGTTTTCGTCACCAGCATCACTAGCATCACCACCACCACTGTTCATGTTTGTTCATGTCCCGGCTTCAATCGCGGAGCGGCAACTCACATCACCACCACCACTACCACCACTACACTTTCACCAGCACTCCCACCAGCACCACACACAGGCCGAGAACATGTTAATGTTCTAGTTTGTTGTTTGTCACCAGCCGACCTACCAGCATCACGCTCAGGCGGACAACCTCTTGATGTTTTTTTTTTAGTTTGTGTTCCCACAGAACGCATATACTTCCACAGACACATGCCAGTGACATCGTTTCCTTGTGTATCCCGCACGGTGGAGCGCGTCTTTTCTGACCGCTCCGGACGCCATGGCAGACGCATTTGATAAGACGGTGGCGTTTTTGGCAGCCTACTCGCAGGAGCTTGTGCAAATGAAGAAGCCGACGCTTACAGCTTTGCTCAACAGCAAGCGGCGCAGTCAGGTACCAGAGTGGGAGCGAGCCAGAAATTTCTGCAGACGAAAACTTTCAAGCTTGGAGCCAGCTCAGCAGCAGATTTTGGAAGACTGGGAGTTTGTGCTTTGTGACAAGTCCACGTTGGAGGCTGCGCCTTTTCTGGCCGGCCTTCAACGCTGCTTTTGCCGCGTGGAGGCATTTTTGACAGAGACGGCAGAGGCGATAAGATACTCAAGCAAGCCAAGCTTGCTGGCAGCTTTGCAGAGTCGACACATGCAGGAATTTCAAATGTCGAGCTTTTGCCGTGTTTTCCTGCTGCGCTATAGCGACCGCTTGGCGTCTGCGGAAAAGGATTTTTTGCTTGCAAAGGAAGCTGAGTTGTGTCAAGTGAGTGCTGCGGCAAAAGAAGCTGCAGCATCGCGTCGTGCTCCTGCCTTTGTCGAAGTGCAAGCCTTCTTCGCTCAGAATGCTGTTGAAATTGCTCAGCTACAGAAGCAAAGCTTGTCAGCTGTTGTCAGCAGCAACCGCGCGAATTCCGACACACGTTGGAAGCAAGCTAAGAATTTCTTCGACAGGCACGTGGCATTGTTGAATGCCGACCAGAAAGAGCATTTAGAAGACTGGGAGTTTGTGCTTTGTGACAAGTCCAAGTTGGAGCTCATGCTGGGCATGTGTGCTTCCGTGCACTTGGCGCGCCAGGAGGCTTGGGATGTTGCCTTGTATGACTTTCTTTTAGGCTGCGGCATCAGAGCGCAGCGCACGCGTCCTGGCGATGCCGATGCCGGCTGGGTGGCGCATAACTACCGCAAGAGGCACCACGCTGCCCGCTCTGTGGTGCGACCCGTTTGCTGCACCATGTGGGGTGAAAAGTATCGCCCCATTGGATACTTAAACGATGCGGGGGACATCGAGCACTACTTGGTGCACGACACATGCCCTCTTGGAAGATGTCGCAGGCACAAGCAGCTTATGGGCTTTGGCACCGTGTGCCCACACTGGCATGGCTTCAACAAAAAACACGGCATCATGGCCACTCTGAACGCGCAGCGATACTTGAGGTACACGGAGATCGGAAGCAAAGGGGCTGACCCGCGCGCGCGAGACCAGCGGGCCAGCCAGTATCTTCGCACGCTTTTGCAGGAGTTAGGCTTTGTGGCCCGTGCGGACGAAAGAGCAGCAGACGGCGATGACCGCGTGATGCTCATAGGCCTTCCCCGCTGGCTCCCTGAGTTTCACAGCAACGAAGGCCAAGACATACCCGGCTTGGTTGCCTTTACTCCGCTGCACGCCAAAAAACACTTCGAGCAAAATGACATTGACGAGTGTCTCCAGCTTCGCACCGCGGCGCAAGAGGTGCACGATGACCTTGAACGCTTGACAAGACAGCGCTGAATGCGCTTGAGATGCGCCAGGGTGCGTCTTTTCTGACCGCCCGGCGCTTGCCAGGCCGTGTGCCTTGCAGTGTGCCTTGCCTGGCAGCATGCGTCTTTTCTGACCGTGCTGCCTTGAACAGAGACAAAGTGAATCTGCCCGCATAAAAAGGAAAAAGAGCCGGTGGGACAACGGGCGGGCGGATGGTAACAAAGGGTAAATGATGGAGGCTTAAGACTTGTCAAACATTTGCGGTCAGGCAGGCTCCCTGTCAGCCAGGTTTTCTTTCCAGTTTTTGTCCGAGCGGTGGAATAGTTGCCTGTGAAGACATGACCTGTTGATTTCTTTTGTGACCGTTTGGCCATGTTCGTCACAAACAAAACATGATTGGTTTTCAATTTGGCCCCAAACATGTTTGCCCTGGTTGTTCAAGCCTCCTATAGTGGTTCTTTTTTAGAAACTTCCGCCACCGCCTTGCGCGGTACTACTTGTAATATATGTATATATATACCCATGTATGTATCTGTATATATATATATATATATATACCGCGTTAATTTCAGCGAACACATGATTCCACCCTGCAATTCCTTCAATCCCAGTATCAACTTGGCGCACACTAGTTCATGTACCACAACTCAGTCCGAAAGTGCTGTCCAAGGATTTGGTGTGCCCGCAGGCCAGTGCAGCTGCAAAATGCGTGTAAGAGTAAAAAATGCAACCCGAATGAATTCTGAACACTCAGCCAATGCAGTGTGTGGACTTGGGCAACGCTGCAGTTCCACCAAACACAAGCCATGCAGGCCTTCAAGCTGTGATCCGTGCAGCACGCGCACAGAGCGGGGGAAAAGAGGTTCTCGTCCTCGCGAGGGGCCTCACAGGTGTTCAGCTGCTGTCTTCTGACCTGCTGCTCCCTTGCCGCCACGCCAGGTTTCGTGCGAGATGGAGACTGGGAATTCACTGAGAGGGGCAGAGCCGTCCGTGGCCTGCAACTTCGTCTCTACTTCGCAGCCTACCTGTGTAATTAGAAGAATGAGCCTCGCCCATCAAAACATGGACTCACCTGAAGCAACGGTTTCCTAGCTTTGGTTTCCATGCTCTGCCTGAAGATAGCACGTGTGGGAGATAGCACGCCGGCGACAGAAAAGCCGGATTGGATTCTGATGGCGCCGGAGTGACAATTGGTGTTTGATCCTTGTCGCTGTGAAGGCGCGAGCAGCCGCCCATGCGGTGCCCACAGGCAATGGGCTGACTGATCAGAGAGCAGCAATGGTGCTTTCCATTCCAATGGGTTGGACTTGTCTCCAGCAAGCCGCCAGCCACTTCTGATTTATTTATACATGATGAACATGCGTTCTACTTCCGGAGGTCATGATCACAGCATCGATTTGATCTCCAGGTGGTGGCTATGTTAGGCCTGCTCCCATGCAGGCGGGGTGCAGACGTGCAGACGGTCCGGCATACCGCGGCTCACGTTCGAGACGCCGTATGCCATAAGTTCACATGGCTTTCGGAAATAGCTTTGCAATGGTTCTTGAAATTGTTTCTCAGGGTTTCGCATTCGCATGCGTTCCCATATGTGTGATGATAGCACACCCAAAAGCCCCAGATCACAGACAATGACTTGTTGTGTTGCATTTGCCTGGCCAGGCAGCACAGCACCCCCCCTGGGAGGCAGGAATGAGTGAACGCGTGTGGTATGTGCATTGCCTCCCGACTGTATGGCGTTGGTGCGCATGCATTTGCCAAGCCGCAGGCTCCTGCTTGGAGCAAGTCGGGTCACTCCGGCGGCTTTTGGAGCAAGACAACTACATGTTACATGAGTCCAAGTCCTTGTTGAAAGGGTACTGTTTGATCGGCTCGGGAGAATGAGTCATGGCCGGAAGCCGTTGTGGGCTCCGTAGAGTGACTGTTCACATGCTGAGTGCTAACCCATGACGAGTCCTTCCAGAAATGTCACCCTGATTGCGTTGAACAGACATCCAGCTGTTTCATCCGTATGCCAGTGCGTTTTCTAATGAGAAGCCCTGCTGGTACGTAAAGCAGCTGCAAAAAGGGCAAGACCAAGCCGACAGCAGGACACAGCCATCACTCCATTTGCGCATCAAAAAGAATGAGCGCCATGGGTGGCCGAGTGCCGAACATCCGGGAAAGTATTTTGTGGACTCAGAGGATTGAGAAGGAGGACAAGGTCAATGCCACCTCAATGGCGGCCTTTTCACTGAGAGCTGCAGTAGGGGTTGCCGAGGTTCCAGCGAAATTCAAGCCTGGACACGTGAATCCGGCAGGCGGTCTTGCAAAAGAGGCAGGCTTTGATCCTGTGAAGCTTGGCTGGGAGCCTGATGGCCCTGAAGCGAGCGAGTTTCGCAGATGCATCAACCTGCAAACGGCAGCGTCGCGTCAGCGATATGCTTACCCAGAGACATCCTACCAAGAGCATGGTTGGCTCCTGCTGCCACCCGGAGATCCGGTTGCGCGAACTCGCAAGAAGAAGCTCCGCTATGGTCTTGGATGGGAATGGAAAGCCCCTGCAGATTGGAGTGAGAGCACAGCCGCAGCTCCCCTGGTGGATGCTTACAGCAACGTCTCAGCCGCAGCTCCCTCAGTGCTGTCTGCCATTCCGGAGAGCCAGCTGGCAAGCAATCAGCCAGGGAAGGCCTCGGTGCTCTCGGCCTCAGCGCCAAACATCTTGGCCCCGCGCTTCGGGGATTCCCGAGCAAATGCCACACCAAGCGTATCCTCGGTGCCGAGGCCTCAGACCCCAGCGTGAACAAGACTTGCGAACGGCCAGTCGCTGTCAACTGCCAATCATCGACATCAACTTGTTAGGAAACGTATGCAGACAAACAAGATGGCCTTAAAACAGCTGTTTTCCCATACAGTATGTTGGGTCGCCTAATTCCAAGCCATAGACAGCTGGTGACTGGTCTACAGGTTTGAAGCATGTTGTTTTCGGAGCCCAAGTTTCTTGTGTTTCAGCATGTTTCGGCATGTTCCAGCCTTTGGTGATTCGACCTCGTGACTCGTGAGGTCCAAGCCCAGCTCCATCGACCTCACCTCGGACGTGGCTTTGCGCCTAAAGCGACGGGAGGAGAAGCTGGCGGAGAAGTGGCAGGACGCCTTCGCCTACCAAAACGGAGGTGGATGCCTCGATGTCAGATTTCTGAGCGCTGACCTTGGAAGCCTGTGCCCAACTTGGGGGATCCTGCATTTTTGGGGGAGACCCCAACTCATCCGCCAAGTTCGCTGTTTCATGGCCTCTGGCCTGGTTCCGCCCCCATAGGGAGGCATGCCGGGCATGGGGTCGGCGGATTCCGACTGGACTGGGACAATGCCCTGAACGCGTGATGGATTTGCACTCGCACGTCCCAGGCCGCAGAGGCCAGAAATGGTACAAGCCTCTAGGGCAGACAGATGCCTGCGCCCCAGCCATTTTCCGGATTCCCCATGGGGCAGGTCCAGAAGGGAATACTGAATCGCTAAGTTTCTTCTTTAGGCATGCAATCGGACACTTTCCAACAAAAGAACACGATGGCAAAGTCTTCTATGTAGCTTGGTTGGAGAAACTGAGTTCCAGAACGTCGTGTGCAGACTTCTGAGGCTACAAAATTTGCCGATGATTTCACCAAGGCACGGTATCACACATTTGCTGTTGTCACATTGGCAGGATAATATTGTGCGAGGAGTCAGAGAGATTGCACTGTCTTCTTTTTTGCCAGGCTACCGGCGGCGTTCCACTGTACAAAATGGGCAAATGAGCTCAGGCAACCAGCCTCAGCTGACGGGATCCAGGAGTTTTGGAGCAATGGGCCGTCTTTTCGGTCCCCTCCACTTGAAACTTCCTAGAGGCCTTGTCCTTTGTCTCACACGTCTCACCAGCTCGAAGAAGAGCAGCTTGATCATCGCATTTGCGAGGAGCGTGAACCAGTGCGGGATGGGGGTTCCAGATTGACAAAACCCCGCAGATCCCAACAAGCAGCCACTGTCAGCCAAGCCCAATGCTCCCCTGCTCCTATCGGAAATGGTTGTCACATGGATCACGCGTAGGTCAAAGCCATCCGCAACAGCACTACACGTCAACCCATGAAATCCATGGGATCACATCTGCCAGGTGAAAGTGGCCGCTCCGCCCCAAGCCAGCGCCTGATTCGCCTCAAGAGCCCTTGAATCAGCAGGTGTCTGCACTTGTGAGCACCTGGCTTAAGCTAACTATGTCATTCAGCACATTCAATGCTGCACGCATGATTTTTTTGCTCAGCTTTTGGTTCAGCGGTGGAACTCGAAGACCTGTCAACAAGACGGACGTGGCTGCTGCCCAACAGCAAAACACAAACACATACCGCCGCAAGCTATAGTGCAGGAAACATCTCATGACATGGATGCTTATGCACTAGGCAATGCCAAGTTCAGCCGACACCGTGCCAGGTTTTGCGTTCACAAGTTTGAGACTTCGCGACGCGTTGGATACATAGGGGACATTTTTGCCAACAGCAATGCCCCACGGCCCCAGAGATGTGGAAGTTCAAGCCGACGCTGCAAAGCCAGATTTCCGTCGGATCTACGAGGTGGGGGGACCGAATGCAGCCTCCTCCCTCCCCTGGTGTGTATTGGAGCGGTTTAGTATTGGCAGAAATTGGCAGAGTCTTGGATGAGTCTTCCTGAGCGTTGGTGTGCTTTGGTCAAGCATGCGCGTATCCAATCAACACGCCACCCAAATGACCCCCGCTCATATAACCCATTGTCTCACCTTGTTTATTTTCTTGTTTGCTTGCTTGCTTCTTTGCTTGCTTGCTTGCTGGCAGCATTCCATGCGGAGGGTGGGATGTTCATTCTTATAGGCGGAGGGGTTCTTCCTGCTGAACAGTAAAGTCGAGGGGGAACCCATATTAATATATATATATATATATGGTACCACCCCAATGGACCCTGGTTTGCTGAGCTTGCGCTGTGTTTTTCCAGTGTTTTATTCCTTTCTTTGCCTCCTTGATTTTGTGGCTTTTTTTTTGGGGGGGGGCTATGTATATATATATACATAGATGCGTAATGGAAGCAATGATGTCAACATCTACCATCTGACAGAGTGTGCATGCATCTCAGAGTATTGGGACACCTCTGGATTTGTTAAAAAAAGATGGGATTAATGAGAAACATCTTTTTGGGAATCTTGAATCTTGAATCCCATAATTTTTTGAATTTTTAAAATTCCAGGGTTGTCCCAATATTCTAGGTTTTCAACACATACTTCTGCAACCAGGGTATGCGCACCCATTTGCAGTCATTTAATCTGCAACCATCCAAGCTCCCGCAATGAGTTCAAATTGGGGCAAGATTCTCGGAAAAGCTTTCTGTGAAAGATTTCAATCTTGAATCTTCAATCCAGTGGTCAACTATCTTCGAGGTTTTGGACCAACTTGAAAGTTGTTTTTTGCGGTTGGCCAGGATTGACTCTTCTCAAAGGTTGTTTGTGCAATCTTGAATTGTGAATCCTCAATCCTGGAATCCAGTGGTGAAGCACTTTCAAGAACAACTTCAATGTTGTTCGGCTTTGGCCAGGATTGACGATTCTCTGGAAAGTGTTGTGTGTAATCTTCAATCTTGAATCTTCCATCCAGCGGTAAAATACGTTTAAGTGCTTAGCGATCCAGTGGAAACACTTTGAAGTTCTTAGACAAACTTTCAAGCGCTTTTGGTGAGCGTTTTGTAAGCTATGCTCATGTTGACCTTTTCCAGGAGGTAAAGCTAGGTGTAATGCTGAAAACACTGTATTTTACGGCATTCTATGTAGAGAAAGAGGCGCATGATTCATGAGGGGTACTATACGCTTTTATGTATGTGTATATATATATGTATATATATATATATGTATATATATGTATACACATGTCCACACAACGTCACCCTCCCCCCCCCCCCAAAAAAAAAAAAAGACTACCTGTCCACCTCTGCTCATCATCTACTGCCGCTTTTTGAGATAGAATAAATTATTTTTCCTGCCCAAATAAGACATTCAATACAGCTGATTCAGCTAGAATCCCTGTTTCGAGATACTTTCAGAATTTGGGCCTCTGCTCCTTTGAAATGTCCATTTTGGAACACCGTCTAACAAGTTTGATTTCGAACCTTTCTTTGGAAAAAAACCGGGCCATAATGTAAACAACACAAATCGTATTTCAAATTTCCTTGTAGAAGTCCCTTAAATATTTAGTTATATTAATAATAATATGAATTATATTTGAGAAGTACTTTGTATTTGATTGTTATCAAAAGCCAATTGAACTATGTTCGTATTAGATTATACCTAACATTAGCATTATATTTGGCAACACCGTCATCTATGTTTGTTGCTAAAGATTAGTTGAATTTACCCGAACACATATTTACTTCTTGATGCACCTATCTGGAAAGGAATTGTTTTAAGACATGGTTGGCCCTAAAACACGTCGTGGACAACTTTCTCCTTTCCAGGTTATTTTCAAAAGTCCAATTCCAGTTGAACTAAACGTCCTCTTTGGCCAGGATCTCATTTCGCAGGACTCCGGGCTCCAAATTAGACAGTTCCAGAATTCAAATCGCTAGATTCTAGATTTATCATCACTAAAAGGCACCAAAACCAGGGTCCTTGGTGGGGGGCACATATATGATATATATGTATTGTAGAGGGGGTGAGAGAGAGAGAGAAAGAGAGAGAGAGAGATATATGGTGCGCATCTCTTGAATCGTAAGCATGCACATGCACGCAAGTAAAAGAAAGCAAGGACCCGATAGATTGTGGACGAGAAAGACGCCGAGCGCCCTGCAGGTGTGGCCTTCCAAGACCTTTTTTTGCTGCTGGGGCCGATGCGTGACGGCCTACCCCAGCGCTTTGAATGCAGAAACTCAGACCGGTCATTTGATATGTGAGGGCTATCCTTTGAAGATCACAGCCAGTTGCAGGCATACTTGTGGTTAAAATGGAGCATCCAGAGAAGGTCCACCATGGGCGCTCGGTCAAGTTCTGCAGGTGGCCCGACATTTTGTGCGTGGACCTTCATCTTGGTTCCCTGCGGGCCGCAGTCTTGGTTGGCAGTGATACGTGCATGCGCCGCTCATCCGTGTGCTTGGGAAGCGCCAAGGTTTTATTGTATGTTCATAGAGCGCCTTTGGAATGAGTGGTATCCATTGGTGCCCGTGGCTGCATGCTGTATCTTCCTCCTGACCACCATGCGCCTTGGCCCGGTTGTGTCTTGTCAACCTCAAATGCAGAGCTGTGGAAGAAACAATCATAAACATGATCGATGTGCTGACTTGGCGCGGTGGCTATTTGGGTATGCGATTGGGGGAGGGTAAAGTTGCAGACCGAGTTTGAAATTTCGGATTAATGTTGACCTCATATTCATCAATCTCAGTTTATTATTGGGAGGGTGGGGGCCCCTCCAAAAACCAGGGACGTGGTCAACATTCACTTTGAGCCACATCGCCTTGCCGCATCGCCAGGCTGCTTTGTTTGACATGCTGCTCGGATCCTGGTGCCATTCCACGGAGAAAGGTCATCATTTCTGCTGGGTCGCTTGGCAGAGGAGTTTCGCGCAGGGAGTTTCAGACATACAATCTTGCGAACTAGCAGCCAACAGCTTGTGCTTGCAGGCAAAGTAAAAAGAGGTCAGAGGTGACACCCAGGGTCACACGATGATGTTTACTGGGCCAGCGAATTGCTGAGTGTGAAGCTGACTCCAACATGTTGCCACAATTTGGACATACCCAAGGTTGGCAGAGGAGCTTTCAGAGCTTCTAGGCACGGGGTGTCTTTGTCAGAAACAGGGTCGAATTGGCGATGGTTTTGTGAGATTGGCCCACAGTTCTTGCCAACACGAGCCGAACATTTTGGAGCGGGCACTTTCTGCCGCGCTCATTCAACTTCCCAGCAACATCCAAGTGGCGTCAGTCACGCGCAGGCTATTCTGTCCTTGGTCGTGGTGAGCCCACCGGGCAGGCCGAAGTGGTGCCTTGGGCTGCATTTGCATTTATTTGCGTCGGTGCACGAGCAGGGTCGGTCAATAGTTCTCGCTGAGGACGGAACAGCCATGGTGCCAGACGAACTCAGAAAGAGGCCAAGTCTGGTAGGAGTTTCAATGGCATGGCTAGAAAATGCAACATGTTTCCGCAATAATATATGCAGCGACATCAGCCAGGGGCTTCAAATGGTGCCGGACATGCCAGATAGTCAGACCCCCAAGGTGCTCACATTGCCTGGGTCTCAGACACATACAGATCGCTAATGCGCAGCTAGCCTTCATGCGCACGAGGGATATCCCTTTTCAGAGCACAGAGGTTTCGCAAGCTGGTGGAGCAGTAGTTTTTCGACATCGCATGTCTTATGCTGGATTGTCAGGTCCCGATTGCGACCAATGTGTATTGCGCTACGATCACCACTGCCCCTTTGTGAACAACTGCATTGGTCAGAGGAACTACCATTTCTTTGCGGCTTGACTGCCATGGGTATGTTGTGGATCGGAATCATGATAGAATTGAATCTGAGCACGCTCGGCCCAGGCCTGACCAATACTTAAACATGAACGCTTCTGAGGTTGGCTTTGTCACCTCCGTGGTTTGCTTGGCGCTGGCTGTCCTGCCCGGTCTGCTTTGGTGTATTTTGACACCAAGCACCACAACGGAGGCGGATCTTCGATTCCTTTGACAAGTCTAAGTTGATTTGACCTGCACCCTTCAAACGGACTAGTTGAATTGCCTCTTCTCATTGGTCTGCCGACTCTGCGCATTTTGAAGTGAGGTTCTTGCTTTGGCCATGTGTCACCGCTCGGAAATCCGCAGGATGCAAGCCCCATGAACGACGCACTGAAGGTCGTGATCATCGTCGTGGCCAGCTTGGCTGGCATTGTGCTGATCGCCTTGTTGGTGTTCCTTGGAAGCTCAGCCAGCACACCCACTTGGGATGGAGAGAGTTGTCCGCACTCATGCGGCCATGAAGCTGGTTCCATAGGGCAAGCCCATGTTGAACCATCTTGGAGAATCCTTACGGTTAGCTTGCAATGCACCTCGGAGTCTTGCACTGCTTGTGACCCAGGATATCACGCGTTCCTGATCGCCTCTGGAATGACAACGAAGGAGAGCGCCTGGAGGGTACATTTTCAGATGTCAAGGTCATCAGGCTCCCCGCGGCTTGTGGAAGATGAGCTCGGTTTACAGGAGCACCTGGGCAAATCGCGAGCACAGATTGCCGAGGAGCTGCAGAGGGCGCGGGGTCGCAGGGACCAAACATTCAAGCCAAGAGTTCTAGACGTTCCAGTCTAGCAGTTTTGGGAACGTTTGTGCAGACATTCATGACCATGTCGATGGCAGAGCCCAATCTCAATGACTGGCTTTGAGGACTCTCCATCTGAGAGTCAGCTCAAGTGGATGGCCTTGCTTTGACCCTGGCACTACTTCTTCCTATCCCTTTCAATGGCTCAGAAGTTCCATTGAGACCAAGCCTCATTTCCAGCCTCATTGTTTCGCAAGCTGAAGAGCATGGATTGTGAGCGTAAAAACCGACCTGGAAAGATGTCCCTCCAAGTGATCTTGTAGAGGATGCTCCCCAAAGATCTTGAACAGTGAAGTTGTATACACATGATCCTCTCATGGTTCCTGTACACAAATCATGACAAGAGACCCTACCCAGACATCTTGCGCAGAGATCCTGCAAACGTCTCCATGGCATCTTGCTCTGGCCCTTCGTAGGGAAGATCCTTTTGAAGAGGTCTCGTGCAGACCGCCCGATTTAATAAGAACAGCTCACTGCTCGGGTTCAGGAGCTGGTGAATATCGTGATGTTGCTCACATGCAATTGCCTTCCTTGGTGTGTAGGGAGAAATCCAAAGAAACGGTAAATTGCCTTGGTTTCAAAACGGTTTGCAGGAACTTCCAGGTTTCCTTGAGTGTGTTCAAGAAGTGAACTGCAGTTCCTTCCTTAGCTTCATGGCCTTCCTTGGTGTTTGTGTGGTTCACCCCATTTGACAAATGTTTAAGCCTGATTTCAGGAGCCGACGCTCTTCGCAGCCCGTGGCCCGCGTCTCTACGACCCAAGACAGCCCAGCTCTCAGATCTGGGCAGCTGCACCATAATATGGGTGCGTCTTTTTTTAGGGGACTCCCCAAAACGGTAGTTGTCCTTTGGTTGCCCTTTAAACCGGAAAACCCTGAAACATGACAGACGCCATATGTTGGTTGCAGCATTGCAACTTCTGTGCTTAAACAGTGTCCGACAGCACGCATAGTGTGCCGTTCATTGAAATCACCTTGCTACATCTGAGGTTCATCCTGGTGTGAGCTCGTACTGAAGGCATGACACTCTGGTAAGGCTCATCTTTTGTTGTAAATAGATGCGTATGTTTCACAGGGGTTGACTGCTGATCTGTGACAACAGCTCTAGCCGTGTTGGGCTGCTTCAGGCGCACCTTGGCTGTTGGTCAACCCCATAGTGGACTTGCATGAAATGGGCCCTAGAAGCAGAGAGCATGCCGTCTCAGTATCGAGCCCCGCTGCGCAGCAGTGCAGTGGCACCACCCCGGTCCGACATGGCCGAGGTAAGGTCTGCAAGTTCCACATGCTCTAAGGGCATTGTGGCAAGATGAAGAATGTTGCAACATGAGCTGGGCAGCAAGCGGCCCTTACAGCACACCAATGCCAGCTCCTTGCTCCCTCGCCTACTCAGCTGCTGTGTTGTAGCTCGGTATCCTTCGATGCAAAGATGTTTGGGTACCGCGGTACCTCACAAAAAGGACAGGGGTGTGGAGGCGATTCTTTTGCCAGACAGGCGTTAGTGATGCATCAACATTCCTCTGTTGCACCCGCTTCTTCAAGTCGGTGCCACAACTCCAATCAGAGTTCCACCGTGCATCAATCCGAGGCAGAACCACAAGCGCGGAGGTGTGGTTTGGATGGTTTATGCACTGAGAAAGAGGTGCCTAACAAGCACCCCCCGTGCGCCTCGCAGGATGCCAATGCAAAACTGCAGCATGCCGCAGCAGTCCCAGAACGTCGAGTTTCGTAGGGGCATGTTTCAAGGGTCCAAATTTTTGGTTTTGCGACTGTCACTCATTCCCAGTGCAAAAGGCTTGGAACTTGTTGGCATCCCAAGTGGATTTGGCTGAGCGTTTTGTGCAACGCAGGCTCGATTGCTGCGGGCGGCCTTCACAGGTGACCAGGCTTGCGCTGCGCACCAGCCAGTGGCCGAAGCTAGCTGTTATCGGATACCAGCGAGCGATGCTTGGGTTGGCCATTTGAGATCAAATGGAAGTACGGAAGAGCAGCAAGACACGAACCAGGAGACATGTGTGAGCCCTTTGCCACATTCCCTGCCAACGGTCAGTTTCTGCTGGCCTCCCTTGTAAACGGATGAACCACGATTCCAGCTTGTGTTGACACTTAGCCACACATCTTGAGCGCGTCACAACCACACGCAAGGTTACAGGTCATGAGGAAATGGACTGGTGATGATGCCATGGCCTGCTGCCAGACTTTCAGGAGGCACTTCAGTGCAGCATTCACAGTGACTTGAACGTTCCATGAACAAACGGAGGCGAACCAAAGATCCCCACTCAAGTCCTGCAAGGACCTGGGACCTTTCTGCAAGAAAGAATGCAGAAAGAAATGTCAAGAAACATCAGCAGGACAGAGCTGCATCGCATCAGTAGCCCCCTCTTATCCATGACTTCCTGGGACGTGTCCAAAAAACGAGGAGGTTGCAAACAAGCAACGGCACACATCCCCAGCTAGGGAAAAGAGCTTGAACAAACGGAGGCGAACCAAAGGCTCTTACTCGAGTTCCGTGAAAGCGCGCAAAGAAATGCAAAAACAGAAGAACAATCAGCAGGAGAACCTGACTACATCAGTAGCACCCCTATACCTCACTTTAGCAAGGGATAGTTGTCGGCAACCAACAACACACATCCCCAGACAGACAACAAAAACTTGAACAAACGGAGGCAAACCATAGGGGCCCCTACTCAAGTCCTACGGGGGGGGGGGGGGGCTTTCCAAAGAAAATAATGCAAACAAAAGAAGCATACGCAGAACAGAGCTCAATTGCATTAGTTGCACTCCATCCATCACACACAGCTTCTTTACTATGTCCATTGCTATGCGTGCGCGCGTGAAACACATGTAAGACAAACCCACACCCGTCTCTGCTCATTGCCATTGCCGTCCTGATGCAAAGAGACATGAATCAACGAGGTCAGACAACAGGTTTCTTCCCATATCTAGTTTCTCCTGTGCTCATGCATTGTACCTGTAAGACACATACACGCAAACAGGCCTGCAATGTCTGCGGTTTGAGCCGGCGGCTGATGAAGTAAGCTCTTTCTTGCTGACCGAAACGAAAGGCCCCCACAAGTGATGGATGGGTGTGCTACTGGTGTAAACAGCTTTTTGGTGCTGATGCTTCTTGTTTTTGTTTGTGTTTCAGCTCTTTCACGGGGCCGAATAGGGGCCTTTGGTTCGCCTCCGTTTGCTCGAGTTCTTTTCCCTAGCTGATGTGTGCCGTTTATTTTGAAGCTTCCTCGTTTTTTTTGGACAGGTCCCCAGAAGCGGGTGGAGCTACTCTTTCCCTGCTGCTTCTTTTTTTTCCTCATGTTTTCGTCCCAGGACTTGAGTGGGGACCTTTGGTGTCCTTCATTTGTTCAGGGTCTTTCCCCTAGCCTGGGGTGCCTGTAGGTGAGTCTTTTGAGCCCAGCCACTTTTGCGGAGCTTCTGAGATTCTAAAAAAGAGAGAGTACAATTCGAACGAGAAACACATTCACTGACAAAGGACATTTTTGGATCTTACTCACTTGCAAGCCTGAAGCTAAAAGCACATTGAAATTGACAAAGGACATGTTTGGATCTTGCCGACTTACAAGTCTGAGGCCAAAGACACATTGACACTGACAAAGGACTTTTTTGGATATTACTCACAAGTCTGAAGCCAAACACACACATGACTGACAAAGGACATGTTTGGGTCTTACTCACTTACAAGTCTGAAGCCAAACACGCTGAAACTGACAAGGGACATGTTTCGATCTTACTCAACTACAAGTCTGGAGCCAAAGACACATTGAACCTGACAAAGGACATGTGTGGATCTTACTCATTTGAAAGCCTGAAGCCAAAAGCACATTGAAACTGACAGTCAGTTTCAGTGTGTTTGGCTTCAGGCTTGCAAATGCGTAAGATCCAAACATGTCTCTTGTCAGTTTCAATGTGTTTTTGGCTTCAGACTTGTAAGTGTTTAAGATCCAAATATGTCCTTTGTCAGTGTCAATGTGTCTTTGGCCTCAGACTTGTAAGTCAGTAAGATCCAACCATGTCCTGGGACATGTTTCGATCTTCCTCAACTACAAGTCTGGAGCCAAACACCAATTGAAACTGGCAAAGGACATGTTTGGGTCTCTTTCTCACTTACAAGTCTGAAGCCAAAACCACATCGAAACGGACATGCAACAAAAGCGATCTGAAAAAGGACATGCTTGAATTTCACTGAGTTACAAGCCTGGAACCGAAAAAGAAATCCGAGAAATCGACAAACACAAGAAAACAAATGCTAGCAGAGATGATGAGGTGTGCCAACAATTTCCCTGCCAAATTGTTTGCTTCCCGATTTCTCTTTTTTGTTTTTTCTTCTTCTTTTAACTTTTGACTTGCCCTTCCTGGCTGCCAGTGTTTCTTGCTCCGTTTGCATGTTTCGGATAAGGAATTCGTTTTCAAAGGAGTTTGATGCAAGTTACATTTAATCGGAAACACTTCAAGTAGAGTTTCTTAGCTTGGCCAGTTCCTTTCCAAGTGTGTTTTTGGATTTTGAATGGAACTAATGACATGTTTTTGTTCTTTTACCTGGCCTGCTCCTTAAACACGGGTGAAACACTTTGTAACAAACTACATGCAATTTCAGTTCTATTACTCAATGATACAAACAGTCTAATTGACATTTATTGTGATGACTTTCTATGAAAATGCCAATTAAGTTGAATCAAGAATCAAATGCACATTCACACGTACGCACTTTGCAATTTAAGTCCTATCGTAAAGTAGACATGCTAACTGATTTCTTCCTCCTTAAACTCTACTAATCCTCTCTCGCTGCAGTTGCTTTGCTGCAAACTGACCTGTTTCCTTGTTTGCAAAATGAGTGATTTGCACATGTCCTCGGTCATTTCGGCATTTGCAGCAATTTTCTAGGTATGTCGTTTTGGTGATGCCGGTGATGCTGAGCTGGTGATGCTGAGGATGCAACAGGATGCTGGGCAGGTGGCCGCCGGGGAAGAGGAGGGGTAATGTAGTAGCAGGTAGGGGGACGAGCTGCATTTCTTGTGTCCAACATGCCGGCTGCTGTTGGCAGATGTATTGGACTCCCTGCAAGGGCCGCACAAGAAGCAAAACCTTCGCCAGTCACAGCGAGAATTGTAGGTCACTGTTGGAGACGGTTCGTGCAGAAATGGGCATGCTTCTTGTAGACCAACAGACGCAGGTACCACCGCCGCATTGGCCATTTGCGCAAGAGGCGGATCGATTTACAGGCAGGAGTCTATCGGCAAAGATTGGGCTTAATCGCAGTGAATGTAGTATGAGCTAGTAGTGAGACGTGCCCCCGGTTTAGTCAACCTGGACTGGGTTTGGGAGGGGCATCCCAATCTGTTGAATGAAATTTCCACTGGTACACAAGGACACCGCCTATTCCTCAATCAAGGGTTTCTTTTTCTCAATCCAGCGTGCTCCCAGACGCTTTTTGGGGCTGCTGGATGAGTTTAGAAATGGGAATGCCCTTGCCCAAGTGTTGCTAAGGTCACCAATTAGTCAAGAGGCACCATGTGAAGATTGTGGGATTCTTGTGTTGGCATTCGTGGGAAGAATGGCACAGATTCTTATTGCTTACAATCTTGTTGCTCTTGTCATGGGCTTTTAAAGCACCTACACTGAAGCCGACTTGCTTGTGCACGCCTCGGGCAGATTACGTTGGTGCATAAAGAATGGGCCATGACCAAACCGGCCAGCCGAAAGATTACAATGTCAAAAACAGACATGCATGGGTATAGCTCAAAATTGACCACCGGGGTTCCGCAGGTTTTAGTCTACCTTTCCATTTACCCGGGTTCCATTTTGGACCCCTATTTTTGAGCGACACCCATATGCAAACATAATGAGCTGTTAATATGACAATCGTAGCGTAGGATGAATATGGCCAACTCCCAAAGCCCTCAAGGTAATCTTGGAGAAGAAAGACAATTGTACATACAAAATACTAATAATAAAGACGTAGGAATGCAATGCTCTTTACAACAGAAATCGGTAGTTCTTATAATTTATGAAGTGATAATGAACTCATGATACCAATGTAACATGAATAGAATATTGATATGAACAAGAACACGAGATGTCAAGAGTTTTATGGATGTGAACAACAGCCAAGATGACAACGACTTGATGTGAAGGCTTTCTACCTTTGTATTTCCTGCTAAAGTATTATCTATGATATACATGGTGAACATGTCCAACAGTTATTCCAAATAAGATAGACATATGATTTGGGTATATGACTTTTTTTTTGCATTCGTGTTGGTGAGAATTGCCACACAAGCAAGTTGGTGGATTTCAGGACCAAGATCCTCGAAAAGGCAAGAACGTTGGTTGCGGTCTATTGTCCTGTGCAGATCGGAGTTCCGACAGTCTGCTTATGCACTCCACACGTCCAGGATGGGCGACTTCAGGCTGGGATGCAGACCAGCCGCGGGCTTTTCCACCCGAACCCCGCTGCGACTGCTGTCTCGGGCCACCAGTGAGTCTGAGATGCAACAAGCACACGCGTTGTTTTGTTTTGTTTGAGAAGCGATTCAGATGCAGGCGTCCGCTTTTGTGTCGGAAAGAATAAGCAAAATGCGTGTTTAGATGCAAAGAAAAAGCAAAAGGCTGGCTGAATGCAAACCGTGACCCAGCCTCGGAGTAGCAATCCACGGATCGCAGAGTATTTGGACTGGATCTCACCCTCTTTCTCTCACTTAGCTACTGAACACTACTCACTGAGCAAGCTGCCTGAGGACACTACGAAGCATACCATCATCCAGGGCACTGACAGGCAAATAAGAAGTACGCTGAGACTTGAAACCGGAGCTCAGTTTCTTTGCCCGGAACCTGCTGGGACTCCTGACCGACGTCCCCTTTCGCTTCCAGAGCGGCAGCAGATTTCCCGCTTCCTCAAGCGAGTCTTTTTGCCAGTTGATTTCCCACATTGTGTCACGGAGAATTACTTGGGCTTTGCCAAATACACATTCTTGCAATTATTCTTTAGCCATATGTCTCGCGTGCTGGCTACTCAAGCAATGCTTCTTGCAGTGGGTGTCAGTACGCATCACAGCATTCCAATGGCAGCTGTCACTGCATGGGTCTTGAAGGATGGTATTGGACATTTGGTGGCCATAGCATTTGGAACGCTGATCAACCAGCGGTTTGACTCCGATCCAAAGCGCTTTCGCTTCCAAGCAGCCACGCTCGGGAAACTGGCCGACTCGGTGTCCATCCTCACGCTGCATTGGCCGCAGTACTTCCTGCCGCTCTCCGTTTTGGGCGGCGCCTTCAGCAGGTTGAGCACCAACATGGGCGCGAGTTGCAGGGCCAAGGTCTACGAGACCTTTGCGCTGACTGGCAACCTGGGCGACATCATGAGGCGCCATGGTTTTGTAAAATGGCATCAAGCGACTCTCTACTGGTAGTATCAGGCATCAAGCAACTTTGTACTATTCTACTGGTAGACAGGTAGTATCAGGGTTTCTCGATTTTCACGAAAAGAACCCAGGAGTAGACTCCCATTTTGTCGGCGAGACCGTCCCTTTGGCAAACATCGTCAACGACTGAGGTGCAGCACGGCTCAGAGTACGGCTGCGCAGCTCTTGGGTACTGCCCTGGGTGCTGCTGTGGGCCCTTTCCTGGGCAGCAACTTGACGATGCTCATGTCGGGGCCCTTGTGACTTGCAAGAATCTCCCATAGGCATCCGCTTCTAGCTCCCAGGTCTTGCAGCATCTTGCTCTCGCTTGCTTGCATGTGCCTTGGTCGGGTGCTGCGCATGTGGGGCTTAGCATTGACTTCTTTTTTGGGTGACAAAGGGATGAGACACCTATTCCACCTTGCGTCACTTGGCAGACACAGAGCATGCATTTTGACTATCAAAGTACACTCGCGCTTGTGATGGCACTGGGCTGCCGCCCCCTTTCTCGATATGCTGCGAAGGTCTTGCTGCTATCGAGCGACGTGCGTGATTCAGTTGTCTTCATTGCGCCCCTGCTGCGCTTAATGGAGTATTGGGATGCCGCATGTTTAGTCATGCATTTCAAGCATGGACGTATCATGTGAATACTGATGATATGAACATAAATGTAAGATACAGGCGCCAGATTTTGGAAGCCGCGCGGTGCTGGGATTGAGAGATACACGTAGACTTGACATTGCCTTTGCCACACAGAAGCTCAGAAAAGCAGTCAGACACTGGCAAAGATGAGGAACCGGCAACGTGGTGAGCTGATTTTCCAAGATGCGGCACAGCAGATATGCCGCTTCGATGAGAAAGGCCCGAGACAGCTACTGGTACCTGTTTTCATGATTCGATTCAGTCAGTGTCAGGCATCCAGCCGCTTGATGATCTTCTCCGCATGCACCGAACCCAGGTTCTTCACCAATATACCATTGAAACATTCCAACTCACACGAACTCACATCAGGGTTCCCTCTGTACTGAAGTTTCGCGCACAAGCTGCGACGGTGTCTTTCAACCCCGAGGCCAAATGTTAGAGAAGTGCAGGAGCAGGAGGCGACGTGAAGCCGAGTTGTGTTGAAAGATGTCTCTTTTGCAGCGTTTTAGCTTTGTGATATTTGTTGGCCTATTCTAATAAAACAGCTCGTGTACGAGGTGTCAGGCGACCAGCTCCTCAGGTGAGCAATGGAGTCTATCTTTCTCTCGCAGGTCTTTGTCAGCTCGTTTCGCTCAAAGTTGGCGTTTGGATTGGAGGCCTGGCAACTTGAATGAGCACGGCTTTGTGCTATGACTGCTTCAGGGCTGAATTCCATTCTATCATGGGCATGGGCATCAATTTGCTGGTGGAGCCACTGCGGTGCGCAGGTAAACCCTCCAATGGCTTCCTCGCATTGCCTGCTGATGTCCATCCAGGAAGCGCAAGACTGCGCTTTTCTGCTGGCAGCCCCGCGCTCACTTGGGCTCAGTCCGTGTGACGCTGTCCAGAAGCGCTAAGCCACTTTGTTTGTGCTCGCTTGAAGGTACGCCGGCAAAGAGGGAAGGCCGCCATAGCTTTGTGGAACTTCTGGCATGCCTTGCTTGAGCTTTGAGAGTGTTGAGGTTGTTTTTGATGTTTGCAAATTTGCAAGCACATCGCTGTGCCTCAGTGACAAACACGACAAAATACAGACTTGAAATGTACAACCACAGGTGCGCAACTGATGGCTTGCGCACAAATGCAGACATGGAGTATGGGTTGAGGAGGGGCTGGGGCGGGCTGGGAGTACTGTGCAGGTGTCACCAATGCTTGTGGCTGGGGTTGGCTTGTGGCGGGGCTGGGGTGTTCGGTGGAGTGGAATTGGGCTGGAGTGGGTTGGGGTGGGGCCAAGTGGGTGGTCTGGCACTTACCCCCACCATGTGTGTGACGAGTTGACTGCATGCATGTCAGGTGCACAAACAGCCAAAGCGTACAATTGACAGATGCCGTACTTCCATGCGCGAATACCACGGCAACCACTCTGTAGGCACACACACACACAGAGACGACAAGAAACCCACCTGTCAAGCACAGGACAACCACAAACACATTCAGCACTAAGCTAAGCAGAATGCCGACTACCATATACACACACCATTCACACAGACAAGCATGGATTACACGCTCCTGCCGCGTCCAAACGTAATAAAGCACGACCATGATCACAGCGCACATGCACTCAATGTTATCACACATCGTGACAGAGGCAGTCAGGGTAGCCATTATCAGCAGAATATTTGAAAACACACACGCACACGAAGATACGAAGATACAAAGACACGCAGATACAAAGACAAATACACATGGGCACAAAGACAATCAACGACACACATACAGAACGATGCACAAAGGCTCACAGACACAAAGACACACACACACACACACACCGACAATCACACAAAGACACCAGCCACAAGTACACAAAGACAGAACGAGATGCAAAGGCACAAAGATCGAAAGTCTGGCATCAGACACACACACACACACAGACACACCGCGAACAGAATAACAAAGCACACACACAAACAGCAGCAACAACCACCCAAGCCACCAGCAAACGCACACACACACACCCACACGCACACACACACACACAAACACAAACACAAAAACAAACACAAACACAAGCACAAGCACAAGCACAAGCACAAACACAAACACAAACACAAACACAAGCACAAGCACAAGCACAAGCACAAGCACAAGCACAAGCACAAGCACAAGCACAAGCACAAACACAAACACACACACACACACACTCAAAAAGGATCATGAACGTAAACCCGATACGGTCATTTGTGCTGCGACAAGGGGTGAGAGGGATGTGCAACTTGTGCCAGGTATCAGTCAAAGGCTACGCCAAACGACGTGCTGCAGGGCTTCCTGCAGGCATGCTGGGAGAGCAGATGCTGTAGAAATGGGGGCTTGCATGCTAGCTGTTAACATGGAATTACAAGGATCATCGCTCAAGGGGCACTCAGTCAAATACGTTTTCCGAACGGACTTGTAAGGGACTGACATGCAGAACCATGACGGCTGTACCGGGAACCAAATGCGGGTTGTTCGAATTTTGGTGCCTGCAAATCACCCCCTTTGGCCGGCCTTCCGCCAACCTTTCGGGGCTAGATGTTTTCCTTTTAACGAGAGCAAGTTTTCAAAAGGCCCATTTACGCTATGCCGAATTCGGTGATGAAGTTTTGTATTTGTTCAGCGTTGCGCCGTCGCTGGCCTTCCGCCAACGATGATTCATGTCGCGATCGCGGCAAAAGCATCGCGTTGAGGCCAGCCTCATGCGCCAGCTGCTGGTCCAGGCACAGGGCAATTCACAACACGCCAATTATTTGTATCACGTGAATGCTCCGATCTGGGGCGTAAAAATGGCCAACAATGAGTCCACCGCATTATCCATTTAGTTTGGGAGGACATATTTGGAGTTCTGAGGATTTCTACAGTTTGACCGGGCAAGGAAATTTATCCATGGCAAGCGTGCCAAGCTCAGGTGCCAGGCAACTGGCCAGATGGCGCAGCCCTGAGATACAGACTGCCAAACTTGCCGGACCAACCGCATGGAGCCCTGTGGCAAAAGCTCACAGTTTCGATGATTTGATGTGGACCCGTTGGCATCAGCTTGCAGCTGTTTCAGTTTTCTATCTTGCAGAAAGAGTTGGTCGGAAAATCGTTTGTAATGTAAGCTACCCAGCAGAATAGTGTATATCGACCACGTCCTGTCTTGACTTGGAATATCTGCGGTGAGATCCGGTGTAGGCATGCTAGGATTGCAAGTGGTGTGACACTGATGATCTTGGCACGTCTGATTCCTTGTGACGAGAAGTCCAACTCATCGCTACGAGCCTCAGCTGAGCTGTACCCAGTTCTCCCGTGCGTTTGGTTGCTTCATGTTTGTGTGGAGTGTGATTGTCTTGCCGAGTTTGTCATGGCAAGCTCTGTGCGCAAATGCACGCCTATTCACCTTTTTGACGCGTGTGTCTGTGTGTGTGTGTGGGTGCGCTTTGTTTACGGCTAGCTTGCGGCTACTTCATTTTTGTATGTTCCTCGAAGCTGGCATTGAGGACTGCTTTTGCAGCTTGAATTGGCCGCACAAATTTGTACGATACGAATCAAGCCAGTCTATATTGATCTTGGTTGTGCTGCCTTGACTGGACATATCTGCTGTGAGTTCTGGTGTGTGCATGGGTTGCAAGTGGTGTGGCGCTGATGATCTTGGCACGTTTGATTCCTTGTGACGAGAAGTCCAACTCATCGCTACGAGCCTCAGCTGAGCTGTACCCAGTTCTCCCGTGCGTTTGATTGCTTCATGTTTGTGTTGAGTGTGATTGTCTTGTCGAGTTTGTCATGGCAAGCTCTGTGCGTAAAATGCACGTGTATTTACTTTATGGGCGCGAGTGTCTGTGTGTGTGTGTGTATGAGGGCGTGTGTTTTTGCTACGCCATCTTGCAGCTACTTCAGTTTTGTGTGTTCCTCGATGTTGGCATTGAAGACTTTTGCAGCTTGAGTTGGCCGCACAAGTTTGTATGATCCGAATCAGGCAAGTCTATATTGATCTTGGTTGTGCTGCCTTGACTGGACATACCTGCTGTGAGTTCTGGTGTGTGGATGGGTTGCAAGTGGTGTGGCGCTGATGATCTTGGCACGTCTGATTCCTTGTGACGAGAAGTCCAACTCATCGCTACGAGCCTCAGCTGAGCTGTACCCAGTTCTCCCGTGCGTTTGGTTGCTTCATGTTTGTGTGGAGTGTGATTGTCTTGCCGAGTTTGTCATGGCAAGCTCTGTGCGTAAAATGCACGTGTATTTACTTTATGGGCGCGAGTGTCTGTGTGTGTGTGAGGGCGTGTGTTTTTGCTACGCCATCTTGCAGCTACTTCAGTTTTGTGTGTTCCTCGAAGCTGGCATGGAGGACTTTTGCAGCTTGAGTTGGCCCCACAAATTTGTACGATACGAATCAGGCCAGTCTATATTGATCTTGGTTGTGCTGCCTTGACTGGACATACCTGCTGTGAGTTCTGGTGTGTGCATGGGTTGCAAGTGGTGTGGCGCTGATGATCTTGGCACGTTTGATGATTTCTTGTGACGAGAAGTCCAACTCATCGCTACGAGCCTCAGCTGAGCTGTACCCAGTTCTCCCGTGCGTTTGGTTGCTTCATGTTTGTGTGGAGTGTGATTGTCTTGCCGAGTTTGTCATGGCAAGCTCTGTGCGTAAAATGCACGTGTATTTACTTTATGGGCGCGAGTGTCTGTGTGTGTGTGAGGGCGTGTGTTTTTGCTACGCCATCTTGCAGCTACTTCAGTTTTGTGTGTTCCTCGAAGCTGGCATGGAGGACTTTTGCAGCTTGAGTTGGCCCCACAAATTTGTACGATACGAATCAGGCCAGTCTATATTGATCTTGGTTGTGCTGCCTTGACTGGACATACCTGCTGTGAGTTCTGGTGTGTGCATGGGTTGCAAGTGGTGTGGCGCTGATGATCTTGGCACGTTTGATTCCTTGTGACGAGAAGTCCAACTCATCGCTACGAGCCTCAGCTGAGCTGTACCCAGTTCTCCCGTGCGTTTGGTTGCTTCATGTTTGTGTGGAGTGTGATTGTCTTGCCGAGTTTGTCATGGCAAGCTCTGTGCGTAAAATGCACGTGTATTTACTTTATGGGCGCGAGTGTCTGTGTGTGTGTGAGGGCGTGTGTTTTTGCTACGCCATCTTGCAGCTACTTCAGTTTTGTGTGTTCCTCGAAGCTGGCATGGAGGACTTTTGCAGCTTGAGTTGGCCCCACAAATTTGTACGATACGAATCAGGCCAGTCTATATTGATCTTGGTTGTGCTGCCTTGACTGGACATACCTGCTGTGAGTTCTGGTGTGTGCATGGGTTGCAAGTGGTGTGGCGCTGATGATCTTGGCACGTTTGATTCCTTGTGACGAGAAGTCCAACTCATCGCTACGAGCCTCAGCTGAGCTGTACCCAGTTCTCCCGTGCGTTTGTTTGCTTCATGTTTGTGTGGAGTGTGATTGTCTTGGCGAGTTTGTCATGGCAAGCTCTGTGCGTAAATGCACGTGTACTTACTTTATGGGCGCGAGTGTCTCTGTGTGTGTGAGGGCGTGTGCTTTGTTTACGGCTAGCTCGCGGCTACTTCATTTTTGTATGTTCCTCGAAGCTGGCATTGAGGACTTTTGCAGCTTGAGTTGGCCGCACAAATTTGTATGATGCGAATCAATCCAGTCTATATGGATCTTTGTTGCGCTGCCTTGACTGGACATATTTGCTCTGAGTTCTGGTGTGTGCATGGGTTGCAAGTGGTGTGGCGCTGATGATCTTGGCACGTTTGATTCCTTGTGACGAGAAGTCCAACTCATCGCTACGAGCCTCAGCTGAGCTGTACCCAGTTCTCCCGTGCGTTTGGTTGCTTCATGTTTGTGTTCAATGTGATTGTCTTGATGAGTTTGTCATGGCAAGCTCTGTGCGCAAATGCACGCGTATTTGTCTTATTGACGCGAGTGTCTGTGTGTGTGTGTGTGAGGGCGTGTGTTTTTGCTACGGCCAGCTTGCAGCTACTTCAGTTTTGTGTGTTCCTCGATGTTGGCATTGAGGACTTTTGCAGCTTGAGTTGGCCGCACAAATTTGTATGATACGAATCAGGGCAGTGTATATTGATCTTGGTTGTGCTGCCTTGACTGGACATACCTGCTGTGAGTTCTGGTGTGTGCATGGGTTGCAAGTGGTGTGGCGCTGATGATCTTGGCACGTTTGATTCCTTGTGACGAGAAGTCCAACTCATCGCTACGAGCCTCAGCTGAGCTGTACCCAGTTCTCCCGTGCGTTTGGTTGCTTCATGTTTGTGTTGAGTGTGATTGTCTTGACGAGTTTGCAATGGCAAGCTCTGTGCGTAAATGCACGTGTATTTACTTTATGGGCGTATGTGTGTGTGTGTGTGTTTTGTCAGGGCCAGGCGCCGGGGTTCGCCCACACCCATCTTGGAGCCTGCATGTCAGCCATGTTGACAATTGCTTCAGGCTTTGTCTAGGCTCCAGGATGTTAGGCTGGAGCGATCTACCACTTTCTGCCCGCCAACTTGTGCGAGCCTCGCTTCATGGTCGCTCCTTGAGGCATCTGGAGCAAACGAGCGTGTGGGAGCACCCAGCAAGTGTCAATAGGCAAGGTTAGGGTCAACTGCGTTTTGGGTTTAAGGTTTTGGTTCAACTGAGTTTAGGTTTGGGGTCAACTGAGTTTAGTTTAGGGTTTCAGGTTTTGGTTTAGGGTCAACTGAGTTTCGGGTTTAAGGCTTTGGCTGCTTTGCAACATGGCTACTTTTTCTGCATGAGGTCATTGCACAGTGTCCACCTCGGGGTTCCCAGGAACAAGGAAAACATGGGGAATGTTAACTTTTGGCATTCCGTTTCATAAAACGGATCTCGAGGAGTTGAGGCTTGCCCGCTGCCCGAATATGCTGAAATGCTGGCCCTGCCACGATTTTTGGAGGTCCCGAAACGTTGTTCCCGAGGGCCGCAGGCAAACCGCAGCTCCTGGCCGTTTTGTTACGGCCAGCTTGCAGCTACTTCATTTGTGTGTTCCTCGATGTTGGCATTGAGGACTTTTGCAGCTTGAGTTGGCCGCACAAGTTTGTACGACCCGAATCAGGCAAGTCTATATTGATCTTGGTTGTGCTGCCTTGACTGGACATACCTGCTGTGAGTTCTGGTGTGTGCATGGGTTGCAAGTGGTGTGGCGCTGATGATCTTGGCACGTTTGATGATTTCTTGTGACGAGAAGTCCAACTCATCGCTACGAGCCTCAGCTGAGCTGTACCCAGTTCTCCCGTGCGTTTGATTGCTTCATGTTTGTGGAGTGTGATTGTCTTGACGAGTTTGTCATGGCAAGCTCTGTGCGTAAATGTACGTGTATTGACTTTATGGGCGCGAGTGTTTGTGTGTGTGTGTGTATGAGGGCGTGTGTTTTTGCTTTGCCATCTTGCAGCTACTGCAGTTTTGTGTGTTCCTCGATGTTGGCATTGAGGACTTTTGCAGCTTGAGTTGGCCGCACAAATTTGTACGATACGAATCAGGCCAGTCTATATTGATCTTGGTTGTGCTGCCTTGACTGGACATACCTGCTGTGAGTTCTGGTGTGTGCATGGGTTGCAAGTGGTGTGGCGCTGATGATCTTGGCACGTTTGATTCCTTGTGACGAGAAGTCCAACTCATCGCTACGAGCCTCAGCTGAGCTGTACCCACTTCTCCCGTGCGTTTGGTTGCTTCATGTTTGTGTGGAGTGTGATTGTCTTGACGAGTTTGTCATGGCAAGCTCTGTGCGTAAATGCAGGTGTATTTACTTTATGGGCGCGAGTGTCTCTGTGTGTGTGAGGGCGTGTGCTTTGTTTACGGCTAGCTCGCTTCTACTTCATTTTTGTATGTTCCTCGAAGCTGGCATTGAGGACTTTTGCAGCTTGAGTTGGCCGCACAAATTTGTATGATGCGAATCAAACCAGTCTATATGGATCTTTGTTGCGCTGCCTTGACTGGACATATCTGCTGTGAGTTCTGGTGTGGGCATGGGTTGCAAGTTGTGTGGCGCTGATGATCTTGGCACGTTTGATTCCTTGTGACGAGAAGTCCAACTCATCGCTACGAGCCTCAGCTGAGCTGTGCCCAGTTCTCCCGTGCGTTTGGTTGCTTCATGTTTGTGTGGAGTGTGATTGTCTTGACGAGTTTGTCATGGCAAGCTCTGTGCGTAAATGCACGTGTATTTACTTTATGGGCGCGACTGTCTGTGTGTGTGAGGGCGTGTGTTTTTGCTACGGCCAGCTTGCAGCTACTTCAGTTTTGTGTGTTCCTCGATGTTGGCATTGAGGACTTTTGCAGCTTGAGTTGGCCGCACAAATTTGTATGATGCGAATCAATCCAGTCTATATGGATCTTTGTTGCGCTGCCTTGACTGGACATACCTGCTGTGAGTTCTGGTGTGGGCATGGGATTGAAGTGCTGCGAGCCTCAGCTGAGCTGTACCCAGTTTTCCCGTGCGTTTCAACGCTTCATGTTTGTGTTGAGTGTGATTGTTTTGATGAGTTTGTCATGGCAAGTTCTGTGCGCAAATGCACGCCTATTTGTCTTATTGACACGAGTGTCTGTGTGTGCGTGAGGGCGTGTGTTTTTGCTACGGCCAGCTTGCAGCTAGTTCATCTTTGTGTGTTCCTTGATGTTGGCATTGAGGACTTTTGCAGCTTGAGTTGGCCGCACAAATTTGTACGATACAAATCAGGCCAGTCTATATTGATCTTGGTTGTGCTGCCTTGACTGGACATACCTGCTGTGAGTTCTGGTGTGTGTATGGGTTGCAAGTGGTGTGGCGCTGATGATCTTGGCACGTTTGATTCCTTGTGACGAGAAGTCCAACTCATCGCTACGAGCCTCAGCTGAGCTGTACCCAGTTCTCCCGTGTGTTTGGTTGCTTCATGTTTGTGTTGAGTGTCATTGTCTTGACGAGTTTGCAATGGCAAGCTCTGTGCGTAAATGCACGTGTATTTACTATATGGGCGCATGTGTGTGTGTGTGTGTTTTGTCAGGGCCAGGCGCCGGGGTTCGCCCACACCCATCTTGGAGCCTGCATGTCAGCCATGTTGACAATTGCTTCAGGCTTTGTCTAGGCTCCAGGATGTTAGGCTGGAGCGATCTACCACTTTCTGCCCGCCAACTTGTGCGAGCCTCGCTTCATGGTCGCTCCTTGAGGCATCTGGAGCAAACGAGCGCGTGGGAGCACCCAGCAAGTGTCAATAGGCAAGGTTAGGGTCAACTGCGTTTTGGGTTTAAGGTTTTGGTTCAACTGAGTTTAGGTTTGGGGTCAACTGAGTTTAGTTTAGGGTTTCAGGTTTTGGTTTAGGGTCAACTGAGTTTCGGGTTTAAGGTTTTGGCTGCTTTGCAACATGGCTACTTTTTCTGCATGAGGTCATTGCACAGTGTCCACCTCGGGGTTCCCAGGAACAAGGAAAACATGGGGAATGTTAACTTTTGGCATTCCGTTTCATAAAACGGATCTCGAGGAGTTGAGGCTTGCCCGCTGCCCGACTATGCTGAAATGCTGGCCCTGCCACGAATTTTGGAGGTCCCGAAACGTTCGAGGGCCGCGGGCAAACCGCAGCTGCTGGCCGTTTTGTTACGGCCAGCTTGCAGCTACTTCATTTGTATTTTCCTCGATGTTGGCATTGAGGACTTTTGCAGCTTGAGTTGGCCGCACAAGTTTGTACGATCCGAATCAGGCCAGTCTATATTTATCTTGGTTGTGCTGCCTTGACTGGACATATCTGCTGTGAGTTCTGGTGTGTGCATGGGTTGCAAGTGGTGTGGCGCTGATGATCTTGGCACGTTTGATTCCTTGTGACGAGAAGTCCAACTCATCGCTACGAGCCTCAGCTGAGCTGTGCCCAGTTCTCCCGTGCGTTTGGTTGCTTCATGTTTGTGTGGAGTGTGATTGTCTTGACGTTTGTCATGGCAAGCTCTGTGCGTAAATGCACGTGTATTTACTTTATGGGCGCGACTGTCTGTGTGTGTGTGTGTGTGAGGGCGTGTGTTTTTGCTACGGCCAGCTTGCAGCTACTTCAGTTTTGTGTGTTCCTCGATGTTGGCATTGAGGACTTTTGCAGCTTGAGTTGGCCGCACAAATTTGTATGATGCGAATCAATCCAGTCTATATGGATCTTTGTTGCGCTGCCTTGACTGGACATACCTGCTGTGAGTTCTGGTGTGGGCATGGGTTTGAAGTGCTGCGAGCCTCAGCTGAGCTGTACCCAGTTTTCCCGTGCGTTTCAACGCTTCATGTTTGTGTTGAGTGTGATTGTCTTGATGAGTTTGTCATGGCAAGTTCTGTGCGCAAATGCACGCCTATTTGTCTTATTGACACGAGTGTCTGTGTGTGCGTGAGGGCGTGTGTTTTTGCTACGGCCAGCTTGCAGCTAGTTCATCTTTGTGTGTTCCTCGATGTTGGCATTGAGGACTTTTGCAGCTTGAGTTGGCCGCACAAATTTGTACGATACAAATCAGGCCAGTCTATATTGATCTTGGTTGTGCTGCCTTGACTGGACATACCTGCTGTGAGTTCTGGTGTGTGCATGGGTTGCAAGTGGTGTGGCGCTGATGATCTTGGCACGTTTGATTCCTTGTGACGAGAAGTCCAACTCATCGCTACGAGCCTCAGCTGAGCTGTACCCAGTTCTCCCGTGTGTTTGGTTGCTTCATGTTTGTGTTGAGTGTCATTGTCTTGATGAGTTTGTCATAGCAAGCTCTGTGCGCAAATGCACGCCTATTTGCCTTATTGACGCGAGTGTCTGTGTGTGTGAGTGTGAGGGCGTGTGTTTTTGCTACGGCCAGCTTGCAGCTAGTTCATCTTTGTGTGTTCCTCGATGTTGGCATTGAGGACTTTTGCAGCTTGAGTTGGCCGCACAAATTTGTACGATCCGAATCAGGGCAGTGTATATTGATCTTGGTTGTGCTGCCTTGACTGGACATACCTGCTGTGAGTTCTGGTGTGTGCATGGGTTGCAAGTGGTGTGGCGCTGATGATCTTGGCACGTTTGATTCCTTGTGACGAGAAGTCCAACTCATCGCTACGAGCCTCAGCTGAGCTGTACCCAGTTCTCCCGTGCGTTTGGTTGCTTCATGTTTGTGTGGAGTGTGATTGTCTTGACGAGTTTGTCATGGCAAGCTCTGTGCGTAAAATGCAGGTGTATTTACTTTACGGGCGCGAGTGTCTGTGTGTGTGTGAGGGCGTGTGTTTTTGCTACGCCATCTTGCAGCTACTTCAGTTTTGTGTGTTCCTCGATGTTGGCATTGAAGACTTTTGCAGCTTGAGTTGGCCGCACAAGTTTGTACGATACGAATCAAACCAGTCTATATTGATCTTGGTTGCGCTGCCTTGACTGGACATACCTGCTGTGAGTTCTGGTGTGTGGATGGGTTGTAAGTGGTGTGGCGCTGATGATCTTGGCACGTTTGATTCCCTGTGACGAGAAGTCCAACTCATCGCTACGAGCCTCAGCTGAGCTGTACCCAGTTCTCCCGTGCGTTTGGTTGCTTCATGTCTGTGTGGATTGTGATTGTTTTGACGAGTTTGTCATGGCAAGCTCTGTGCGTAAAATGCACGTGTATTTACTTTGTGGGCGCGAGTGTCTGTGTGTGTGTGAGGGCGTGTGTTTTTGCTACGCCATCTTGCAGCCAGTTTATCTTTGTGTGTTCCTCGAGTTGGCATTGAGGACTTTTGCAGCTTGAGTTGGCCGCACAAATTTGTACGATACGAATCAGGCCAGTCTATATTGATTTTGGTTGTGCTGCCTTGACTGGACATATCGGCTGTGAGTTCTGGTGTGTGCATGGGTTTCAAGTGGTGTGGCGCAGATGATCTTGGCACGTTTGATTCCTTGTGACGAGAAGTCCAACTCATCGCTACGAGCCTCAGCTGAGCTGTGCCCAATTCTCCCGTGCGTTTGATTGCTTCATGTTTGTGTGGAGTGTGATTGTCTTGTCGAGTTTGTAATGGCAAGCTCTGTGCGCAAATGCACGCCGTTTTACCTTATTGACGTGTGCGTCTGTTTGTGGTTCGGGTTTTGTTGCGGCTAGCTTGCAGCTACCTAATATTTTCGTGTTCCTCGATGCTGGCATTGAGGACTGCTTGTGCACAATGAGTGAGCCGCAATATGATGTTATATATTAAGCAGACCGGTCTATAGTGATGTCTTGTTGTGATGTCTGGTATTTATATATACTAATTGTGTGCCTTATCTTGCAGCTTGTTGCAGTTTGCAGAATGAGTTGGCCGGAAGAATTGGTGGTAAGGCAAGAAGCAGACCAGTCTCTATCGATTGGCATATTCGTTGTGAGATCTGGTGTGGGCATGCTAAGGTTTTAAGTGGTTCGGCACTGACGATCTTGGCCCGGTTGATTCTTTGTGACGAGAGCGTATTTGTGTTGAGCTTGTTGTTGCTGGCGAGTTGTCGAAATTGTCGGCGCTTGTTTGGCTTGCATTGATCGCTAGAATATCGAACTTAGAACGACATGCTTGGTATTGTCCTGTCATTCAAGCATATTCTATGCGCAGCTTCAACTGCATTGAAAGGCTTTATGTCGGCCTGACCACCGTTGGCTTTTTGGCTGCCGTGCCACTTGTATTCTTTCAAGAGAGCTGATGGCACAGCGCGTTCCAAGGTGAGCTCTGTGCTCGCGCAAAGAGGTTGTCTCAGAGCTGGTGGCTGGCAACTTAGCCTGAAGCAGAGTCTTGCCACGCATGCGCTTGAAGGGAACCCGGTGAAAACGTTTGAAATGATTGCACAAGTTGCGCAGCCACTTTGGCGCAATGTGCCAGCGAGCCCAGGCCATATGTGCGCGAAGCCATTGTGTGCCAAGGATGGCCCAGCACTCAGACACGCTCAACATTCAACATGGCATCTAAGATGCGCTGCAGGAGCGCGCATGGTGCCCAAACAAATCCCCAGACAATGTCCGGGCTGGTTCCACACAAGTACAGACCACAAGTAAGTACTAGGCAATGATATGACTTGGAACGAAATTTTGAGTATCTCATTACTCGCGCATAGGATTTTTTAGATTGCCGTGCCCAGGCAAGGTAGCTGGCTGCCCCCCGAACTTGCAGGCCTATGTGTCGGCAAGCTTCAGTCACACAAGAAAATGCTTCTTCCCCTTTTTCAAGAGACGCTATGCGAATCAACAGGTGCACTGCGATTTAAATATTAACAGGCTTCCCAGGTCCCAAAGTGACAGCGCCCACCTGCGGAGGGAGGCCTCATTGTGTGAAGGACTGTCGTCGTTTTAAGTTTCAAGAAGCGCAATCTTTTGTCTGGCCAGTGACAGGGGTATGGAAACTGAGCTGCGAAAGTTGACCACAAACATCAATCTATTCGTTTATATGACTTCTTCATACGTGCAACTGCCACATTTTCACGATGGCTACCCTTCTGTCAGACCGAAGTTACCGCTTCTTACCTTTTTTGAGAGGACGCTATTCGGTCAATCGCTAATCAATTTGACAGCGCACTCTGTGTCGCAGGTATGGGACGGCCAGTTGTCACGCCCTTTAATCTTATAGCGACATCCCGAACCAACATTGACCGCGCACTGCGTAGGCCTTGTGCGTAGGATTCTACCAGGAAAGGGCCAGCGGCCAGCGTCTAGCGGCGTTGCATTCCCGAAATGTCGCTTTGCGACACACCTAGTTTCACTTGACTTGGTCAAAGTCTTTTGTGAGCTGGTCGCATGGAAACGACTGGGGGTCTCAGTGGACTGTGCAGATGAAGGAGCCATCAAGTCCAGAAGCCATTGGGTCCAATGGTCTGGGGCAGGGGTGAAGGGTTGTCCTTGTTTACTTCTAGATGCTACTGCATATAACTATCCTCGCTAAACGGGCCAATGCTATCCCAAGAGAAGGGGGGAGAAGAAGCCAAAACGGGTGGCTGCACGTTTGAGGACGGCTTTCGGATGTTGTAGTATCTGGGCACATCATTTACTTGTCCCGAGGAATGTGGATGTGTTGTTCTTGGACATGAAGGACAATCGAATTGAAGTTCTCTGAGCAGCCGGTTTCACGCGAACTAGATGAGTTCGGCTAGCTCACTTGACCCGTGAAGCGACGTAACGAGCTCCGTCCGGGTGTTGCTTGGAACCGGAAAGGCAAGGCATGGGAGTGGCTTTCCTAGGATATCCTGGGATGCAGTCCCACCCTCGTGAGCCTCCCAAGCACCAGCAGTGAAGTGTGCGAATGCCAAAACAGTGGCGACCATAGATATCATGTGGTGCTGCAATGTCAGCGACATGTGGCGAGTTGAAAAGACATGGAGGCTGGCAACGTTTCCAGTCGATCCACTGCATCCAACTCATTCCGAGCTGCAATCAGTTGTCATTTGCGAAGGTGGCAGCGATGGCTAGCGCTCCCCCGTGGCACTTCGCAACCAGCGTTGCTTGGCAAGCCAGACTCGTGAGAGCTTTCTTGTTGAAACAAGCGCGCTGTCATGTCCGACTTGGTTGCCGAACCGGCGCTCTGACAGGCTTCCAGCGTGCGCGCCATGGCAGGACAGCAAGCTGGCGATTGCATCCTCGCCTTGCATGATGGACAGATATTGACTATGGTTCTGGTAAATTAGTTTCGAATGTCTCGTGTCACGTTCAAAGCCACTTACCGCAAAGCAAATTGGGAAGGAACAAGGCTGCAAATGGCCAGGGAAACCGCAAGAATGGTTTCGAGCTCCTTGCTGTACCGCAGGCCCTGTTGGGGTGAACCACGATGCACAGTGCCTACGAACAGCGCTTGAAGCCCTCGGTGGTTGCCTCAGTTCAGCATAATCTTTTTGCCAGGTATGTTTAGTATACGGGGCGAGCTCGCTTCATGCTGCGGAGATCCCACGTAGGCAAATCTAGTGGGGAGAAGGATTTCGTAGGCAGGCCGCGTAGGCAGGCCGCGTCGGCTGCTCAAGTAAATCCAGCGTAGGCAGGTTCGCGTAGGTGTGCTTTGCCATTAGGGTTCTGTGATCCCAATTTTGCCAGAAAACCTTGCTGACCCCGCGTAGGCCCTGTTCACTGGCAGTTTGTGGCCAGCGGCTTTTCGTAGCTTCTCATGTTGTCTCGGCTCTCCCTGTAGCCTGCTGCAGGCTCACAGATGGCTGTCGCTATAGCAAAAAAGTAGCCCGACATGGCCAAGCAGAAGAAAGGCCACACAAAATGATAGGCCTGCTAGGAAATGCTGTCACCAAACTCAGCTTACGCCTCACCACTTTTCCACGGCCAGTTCATCGTCATAGGTTCAAGAGTGCGAGTCCGGAAAAGGTCCGCAGAGGCACTCCGAGGCACCTACGGGACCGGCTTGCACCCTATGAGTTTACCCACCCGGCATCGTGCAGCATTCGACACACCAGAAAAAAAGAAAAGAACAAAAAAACACCGGCTCTGCTCAGTTGTGTGTTGGTCAGCTCATCACATTATGCCCCTCCATGCATTGACGGGCCCCTTGAGGGGCTCCTGTTGTGCCACTTCTTTCGTTTCCCTTGATGCCTATCCTTGTGATATCACAGAGCGTCGTATCTGAATCAGTGCTTGATGCAATGACTTGCAAGGCTCGGATGGCCTTGAGGGCCAAACGCTGCGGCACTGTCTGGGTGCCGCACATCTGCGTGGGGCTGGCTGCTCAGCACTGGCATGCGTTGGATTGAGCGGGTGTGTGCACTGGGTGGATGAAAAGCTCGAAAGCCATGCAACCTTGAGTCCGAGACTCGGAAACTTGCATACGTTTGGGTGAAGCTTGCCTATCAAGAGGATGATGAGAGGCTTACCCCTTTCAATGCCTTTCAACTTTCAGCAGTTTGGAGCAAGCGACAAAAGGCCAGTCACATTTGAACAGAAAAAGGCGTGTTTTGTGTGAGCCATCCGTCTTGCAAGGATACTGCCCATGTGGACTTCCGGAGTTTGCAGGCGCAAGCCTTTGACTTGGCTACATGGGCGGGCAGGTCCCTCCAAGGAAATGGCTCGGCGACATGCGAACATTTCGGAGTTTAACTCGTTGCCCGTGCCAGCCAAAAGGCGATAGCCACTTTAACCTATTTGACCGGGGCCTAAAGCGATAAGCCTAGCCCTGGTTCATGGCATCTGAGAATCTTTGAATTCTTGAAGCACAATGAGATCCTTCACCTCTCGATTTGACAAGCCTTCAAAGAGCTGGAAGCCCCCGTTCTGATTTTTCATTGGGTCAGTTCACAGGCCGAGCTGGGAGCCTTCGTGGCTGCGGTGGCCTCTCTGTGCAAAGCTGAGACTTGGGTTTGTGGATGCCCTGGGCTTTGGGGGGGGGGGGGGGCAGGGGGGTGTTGCATGGCCGGCAGAGAAGGGGTGTTTGCTTGGGCAATGTGTGGCGCAGCAAAGGCTGACAACATCCTGGCTGCAGATGTTGCCTTTCTTCAAGTCATAGTATTGAGCGAGCCTGACATTTCCTAATTCCCATGCAGCCATGTCCGGAATGCCGGGAGGTGCCTATGCCAGGAAGTACTCTGCAGATCTATGTTGACGCCGTCTGTCAGATCTGTATGGAAACCAAAAGACCCTTCATTCTGCTGCAATGTGGACACGGGCTTTGTACCGACTGTTTCAGGCATTTGAATGAAGAAGGTCTTCAGACTGCTCAAATGCTTGAAGATCCCATGATGCCTGGCCTTCAGAATGACGAAGGCTTTGCTGTATTCAGAGGAAGATGGGAGCGGGCCCATTTCTACTGTGGTCGCAAGCTTGGCCGTGCACGCATCCCTGGCTCGGACGGTCGCTGTGGCCCCAACTTCGGACCTCAGTGTGGCTCGTGCCAGCGCTTCCAGGGGATCCAGGATGCCGCAGATGTGAACTATGCCAGCATGGAGACCTTCAAGGGAAGACATGGGCGAAACGACGAGGGTTTTGAAGTCTTTCCTGGAAGGAATGAGAATGTCTATTGTGGGCGCAAGCTCGGTCGCACAGCAATACCAGGTTCTGGCCGATGTGGACCTGATACGGGACCACAATGTGATTCTTGCAAGCGGTTCCAGACGGGAAGTCCCGGCCCAGGGCCAAGTTGAGTGCGTTCAAAGGGTGCCCTCTACCAGTACAGATGCGACATGTGGCTAGACGAAAAGATGTGCCGCACAAACAATGCCAGTCCGGAGGGTGCCTTTTTCCAAATTTAATTGTAGGAACACATGTTTCACCCGAGGCATAGGTTCTTGATGATCACCCCAAGCGAGCGTGAGCATCAGGTGGGTAAAGCCTTGTTTTCAAGGGCTTCCGACGATTCGGAGCGGCATAATATGTCTCACTCAAGCGTGTCTCACGCGTTTTGCCAAATGCACTTTACAGTTGCAGAATTAGCTCACAGCATGGCACGCATTAGGAAAAGACCGGCCACATTTTTGGAGCACGCGTGCCTGACTGCAACAGTTTGGATAAAAGGCGGTGCTTTGGCTTACCCAAGACTGTCACTGTACTGCAACTGCTGCACATTGAGGAATCCAGCGAACTCGCCCAGAAAAGCGGTCAACGGCTTAGTGGGCAATTCAATCTTTCGCGCGTGACATTGCACTTCCAAGGTGCAAAGGCAATCGCCCAGGGCAGTGCCGGAAGGCTTGCGGAAAGCCAGTCGCATTGCATGCCGTGCATGGAGAATTGATGGACACTGTGAACCGAAGTGCGGAGGTGCAACTAACACGCGTGCAAGGCAAGCCAAACAACTTAGGAAGACTGGATGTGGACAGGGAACCATAGTTTCTGGCAACTTGATAGTGCGTTCTGCAAAATTCGGCCTTGCTGGGCTTGCCTTGCCGGTTTGCCATCATGTGACTGCATCAAGCTGCAAAGATGGGAGGCATCATGAGTGCTGGGGGTCTGGCAGAAGGCCAGAGTGAGGGCAAGCAGGAGCACAGTGGGAAGTTGCGCTCCGCATGCTGTCAAAAGGATTGATCAGATTTCAAAGGCGATGTTGAAATGCATATCTTTGAGCAACACGTGCAGCATTATTGTGTTCTGCAGGTGGCTCACACCATGTGGAGGTATCGTTTTGCCAGGTAATTACCCAGTTATCCAGTCCGCGCTGAAAACATTGGATGACATATTGGCAGAATCGATTAGCAGCAAAAATGAGTTGCCAAGCCGGCTCTTACGGATTGTTTGTTCCATGCATCCTGTTTGGCTTTTGCGGCCTTTGTGGCTTTTGTGACTACTTGACGTCTTGACATTTTTCCAGCCTCGATCTACCCTTAAACAACCTTGATCCAACATGGACCAACCTTAGCTCTATCCTGAATCTACCCCACTGCAACCCTGGACTTAATGCTACACTAGCGACAATCCACCCATAGGCAATCCCCGTCCCACACACACACATAGAGACGCGACAGAGAGACAGACAGAGGGACAGACAGAGAGACAGACAGAGAGACAGGCAGAGAGACAGACAGAGAGAGAGGCAGAGAGACAGACAGAGAGACAGACAGAGACAGACAGAGAGACGGGACAGACAGAGAGACAGATAGACAGACAGACAGAAACGGACAGAGAGAGTGATAGACAAACGGACGGACAGACAGACACAGACAGACAAAAGAAAGACGTAATACAGAAAGACATACAGAATGCAACAAGGACGCGCGTAAACCAAACAAACAATCGAGCGAACGAACAAACAGACTGCAGCTAATAACTCGACAATCAAACCGACCAGCAAGCAAACAAGCAAGCAAGCAAACAAACAAGCATGCAAGCAAACCTACCGAACGAGCAAATCAACCAAACATACGAACGAACAAGCAAACAAATCAACATGTTTTCATCCAGCCACTTCTGATCACAGGCAGAGTACGGCACAAGATGGGCACCCAAGGCAGGAGAGGGGAAGCTGAAACGAATGATTCCAGACGATTGCTGTCAGCACAAGTGTTGGCCATTTTCTCCTCGGAATCGAGGAACCGTTGCCTGTTGGTCGCCTGAAAGTGACTGCCAAGGCAACCAGCGGGCTGTGCCAAGCCGACCTCGCCCGGTTCTAGAAGGCAGATTCAGATGCATTCTTTCAGAGCAAGTCCAAATGTTCGTCAATATGCTCAGTCCAATCTGAAAACTGGGTTCAGATGTCCTTTTGCTTTATGCAAACACATGCATCTGGCCTTCATGCTGTGCAAGGTGTGAGTTCCGCTGGAGGAAGACCGTCGATACCTGGCCTGGTCAAGGCCGACACCGGAAACAAAGCGTTGCGCTTTGAAAAGGCTACCTTGTCGTGAAGCGATTTGGACACGCGCTAAAGCAGTGGGGATGTTTCCATTCGCAGTCTACTGTACTTTCTCTATAGTCAGTACCGCAGCGCAATGACTCTCAATTTCGGCATGCTCTTGACGTGCGACTCCTGAAGCTTCACGCGAGTGAGGCTCAGCAGATCAGCTGCCCACCCACGCCAGAGGACATGGCCTACGATCCTCAATTTCATCAGTGGCACTTGGCGCCTGGGGGGCTGGCCTTGACTCATAGTATTCAGAGCACTTCCAGGATGTTCAGTCCTGGCTCCGCAGGAAACCTCGCCCATGTCAAGCAGCTGTGCTGATCATTGCCAGGGTCGCAAGGAAGCGCTGGATTGAGAGTCATGAAGAGTGGCTAAACTCAACAAGACATTCAAGCTTAGATATTGCAGCCTTCCAAGTCTGACAGCTTAGTCATCTGAAAATGCCTTGTCACAACTTGAGGCCTGAGTACGCCCACTGCGTTGACACGGCGTAAGGAAAGGTGTCTTGACTGCAGCAGCGCGCCCCGCCACAGTCAGCTGTGAAGCGCTGTTCCATCAGGTCTGAGCCTAGCCCTTCCAAGCCCAAGAAGCCAGCGCCACTTGGATGCACTATGAGTGCAACACGGAGTGTCCCGTCTTCTATGTTTGGGAGGGAATTGGGCAACGGTCGAATCTGTTATGGCACGGGGAGCTTTGCGGGCAACATGTGCGAGTCACCCAGGAGCGGAGACGTGCATGCTCGTGAGGCTGGTGTCAGACACAAGCCATGGCTTGAATGTTGAAGTGCCTGAAAGGCTGGGCGAATCATGGATGGTTCCTCGCAAAGCGATGCGGCCACTTGTTTGCAGTTGCACTCACTACTGACATACTTGTGGCCTTTGCGGCAAACTGGAGGAATCAGGGCAGTTGAGCACAAACTAAAATCGCCGCTGGTCATCTTGTTGGAGCAAACCGTGCGAATTGCCTTTCTGTCGCCCTGCCGCCGAGGCGTCTCCGCCGTCCGAGGCACTGGGGAAGTGGGCGGTTTCTAACTGATGAGACGCTGGCGCTTCAGATTGCTTGCCAAAGGGCGCCGTGGAGGGTGTGAATTTTTGAGTATGCCAGGATGCCTCTACAGCAGTGCCGCAGTCATCATATACCAGTGAAGGTGCGGTGCGCATTGGGGACACAAACCAAACCTTGGTGATCAGAGCAATTTACATGGGCACCGTTTGGATACCCGGTGAAATCTTGGACCGCATGATATCGACAGCTCAATAGAGCCGCATCCGGTGTAGCTTTGGTGCATCTTCCTAAGGAGCTTGCACCCCGTCGGTGCCATTCTCACCTCCCTCTCGGTTCCGTCCGGTTTCTGGAGCTGCCGTGGGGCGCCCAACTTTCTATGCAAGGTGCATTTCAGTAAGGAGCTCGGGGTGAGGGCCCGCCAACTTTGCACTGAAGAGCAGGGCAAGGCTTGCACGATTGCACAACGCAATATTAGAGTTTGAAGCACCCTCATGACCCTGCTTTGTTGTCGCTTTGCCAAACTTGACCACAGCGTTGCGTTGTCGCCGATGAGTGCACTAAAATAATTTCGTGTGAATTTCGAATGAGAATGTTTCTTGTTCATCCAATCAATGTTGCATTCGCTGGAAGGCTCCGGAAACCTGCCCCAAAGCGTGGGTCACCTTTCACGTTCCCCACCGGCCCAAGCTAAGCTAAGTGGCCACAAATCCTGCACCGGGTTCGGGGTAGGACTTTCATTCGTGCATCTCAGGGACATTTGTGAGTTCTAGAAACAACCAGCCACAAAGGCTCTAATATGCGTAGATCACTTTAGCAAAGCGCGGTTGGCAGCATAGATTTGAAGAAAGCCTCGCAAAACGATAGGGCCCCCACCAGAGACGATGAGATGCGCAGAACGCTGCAAGGCGCTAGGCCCAAACGATAACTACAAATAACCTCCTTGACGAAGACAAGTGATTGTGACGGTAGCTCATATAATCGCATTTAGATCCGCAGGGTCACGGTTGCTTCCTCTCCCTACGGCACTTCGCTGCATCGTGTCATGGCAAGCTTGCTCTTCTAACGCGGAGACAGCTGAACACGCGGTCTTGACGAGTATCGACCTTGTTTGCTCCATGGTGATTGCCTCGTGATCTCTGCTATGCCGCGCGCCAGATTGAAAGGCCTTGCTGCGACAGCTCTTTTTAACCGAACAAAGATCAAGCATCTGTCAAACAACGTGGATGTTGGAAGGAAATCCAACAGACAAACAGGCCAAGCAGCCTGTTGACTTCTGGCTGAAGGAGGTGGATCATGCCTCCCGAATTCATTGCATGTATTTTTTTCCAGCAGTGAGGTCACTTTGGGCATCTTCGGCCGCATGGCCGCTCTGAGCCTAGGCCTTGCCATCTGGCTCGCGAGCTGGCTCCAAAGAGCCGCAGGCGAGTGACGCTTCGTCGACAAACGCATGGGTTACTGCGAGGGTCAGGAGAGGCTCGATGTCGTGTTTCACAGGGTCCATTTGCTTTGTTTCTTTGTTTCTTTGTTTCTTTCTTTGTTTATTTGTTTGTTTGTCCATTTGCTTTGTTTCTTTGTTTCTTTGTTTGTTTGTTTGTTTGTCCATTTGCTTTGTTTCTTTGCTTCTTTGTTTGTTTGTCCATTTGCTTTGTTTCTTTGCTTCTTTGTTTGTTTGTCCATTTGCTTTGTTTCTTTGTTTCTTTGTTTGTTTGTTTGTTTGTCCATTTGCTTTGTTTCTTTGTTTGTTTGTTTGTTTGTCCATTTGCTTTGTTTCTTTGCTTCTTTGTTTGTTTGTCCATTTGCTTTGTTTCTTTGGTTCTTTGTTTGTTTGTCCATTTGCTTTGTTTCTGTGTTTCTTTGTTTGTTTGTTTGTTTGTCCATTTGCTTTGTTTCTTTGTTTCTTGGTTTGTTTGTCCATTTGCTTTGTTTCCTTGTTTCTTTGTTTGTTTGTCCATTTGCTTTGTTTCTCTGTTTCTTTCTTTGTTTGCTTGTTTGTTTGTCCATTTGCTTTGTTTCTTTGTTTCTTGGCTTTGACCGGCATATCGCTTTGCAATGCTGCGCCAGGCGGCATACCGAGGTGCGCAGCTCAGCCTGCATGACTGCTCCCAGCAACCGGGGCCGTTGTGTGCTGAGCAAATTGTCCAAACTCCGTGGTCGCTCCTGATTGGCATTTCATGGGATTGACACTAGATGACTTGGTCAGCGTTTGTAAAGCTCAGATGTGCATGCTTGTTCTTGCATTTGACGGGCACCCACCCACACACACGCACACGCCTGGCAAAGAGGCCCGCCGGCTGAGTCGAGGACTTTGGATTTGACAGCCAGAAAGAGCCCACAGTCCTGAGAGATTCAGCCACATTGTAACTTCCGTGGTCCAGTCAATACACACGGCCCAATCCAAAATCGTGTTTGTTTTGCTTCAGGATAATTATTCACTGGAGGGAGGGCACGTTTGGAATGGACAGGACACCGCGCTGGCAAGATGTTCAGATGGCATCGGCGGCCAAAGCCTTAGTTTGTGCAATTTCTCAGCCCAGCTGCTGCGGCATCTATCGGAAGCCCGGAGAAGGTCTGGGCGTTGCGGCCCGAAACAAAACGGCAGGCGTGCCTTTTTTTCCGCTGAGTTGTGGCATCTAAACCCCATGCTGCCCTTCGGCTTGGCAACCTGTAGGTGTTCGCCCGGAAATCGCCAGCTTGACCCAAGGCGCGTCGCAGAGAGCAGTCCGCAGAGGCGGGGGCCAGCCCAATTGTGCCAAAGAGATTTGGCCTAGTTGGTTGACATGTTGGGCAACCTGGTGCTGGGCCAGTTGTTGAACCAGCTATTGCAAGACATCAGTGAACCTGCAGTTTTGAAGTGGCTTTAGCCGCTTTTGGGTGAACACTCGGATCAACGTGCATTGCTTGGTAGGCAACCTGTGGGCAGCGCGCTGCGCGCACTCCCCGCCCGGTGCACCACTAAGTCTCAATTGGAAAACGTGAGAATGACATCTCTGAAGGCTCTCCTATGCTTTCCTCATCTGATCTAGACGATTTCGGCGTTTTGGTGGGGTTGTGATGACAGGAATATTTAAGATGAACAATGAAGCCCTTGTGATTTTGGCATGATGCTTGATGCCGAGGGCGCGCATGTTCGAACGCCGAGCAATCCCAGTGCAAAGCCTCAGTCACCTTCCTTTTGCGCTGGAATGGTGGGGCGCATGGGCACAATGCTTCATTCCTGGTGCATCACTTCCAGGTGCAGTTCGTCTTGCGGAAGAGGTCAATAAGGCTGGAAACAAGTGTCAGTGCGCATCACCCGTGCGGGCAATTCCTGGACTGCAACAATAGCCATGCGAGCCTAGCCTTGTCGACGGCAGGGTCACGTTCTCATCAAACGGGATCGGGACAGTCTGAGCCCAAGAGCTGGCGGCTTGCCGCATGTGACTTTCATTGCCCATGGCCTGCCATGGCCTGCAGCATCCAGCGCCAGGTGTGATGAAAACGGCTGCTGCACATTTTCATGCCAGTCCAGGGCAGCGGTTGCCTTAGCTGCCTGAGTTACTTTTTGTAGGCGAGATGATTAGCCGGCGTTGGCTCAGGCCAGTGAACAGCTTGGAATTCTACGCCGTTGGCAGACTGCTTGGCAAGGGGGCCTTCGGAAAGGCGTGGACCTTTCGGGAAGGCACAAAGTTTTTGTTGCGTGTGCCGATATGGCGGTGCTTGTCGAGCCTCTCTGATGTTGCAAAGGTGAATGTAGCGGTGCACAAGGTGACAGAGGAGCATTTTCTGTTTGTGCTTGATCAGTTCCGACCTGATAATGCAGTTGCTCAGTTCCGACCTGATGTTGCAGTTGCGGAACTGCTTGCAGTGCCATCGTGTGCAAGGGGAAGCCGTGTGGATTATGTTCCATTGAGCATGCTCATGCAGCCGCGGAAGTCATTTCCATGTGGGAGTCTTCCGAAAGGTCCTTGTATTCAGGTATTACGGGCAAGCCCTTGTTGTCTTAGTGTTGCCCTTGGCGAAAGCTTCGCGCTGGAGGTCGCGAAAGCGCAAGATGGAGTATCTGTATTTGCCGGCAGTGCGAGCAAAATGAGCACGGACCAAAGTTGGTCGGAGGAAAGCGCGACCTGAGGATTGCAGCAGGAATACTTCTCTGCAAAAGCAACCCCAAGCAGAGAGCAGCTTGCGGGAGGTTTCAAGCTTTCGGGTCCAGTTGAGCACACCTGTCCAGCCGGATTTTCGGTATTGTTAGGCGCAAGATTCGCGAAGGTTTTGCAAAAATCGATGGACCTCCCCGCCAGTTTCCTCACCTGGGTGGCCAACGGGTCCCCTCCTGTGCTGCTGCACAGCTTGCGAGCTGGAGCTGCGGAAGCGCGCTTCGCGTACTATTTTGGAACTGAAAAGTTGCGACTTTCGAGCCGCGGCTGCGGAAGTGTACTTCGTGTACCTCGTTTGATGAATCTTGTAAAAAAGCTGCCCCGCAAAAGCTCCGCAATGGAGGTCATGAAAGTTATCTTTTTTCCCGCGAAGATGGCGTTTCCGGGAACAACGAATTCCAAACAACCGCCGTGTGACTCTACGGTCTTAGATGCTGGTGGCTGGCCAACAAAGCAAGGAGCTTTCTGCGATGAAGCAATGCGACCGTCGTCGCATGACAGAGGCCGGGCTTTAATCATTGCAAGATTCTGAAACTTGCGGGTGCAGCTCAAACTTTGGCGCCCCAGACGCTCGTAGTTATGGTTTGCCAAACGTTCCAAGGTGGGGAACAAGAAGAGCCTCATGCAGGAGGTGCTGCTAGCTCTTGGTTTTGGCTTGCTTTTGTGCGATTGACTAGCCTTTCACTTGTAACTCTGAGAGGTTGCGATCATGAAGCGCCTGACCAGCCATGCGAACATCATTCAGCTGTTCGAGGCGGTCAAACCGCTATTGACTATGGCACGTTGGAGCTACAGAGGTACATATTTTTTATTTCACGTCTTGGTTTTCATTGGCCGTTACTGTCCCTTCAGCCTTTTGGACAGCGCCCAAAAGTGTGAAGCCAGGCTTTTCGATTCAAGTCAAGACGGTTGCGTCAGACCTTCTGAATCTACCATGCATTGGAAGTGATATGGTATTGATTGCCATCGTCCTAAAGCAATTCGCAGGTCATCGAGACGGCCTCTCAAATTGTGCTGATGATGGAGGCTGGGGCCATGTCCCCTCGGAAGCCGAAAGTGCCGGATCAGATGGACATCAGCTTTTGTGCCGACACCATGAATGGAATATTATGTAGTGTAAGATTTCCTCGCAGGGCGACCTTCATTGCACAGGGCATGAGCTATGGCCAGATTTGTCGGTTTGAATGACAGTGGACGCAAGCAACACAGGCTCAGGGGCTCATCTTCACACCAGGGAAGTCAAATGTTCATCGACTGCCCACTGTAAGTAGAACAACCGTCTAGCATTTGAATATAGCCTGTTGCCCGCTTGCACCACAGAGAAAATGAATGGCACCGTGACTCTCGGAGACCACTTCGGTCACATTGCACGCAGAAGTGGCCAGTTTGCCAGTTTGCCACCGGCGGTGACCTCCTACGCTACGTGCGAAATCGACGACGGCTAGCAGAGCCATGCGCGAAGGATGGATGGGTGGGCGGAGATGAGAGCCTAGATGATTCCCTTTGATTTGCCAAGAGCAGGTTTCTGAAGTTCTAGAACGGCAACATGATTGGCGGATATGCTGATTGGCAGTCAGGGCTTGCAAAGTGAGGTCTGGCAAAGCAATGCAACGATCATACTATACGGCTTCAAGATGTGTGGAGTTGTCTTTTTTCAAGGGTCCCAGTTTGCCTTTGGCTTCCCTTTAAAACATCCCCAACACGTCAGGGTGCCCCAAGAAGAAAGAAACAACTGCGAAGGAACGAGATAGGAGGGCTCCGGAAGGCTGTTTACGTCAAGGCTGACAGGAGGGGGTTGGAAGACTATTTTCCTCTTGGGGAAGCCCTCTGTCCACTTCCATGATTGTTGGAGGGAGGCTACTTCTTAAGTGTCGTTTGCCCTGGATGAATCAATGTACTTTGCCAGTTTGCTACTCGGGCACCAAATCATACGGCGACAGCAGATCATTCAACTGGCAAGCTCTCTTTTTCCAATTTTCCTGAGTACAGGCCCACAATGCAAGAGGGTGTGGATTGTACGTAGGACTGCAGCTTGACTCCAAGCATGCTTGACAGGAAGAAAGGGGGCAGGTTGGTATTTGACTATTTTGACGATTTTGGTTCGGACCCAGCAGCATGATTCATGTGGGAGATTCTTTGGTTGTTATATAGCTAAGGGGAGAGCTCCTGCCTGGTGCAGGGTGAAAACATCTTTAAACCTCTCGTACTGCACCTCTATGCCGCCAGAGCCAGCTCCGAGCCAAAAGTCGTGCTGACCTGCGAGACTCGCAGACTTGGGTCACAGCGCGCAGTGCACAGTCCAGGCGCTGCAGTCGCCCCGTGGCCAACTGGACGGCCCGGCCAGACCGCCACGGCCAAGCTCTTCGAAGCCCACACGCCTGGCGAGGTGCATAGCGCCGAGGAAATGCTGACGGAGAAGGACGTTTTCTCAAAGGAGGTCGTCGACTTGGGCGCTGGCGGAGTTTCTGGGCGAGGCGCCGCAGTTTTTCGTCTGAGGGAAGGGGCAGATTGGGTGCCTGGAGCTGAATGCTAGGATCTCTCTGCTCATCAAATCTTCGCGGGCTATCGCGTCCTGCTGTGCGTGAAGGAAGTGAAACCCTGGGCGAACTACGACTCCCAAGCTGCGCTGGCCCGCGCAGTGTCCCACGACAGCCAGTGGCAGATGCTGGACCAGTGCTGGCAGCTGATCGAGCAGAACGAGCACTCCAGGCCCAACAGGCTGCCCCTGCCCACAGTGACAGAGGAGGGCCTCTATGTGGCTAAATGGCCAAGACACCATTCGCAGGTACCTCATGCTGCCCTTGCGCTTCGGGCGCTGCCGCGTACCGGACCCAGAGGCACCGCACCAACGTTTTCATGTCTCCGGAGCCCTTGCAGTTCAATTCTGTCTGTGAGCCTGGGCAACGCGCCGGTGCACGAGCTGAGCCACGCTGATGCTCCCTTTCCCTGCGCCAAATAGCGGTCCGTGCCAACCAGACCTACTATTGCCACTGTAACCCCTTTGTTATGGACTGCTTGAGCGCAGGGCTCGTAAACAAGCTCTGATACTCCGCGCGGCCGAGGGCCAGTTCCTTTGCCAGCCCGACCCCTCGATCTGAGCGGATATCCATCGGTTCCGACCCAAGCCACCAAATCCGAGCTCGAAGGATTTTTTGGTGTCCTTATGTGGTTCGACTAAGGCCCGCAGCGGGAGCCAGTCTTTTTATACAACTGGACCAGTGAACCAGATTCTATGGTGTCCGTTGCAAGGGGTCCCTGTTGCTCCCAGTGAGCTCCGCCTGATGGACAAGAAAACACAACATGCAACCCATCTTGTGCCACTAGTATTTTGCGGTCGGCAAGAACAAATTGAACACTTTTGCACGCCATCCGACTGAGGATCTGCCCGACATTTCTTCGAAACCCAATGGTGATACTTTCGGTGACAGGGATTCCTCCAAAGACATGATTGCAGGCTTCCCTTCAACGAAGACTTTTTGCATCATGACGCACAGTAGATGCAATGGTTCCAATTCCGTATCTATAGATATTTCGGCCCTGTTGGGCAGTTTGTTTTCAGAGATACCTATTTGTTCTCCTGGGAGTGTGTTCTGGCTTAGATCGCAGGACCTCTTCAAGCAGCTCATGGAGGGTTTGGAGCACGTGCACGAGATGCACGTCGTTCACAGGGACAGAACGTAAACGCAGCTTTGAAGATGTGGCTGTTGGTCAAAGAGCAATGGTCCTTTGTCGTGCCTGGGTCTTTTGTGTTGTTTTGTTTCCCGCAGCAAGGGCCTGACAAGTTCTTCGATGACCAGCCTCCATGTTGGCTGACATGTTGGCTGCTTGATGGCAACAACCTGAAACGTGTTTGTCACGACAGCAAGTTTAACAACTCAGCTGCTGCAGGATATCAAGTTAGAGAACTTGCTGCTGGATCCTTTTGGCTGTGTCAAGATCGCAGACTTTGGAGTTGCAGCTGCTGCGGCCTAAGTCAATGCCCTTTTGCGGGGCCTTTGTTGGTTGACGCTTGCATATTCCATCTTGTGACCAGATTGTCCAGCCGGGAAAGAAGCTGCATGACCACTGTGGTACACCATCGTGCCATCCTCAGACACTCTGTGTGGGTGGGTGCCTGCATCACTTCGATTGCTTCACGTATTGCATTTGGGAAAGACACCACGACTTTAGAGCCTCTGGCTCATTCCGCGGACTTCTGCTGCGGTCGCCAGAACGAGTCTTCCCAGGGTCGAATTGGCATTGTTCATTTGTACATTCATGTCAATGTTCCCGGCCCAGAGCGGCTCAGGGGGGATTGGCGCCTTTGCCCCCCCGCCCCCCCGCCGTGGGGACGCGAGGCCCTCCCTGTAGGAAGAGGCCAGCAAACCCACCCTAAACCAACCCTAAGCCCACCCTAAACGAACCCGAACCCGCCCCCCCAAAACTCACGTTAAGCCCTAGGCCCTAGACCCATCCGACAAAACACCTTTCACCCACCCTCCCCCCGTACTAAATCACACTAAAGCCCACCCTGTTTGCCAACGTGTACTATCAAATAATTGTAAGCGCTTCGCGTTGCCCGCCTCGGCCAGAGCCGCAGAGAGCTACAGAATGGCGGGCCAAGCGAAGGCATGCAAAGGTGAAAATTTCTGGGGAATTTGCCTGGTTTCTGGGGGGGGGACTTTTGCCGGTTTTAGAGGGATTTGACGGTTTCTACGTTTTTTTAAGAGGGATTTGATTGGTTTCTGAAGGGGATTTGACTGGTTTCTGACGGAGTTGGACCGGTCAGTCTTTACACATGGGAAGTTGACCGGTTTCTTTTGGCTTCCAGAAGGGGATTTGACTGGTTTCTACGGTTTTAGATCACTTTCTAGAGGTTTGACCGGTTCTTAGGGTTAAAAGATCTCTTTCAAAGTCGCAGGGATCCAAGCTCGCTTCAGCCGGACTGGAGGCAGCTGGAGCAGGGGTTTTGGCCGCGACATGGGGTCGGGGGGCTGCCTAGAGGGGGATCTTCGAGACTGCCAACACTATGCTTGTACTAAAACGTTGCGATTTTCCAGGTGGAGCTGCCAAAGTGCACTACGTGTACACTTGAACTGAACATCTGCCCGCGCAGGCGTCCACGTAGGCACCTGGAAGCTGACAGGTGCTCACATAGGCGCCCTTTGCAGCGGTGTAGGCTCGTAGGCCCGCAAGTAGCGTATAGGCCCGGAACCACCAAAAAACCCGCTGGTAACTCAAAATTCATCACCCCCTCACTGGACTGCGGCGCCAGAATGGTTTCAGAATAATTTTGAATGAAACGCTTTAAGCCCGCCGCGCGAGCCGATTGTGCGATGGAACAAAGTTGATGCGAACGCTTGTGCGTGCCTGCCAGGCAAAACGCCTCACAACGACCAAGGCGACGCGAACGCCAGCCTTCCAAAACACCGTGTGCCTGTGCCGCGGAGTGGCATGCGACGTTGCAGAAGCTATGATCACTCACAGGCGCAACGAAAGGTCATGCAATTACACTTTCTGTGCCTTCTCCAACGGCACAGCGCCTTTTGCCACTTGCGAACGTTTGCGGACGCAGCGATGCATCTGGCGAACACAATTCTGACCCTCCCAGGCCCCTTTCTACAACGGGAGTCCTGCGCTACACATTTCGGGAATCAAAGGGGATTAGTTTGAGCAATGTTTGCCGACGCACAAGGAGTGCTTCTATGTGTTTCTTTGCCGGTTTGGTTCTGGCTTTGGTAAGCTGCAACATGCCTGCCTGTGTTGTGTCAACATCTAGTCACTTCTTCTGGCGAGCCATTCCTAGCCAAAAACACTCCGAACCCGCAAAAAAAACCAACATGTCCGGACCTTTGACTTTGAACACATGTTTGACGGCTGCTACAACTGTGGGCGTGGCTGCCATTGCTCTGACCATGCTTTGAATATAAGGTACATAGCTCCGGAGATCCTGCAGGATGCTGGGTATGAGGGGTTTCCCGTGGACGTGCCCCATGCTGAAGAAGCACCTGGTGCATTGTATATTTGTTGCAGCCTGCTGCATGAGCAGTGTTTGGGTTAAGTTGGATTCAATCCGATTGCATTTGTGAAATTCAAGCAATGCTGGAATTTACCATGCTTCGTGGCACTTCGTGGGAGGTATGGAGTGCCGGAGTCGCCTTGTACGCTATGCTTTGTGGCCGACTTCCCTTCAAGGTGGGATGCCACGATTTGCTTATGAGGTAGGCATAGGCATGCCCGAATTGCCGAATGATGTCCCCTTGGGGGTGCACGTCTCTGGCAATGTGTGTCAGCTGGCATTTCTCGTAACGAGCTAAGCCGACGTGAGCATCGCCAGGGGAAGAGCATGTCGGAACTGAAGCGATACATCCTTCGTGGCAAGCTGGCCGGCCCTGTTTGCAGCGACCTTGCAAGGACAATTTATGACAGGATCCTTTTTGGCTTTCTTGACATAGACTTAGTGCAGACTGCTGCTGGTTGACTGAGGCCAGAGACAGCATGCTTTTGACCCGCCAGGTTTCAATGCCCGAGTCACTTGAGTCCGGCGGGTGAAGAGCTTATTGGGAGCATGCTCACAATGGAGCCCAGGAGAAGTTTGAGCCGACATTCAAGTTCCATAGGTGTCCTTTTTAGGTTATGCATAGAAATAGATGGGTCCCACTGGTTTCGATTGGTTTATTCCATTTACCAGGGCCATCTATTTTCCCAAAAGGCCACCTATGGTTCCATCCCTCTCGTGGCCCTGGGGTTTTGTTTCAGCGTCCTGAAGAGGAGCCGCGCCACCATCAAGCGGGTGCTGTCGCACAGTTTCCTAGAGGTGCATGCCTTTGACTTCAAACGGAAGTTTGTGAGACTGGCGACACGTGCTCTATGTGTTTGGTCAATCTAGTCAAGCTCAGCTTGTCGGGCTTAAGTTTAGGTGTGATTTATTGTCCAAGAATTGACCGAGAGTTCAACCGCAAGGCCCTCTGCGTGTTCCCCGAATGAGTCGAAACGCTGACTTTGCGCTTGTGGTGAATTCTCAGAACACAGATGAATCTTGTCTGGCAGGGCATCGCAAATCGTGCCAAGCAGATCTACGGGTGCTTGCTTTGCCCCATGCACCCAGAGGACAGCGTGGATTGAAGCACTTTTGCGGGGTGGCAATTTGGGCTGTTGTGTGCTCCTGTGTGGATCAGTTCAAACAAAGTGATCGACTCCTTGCATTAGGCAAAACGAATTGCTTGTTCCACGGCAGTTGCTCAGACAATCAGCATCCATGCCCAATGTATTCCCCCATACTTTGCGGGGTAGATGCAAAAATGCAGAAAACTGGCCTTTCCAAATCCCGGAATCCAGGATGGCAAGCCAGAGGGCTGCGTGAACCTCGCACAGTCGGCCCCTACTCGTGTGGGCGACTTGATCACTGCAGAGTGCAATCGGAAACAAGGGACGATTCCATGGAGTAAGTGGCGAAACGTTCCTTCACACTGGCAGGCGGTTCTGCAGAAGGTCATGGATTTTGGATTTCCCTCGGTGCAGCCCTGAGCCACAATGACACAACGGTTGATGCACGTCATGTAGTGGGTGGCATTTCCACAAACATGCAGACTCGGGCTGCCGTGACTCGCCATGGGATGCCACGGGTATGTTCGGAATGTTCAGCTGAGGCTAGCACCGAGGAGTCGTTGACTCTGGGTAGGTTTGATCACGCAACAGCAATGCAACTCAGCTGCAATCCTGTGACTGAATGGGCCAGGGGGCCTGGAAGGGGCATTCGCTGTACGCAGTGCCGCAGGTTCCACCTCGTCGCTCAGCAGGTCATGCGCAGGAGAGCCCGAGCCTTAGCTTCAGCACGGTTTCATCCAAACCAGCAACTCTCTTACTCAGTAGGGAATGGAATGACCAGTATAAACCATCCCTTCTGGTTTCCTTCCAGGAAACAACTGGGTTCATTCCATTTCTCCTTCCCTACCTATCCCACCAGCAAGCTCTTGGCGGTTTGTCACGCTCAGGTAGAAGCGCAGGACTTCCGGCCTGAAGCTGGTCAGAAGCTGAGCGGTTGAAAGGCCGCACCATGTGTTTCCTCATGCTGTGGAGGACGATATCCATTTCCCGCCAATGCAAAACCATTGTTGGTTGGCATTTACAGGGGAATAATAGAGCCATTCCAGGGTTCCTAGGCGGTGCAGGATTTCGTCCATCCACAGTAGGAAACGTGGCACTTGATGTTGCCAGGCCAATTGTTTGTCAAAGGCAGTTGCGATTTTGTTCGCCTGGAGTGGAGTATGTCCGGCATGGCATCTTTCGCAGGCATGCTTGTCAACTTCAAGGATGTCCGAAGACATTTTGCAAACTCGTACTTCCCTCTTCTCAATCTCGGTTTGATCAGCCGAATGGCTACATCAGGGAACAAACATGCATGTCAATAGCAAGGTGATCCTGCACGTTTGCATCCAGATGCTGGCCGCGCGGATGAAGGCGAAGAGGAGTTGTGCAGCTGTGCTACGCAGTGTCCCGGTGACCTTGACTGCTAAGCGGGAGCAGGGTTTATCTCGGGAGCGAGAGGACACAGTCTGTTCAATTGGCAGCTGGATCACCAGAGCCACAATCAAAACCGGGGTAGATGAAGGTTAGTAAGGGACAGTCCCAACCAGAAATAGTTGCGGCCGCCTTTCTAATTCTTTACATGGTTCTGGGATTACGACCATTTTACTACCAGGTTTTGATTATGACTCACCAGGAGCTGGATGGCGGTGGAACTGACGATGTGTCCACACTGATTCGTGCAGCACCCTGCTGAGCTCCGAAGCGTGCAATCAGCCTTTCCCCTGTCAAGTCCAAGGTGGATTTGCCAGAATGTATTGAAGCTGTATTGGTCCTCTTGCGAGAAAGGTTCATTGCTTAATCCAACACTCTTCTCCTAGTGTAGGCCACTGCAAAGCAGTGGATGCTTTCGGGTAGAACGGTAGCACTCTTATGAGCTACGGCTTTTGATTTCAAGTGCAAGCTGCAGCTGGCCGGCAAGATCGTGACAAGGTCGTGATGCCGGGCAGCATGTAAGACCAACTCATTGCGCTTTGCACCTTGCCAAAGGCAGGTCGTTCTTAAGCTAGACACCGGCAAAAACCGGCATGTGTCGACGCTCTCTGTTGATGCCTGTGACAGCTGTTTGTATAAAGAGCAAAGTTGAGATTGTAGGTACTTTCTGAAGTCAACTTCCTTTGTAAGAAAAAAGATAAAGGTCTGCAATCACGGACGGCTCGGGTATGTTAGTTACAGAGCCGCAGCGGGCTGGGGTTTGTTTGAGCAACACAACATGTTCAATGCGCCTTTCCGACCTGTTGCCCAAGGCAGCAGGGGCTTTGGTTCGCATAGACGGAAGGAGCTTGGCTTCAAGCCGTGTACTCTGGTCATGTGTGCCTTTTGGAGTGGATTGTAAGATAAGTTGCGGACGGAGCCGACTTTCGTGGAATATGCAGACCTCGTGGCTGCTTCATGGCCTGAGGTGAGGAATGTTTGTGCAAGAGACATGGTAGATATGGAGCAACACGTTCTGTTAAGAAAAATCCGACGGGCCGTGGGCAAGGAAGGGCTGATGAATTCTGGAATGGCACTTGCCAGAGGTCGTTACTTCAAGTGTGTTGTGCAAGCGGCAGTTGAAGTGCTCAAGAGCATTTAAGGCCAGCCCGGAGGACGTGGTTTGGGGTTCGTGTATTAGAAAAGGTAGTGCATTGCCAACGGCCAACGCATCCTATTTGTCTGGTAGCAGCCCTGCGCAGGCGCAAAAACGGAGCTATTACAGGTCTGTAAAGCACGTAAGCAAACTTGGAAACGACGGAAAGGAAAGTTAACAATGATGACACTTCAAGCAGAATGCCGACAAGAGCATTGCGATCATTGTCCAAGTCATTGACACATCGAAGCCATTCCTGCTTGATTCATAGTCATTTCGTTGTGTATTGCATTTGCATTCTGATGAAGTGACATGGCTTAGTGATTCTGATTGGCATTGTATCATGTCACCATAGCATTTGTAATGTGGGGTTCCTTGCATGAGTATGAAGCACGAAGTGCGGAACGTCTGGATCAGTCGGACATTGGGAGATTGAGAATTTGCACTGGTAGAAGGTTTCGGCCATGTGCTTGCACGATCAATCGAAGCTCGGAGTTTGCTTCGCTTGGCTTCCTTCAAGCACGCTTGTATAAAACGCTACAACATGGAAGAGCCGTTTGGATGTGCACCGCATCCTCATTGAGTCCCCAAGAAACTTTGACACCAAATGTAGGTGCAACATGAGCAGGTGGAGAGCAGATTTGTGCATCAGACGTAACAGTCGAAGCATTTTCGGAATGCGCGGTGACTACTCGAACAATGTGATGCGCTTCTCCAGTGACGCGTAGGGGCGAGCGGATGGAGCCTTTGGCAGAGCCATGGTGCAACGGCAGCCGCTACTCCTACTACCAGGACAGTTTGGGCAGAGCTGCTTGAGGAGTATCGAGCAGCTTTGGGTTCTGGTTGCAGGAACAATGAGATGCGGGTGCTCAGTAGGGAATGAGGGAATGATCCGTATCAACCATCCCTTGTGGTTTTTTTTTGAAGGGGACCCTGGTTCATTTCTCATTCCCTGCTGAGCGCCAGCAAGATGATGAATATCAGATTCCCGCACCTTTGTGAGTTTGCGCGGCCACAAGTCTCAGGCCGTTTGGCTGTCCAGGACAACTCTGGCTTTCCATGGGCAGAGAAAGCCGGCGCCCCACACGGCTTCGAGCTCCAGTGACAGGCCTCGGCAAAGGTTGTCACGTGTTCCGAACTAGGGTCTAAGTTTATGAGTATTCTAATCTGGCTCACAGGCACTGGACAGCTTAGAGGAATTCGTTTTCTCACCATGTTGTTTTTGTTTCAACGTAAATCAGAGAGCCATTTCATCCGGTTTCCCTTTATTGGCGGCTTAGATTGCTGGTCTAGATTGGTGGTTGGGATTTGAACCCTGGTTCTCGTACATCCACGCCCCGCTGGGAAATGCATGCCTTGGGATTTCCCCGCCAAGGTGCGGAAGATTGCTGAGGTCTACGTGCAGCAAGAGAGTGACGTCAATGACTTAAGACGGTATTTCTTCATGAAGGGCTTTTTGCGAGGTAGGGCAAGGCGGTTGGATTGAGCCATTTGGGGCTAATTCATTGAGGAATTGAAGGCCAAGTTTCATGATTACAAGTTGAAGATTGCGGTTCACGCAGCAATGCGCAGATTCAAAACGATTTGAGCTAATGAGGCGCGCGTGCTCTTGTGCCGCCGACGGATCTTTGCCAATCGAGTAGTCAGACTCTGGGTGGAGGACTTGTTGTGGCTGCATTGTCATGTCTGATATGGCCACGGGTCAAAAGCCAAATCGTACCCCCCAGTGAAAATCCCAATCCCCACTAAAATAGACTAACATGGGTGGTGCACCTACCCCAAAATGGTACCATTGGTTTTGACCCACAGCCATATTGATAGTAGTGATTTCACTATTATGTCCTGAAGAAGCGGCAGTTGGGAGATCAGGACGCACCGGAGCGTGGGGGCGTGCTGATATGTGCGCACGATGAGGCTTGGAAGCAGGTGATTAATATAAGTACAGTAGTATATGGTCTTGGCAATGGGGGTCACTGAGTATCCCACACAGCAACAGGAGACTTACCAATATTTTTCATGTGAGCGCCCCCAAAAATGAAGATGTATGACCGGGACATTGGAGCATCTAGTTGCTCTTAAACGTTCCGACCGACAACAGAAAAAGATAATGGGTCATTCTTTGACTGCATTTACTTGTGAGTTCCTTCACAATTCTGTTGCCCTGTGCGCTGCTGCATTGGCGTCTGTTTCGGAGGTTTCTGCAGATGCGGTTGCATCAGAGTTAATGCAGATTACAGGGACAGCAACGATTGCCACATTGATGACAACGGTGCTATGGTCATGACAATCATGATGTTCAGGATGCAATTGCACTTACAGTATCGTGTGAAGAGATCCCTGTTGCTTGGCCTCCAAATCGAGGGAGTCGCGGAGTGTCCGCACTCGACCATAAGCCCGGGGCAAGCTGGACATGAGCAGGCTTTCGGAGGATCAGGGCACTTGTTCATCTCGGATGAGCAACTGTTCCGGCCTTGATTGCTGTCATTTTTTTGCCAACCATATGCCAGCACAAATAGCAGTTGCCCAGCCGTGCCTGTGTCATCATAGTATCATACAGTCAATTGCTACATGGCCATGGGGCATAACCTATGGCTCCATTCTGGGCTGGATAAACATCCATTTGCCACCTATTTTGATGTTCACCAGGGGTACAGGGTTTTGACCCACAGCCACATGAATGCCACGCGGTGAAGTTACTATGGCATGCACTGTGTGGAAATGCCTCAGCCTAAGGCGCCATGCCTACCGCCACTTTGCGCGGGGTCGGCTAGGCATGGCATCCAGCTCTCAGTTTTACATGACCTGTGTAGAAGTTTCAACCGTATAGTTATTGTTTCATTTCTCTGATTTCTCTGCATCTTCCCTTTTTTGTTTATTTTTCGCTTATTTGTCTTCTTTTTCTTTTTCTTTCTCTCTTTCTTCTCTTCCTCCTTCTCTTTTCCTTTCTCTCTATCCTTCTTTATCTCTTCTTTATGTTTGTCTTTCTATGCTTATTCTCTCTCTCTCTCTCTGTCTCGCTGCTCCTAACGCTGCAAAAGTGCTGCGCCTGCCACACTATGGGCGCCTTTCTTCATCTCATTTTTGCGCAGAGCTGTCTCCACCGAACTCTGACACGGGGTTTCCTTCTAGACCTTCTTTCCTTTGAGTAGAGAACCACCTCAAAAGAGGGTTTAAACCGCTCCCTTAAGACGAACCTTTCAGCAGGTACCTCGTTGCATGGGTCGCGTGGTGTACAGGTGGCCTCAGCGCGGCTGACATGGCCGTGGAGCAAGGCTGCTCTGTGCAGGAGCAACATGCGCTGAAGATGTGGCGACATGACCTGCACCTTGTGTTCTTCATAGGAGTCGCTGACGTTTTTTGGAAGAAGATAGGTGCACCATCCAAACCCTCGACTTCTTGGTGTGGCATCCGCCAATCCAGTCTATATGGCTGGTTGATTCGGGCCACCATTTTCCGTCAAAGCGCGAGGAGTATCCACCACCCGTTTGGGTGGACGACCTCATGCAGGTGGCCTTGACCGAAGAGCTTGCAGGAGCCAAAGAGGGTCTGTGGAGTGCCCTGCTTGAGACAAGCATATGACTCATATGACAGTTAAGGATCAAGCAGGTTTTTGCGGAACAAAAAGCAATTGCTGGGGATTGCCTTGAAGATGGCAGGGAGGGAGAGTCTTTCTGGGGAAACTGGAAATGCTGTCCCTCCAAGTTTCTCCTTGTCGACCCCGTTTGTGCGCTTGTTGCCTGTTTCATGTCGTCCCATTCCCCCAATGAATGTGTCAAGCCCAGGTGGCCAGCTTACTAGACGCCGTTTGCTTCGAGGCAGAGTCAGACGCATCGGCATTCAAGGAACTAAAATTGCTGACTGTCACCGGAGAGCAGGTTTACCCCGAAAGGTTGTATTCATGTTGACGACTCAAGCGACCGTTTAGAGTCGGAGTTTCATGCAGTGCACGCGGCATGATCCAGACGGACACAAATGCGCAGGTCAACAGCTTTGGAGATGAATGGCTGGCCTGGCACATTATGATTCAGGTTGATTGCTTTGAGGTTGCATGAGTTTGTTTCCTATCATGTTGAGACGGAGGGATCATTCTACAGCAAATCTGCACAAGGACAAGAGTCAAGAAGGCGATGCGGTCTTAAGGTCTTAAGGCAATGAAACAATGGCAGGTTCATCTACATACCAGGTTTCGGCCTGAAAGCACGGGCTGAGGCACGAGCTTGACCTGGTCGATTTGTTTCATGTAACCAAAGTCAGCAGTCATGCTTCGAGGAGAGTTATCAGGATCATTGGGCAATGTTGACTTTGGAATAAAGTTGCTGGGCATGTATATTATGCTTTCTTTTGGGAATGCCATTGTTGCATTTTGCTGTTGCTTGCCGTTGCTTGACAGAAGCGACCAAGTAACGCATGTTTCATTGGGCATTGGGTGCTGAATTCAGCATCCAAGCTTCCTATCATATCAACTCCACTTACGTGTGTTGGCTCACCAACATGTTTGACCAATTGCAAGCAGTTGCTTATAGTTGGCTCAACCACACCCAATGGGCTACAAAAGCACTGCCATGTGTCATGTTGCCTATATACACCCTGCGCGTGTTCAATGCCGCATTCAAGAAAGCCATCCGGCCAGAACACATTACTTTTGTGAGTTGCAAGCGGCATGTGCTGTTGACAAAACTGCAGCTGTGCACAGATCTTTTAGCATGCAAGAAAGGTTGCTGCCTGCTTTGCGCTTAAGTCCCCCTAATAGGGGCAACGACTGTTCTGGGGGTTGGTTCTGTTGGGGCCGCTCCCACATTGGTAGCGGAGCGGGTTTTGAGGGGTTGTTTGGGGCTGTTGTGGTTTAGGCTGCTCTGCCCCGGATGGCCACTCGCACCCGGCGTGCGGCGCACGCAGAGGCAGAGGCCTCGCCGGTGCCCGGCGAAGACGAGGACCTGGAAGGGTCCGATGAGGCTGCCGCTGCAGCTGGAGCGGCCAATGGCCAGGAGGAGGAGGATCCGCTGCAGGCGGATGATCCCTGGGCACCGGCAGCTGGGCAGGCCGCTGGAGGTGATCGCCCTGGAGCCCAGAGCCCTGGCCATGCCGCGGGAGCATCTGATGGTGATGCGCCACCGCCGGAGTTTGTGAAGTGGTTCTACAACCTCTGGCAACAGCAACGCCATCAGGAGCCGAACTCTTCATCGGCTGGGCCATCTCATGGACGAGGGCAACCCACTGAAGGAGCTGAACGGAGGCCTTCAGGAGATCGTGAACGCGAAGCTGGAGATAATCCGGAGAGCAGAGGGAAGCCCACCCAGGCCAAGGCGTCGAAGAAGAGCAAGGCGGCCGCCCCGAAGCCGCCAAAGAATCCACCGCCACCGCCTCCTGGCCCTGGAGGATCCGGCGGAGGAGGAGACGATGGCGGTGATGAGGAAGACTGGGAGTCGGAAGACGAGCAGCGACGACGGAGAGCCAAGAAGAAGTCCGGCAAGCCGCCATGGAGGGATGGGGATGGCGGCGGAGATGAAAGTGAAGCGTCCAGCTCAACCGCCGGAACGTCGGAGATCAAGCTTGGGCACGGTCAAGATTGAGGAGTTCTACGGTGACCGTGCGAGGTACGTCAAGTGGAAGAAGGCGATCGAGGCGCAGGCGGAGCTCTACCGTTTGGAGGATGCGGAGCTGGCCATGCTGGTTTACCTGAGCACCATGCTGGACTACAGCTACTCTGGGGATTGCTGAACGAGGCCTTCGGAGAAACAGAAGAGGAGCTCTTTGAGAGGGCGGAGGCAGAGTTCATGAATTACCGCAGGTTGCCTGGCCAGTCCGTGGCTTCGTACATCGGCCAGATGAAGCGCTTGAAGGCCCAGTACCACAGAGTGGATCCGGACAGCTACATGTCAGACCGGGCACGGGCACAGAGGCTCCTGAACAAGTGCTCGCTGGGAAGGCGAGAGAGGCTGGATGTTTTCTTCAGTGCTGGAGGCCGCTACATTCCGAGTGACATTGAGCGTGCTCTGAGGTACCGGTGTGGAAAGGTACACGAGGATGAGCGACGTCTACCAGGACGACCACCGCCACCCCAACCATATCGCACGTACAGAGGAGCCGGTACGGTGAGTACAAAGCCGGTGGAGCGGATGGCGGCCAAATGGAGGACCAGACCATCGGGAACTCATGTGGTCGCGGATGATGAGGCATGTTTTGATGAAGAGCCTGAGGATCTGGAGAAGGATGAGGAAGCCTACCAGATCTACCTGGAGATGCTGCGTGAGACGGAAGAGGTCAAGATCGAGGAGCCAGACGAGCTGGAGAAAGAGCTCAGCGTGCTCATGGATGAGGTGGTCTCGGAGGAGGATCTCAAGGAGGCCTATGCCGCTGGCTGGAAAGCGAAGGCAAAACAGGCCGACCACAAGAAGGCACGAGGATGGAGAACCCCCGGTTCGGCTTCAGCTGCCCCTGATGTGAGGAAGAAGAAATCTTCGTGTGCGAGTTGTGGACGGGTTGGGCATTGGCGAGGAGATCCGGAGTGCCCGAATGTTCAGAGCGGAAAGGACAAGCCGCACACCGCCAAGAAGCATCCCTGGAGTTCCGACAGGAGCTCACGGAAGAGCGATTCTGCTGCCAGCGCTCCCAACCAGGCGCGCTTCACCTTCATGGTCGGCGGTGATTACAACCAGGAGGAGACGCCACCGATGGACATCTGCCCTAGGTGCAAATGGCCGATGGCGGAGAGCTGCAAGTTCTGTAGCAACTGCGGGCAGAACCTGTACCGGGATGACAGGATGTCAGAGAACAAGAGAGGTTGGGGCCTGGTAGGAGAAGAGAATGAGGAGACTCTCATCGTTGAGGAGACGGACGATGAAGAGGAGACCCCCAGCTACACCTATGACGTGAAGAGGAGCGCAGTCAAGGAAGCTGCGGGTATGAAGCCGGGGAAGAAGCAAGAGGAGAAGATAAAGCTGAAGCCCAAGGAGGTCATCTCGGTGCTGGACAAGATGACCAAGGAAGAGAAGAAAGAGCTGAGGAAGGCGCTGGAGATTGAAGAGGAGCACTTGGCGTGGACTTCGGTGGAGCGACACCGGATTTTGCGGATGGAAGAGCAGCTTTCAAGGAGTGGTGCGGCGAGCACCAGGGACGCAGGGGCCGATCACTCCCAACGGCGGCGCCAACCGCAAGGTGACAGCTCCGGTCACCAAGGAGCTGCCAAAGCACGCAAGAGAGGCTGCGCTGAGAGATTTCCGGTATGAGCTCTATCAGCGCCAAGTGAAGGGTGGAAAGTTCATTCCGTCCAGATGCTCCCCAACTCCAACAGAGCGTCAAGCAGCGTGCAAGCATCCCTTCGAGCACATCAAGTGGACTGCCAATCAGGAGGGCCACTACGGGAGATGCCGGATGTGTGATTTGAAGCGCGTGCTGTATTTCTCTGACCGCCATGGAGCCCTTGTGAGCAGCCAGCAGAAGTTGGAGGAGATTTATGTGTCTGGAATTTGTCCGGGGCAGGCGATAGCAGACACTGGCTGTCGCACGGCAGTTGGCGGAGGAGCTTGGCACGAAAGCTTGCAGAAGGAGCTCAAAGCCCGCGGTTTGCAGTGGTTTGAGGAGCCAGAGCAGGAGGTGTTCCAGTTTGGAGCAGGAGAGGCCTGCCGCAGCCATCGGGCATACATTTACCCGGTGGGCATCTTCGGGGTGAACACGGCAGTGAGGATATCACGTGTCGATGGAGACGCAGGCAACTGCCCTGGGCTACTCGGACCCAGTGAACTGTCGAGGCGGAGCTGTATGTTCAACTTCGGCACTCGCCAGATGACGCTCTTCGGCATCACCAGAGAGATGAGGCTGACCAATACCAGGCATCCTGCTGTGGACCTGCTGGATTTCGGAGAGATCAGGGATGATTACTGGGGAGCAGCCGGAGGTGAAGAGGTTGAAGGACGTGCTGGTGAGGATGCCGCACACGTTCGCCTTTGTGCAGCAGGACAAGTCTGAGGCCACTTCCGAAGAAGAGACTGAGGAGCCTTCGGAGGGTTGGCAGACCTTGAGGCCGAACTAGGAGAGTTCCCCACCTGCGACATTGAGGAGTCAGGGTCAGTAGAAGACCGGGAGGGAAGATGAAGACAGGTGCTCGTCTACCTCTCATGAATTTGGCATAGAGGTGTTCACAGAAAGCGGCAGCGAGAACAGCGATGAGGAGAAAGAGGACGCAGCCGAAGACATCGATGTGATGGTGGCCGGCAACACGAAGTCTTTCAGTAAGAGCATGCGGTCCAAGTGTGGCCGTGCGGCAAGGGAGATCCGGAAAGCCGGAGAAGACGAGATACGCAGACGCCAGCAACAGCCCCAGCAGCCCCAGGACCCATGCTTGCGGCCCAGCTCACTTCCTTTGAGGAAAAGGTGGAAGGTCCTGGAGGTGTTCACTTGGACTTGCTGCATCAGCATGATGGCCTTGGAAAGAGGCTGGCACATGTGCGAGCCGGTGACCTTGCCGGGATGGGATCTTCGTGATCCCCAGACGAGGGAGGAGGCGCACAACTACATCGACTCCCAAGCTCCGGATTTGTTGGTGCTGGCATGGCCTTGCAGCCCCTGGAGCTCGTTGCAGAACTTAAACTGCAGAACCCCGGAGGCGGTGAGACGACTGGCGCAGAAGAGAAAGGAGCATCGCCCCATGCTGGAGTTTGTTGGAGAGGCTGAGAAGGCAGAGAGCCAGAGGAGGAGCCGTTCTAGGAGAAAACCCCAGGCTGTCGAAAGCCTGGCAAGAGCCCGCCATTGTCGAAGGTTTCAAGGGCATGGCGGAGACGGTGACGGACATGTGTCAATTTGGTCTGCGGAAGCCTGCTGGAGAAGGCGCCCGTCGCTTCATGAAGAAGCCAACCAGGCTGGTGGGCACACCAGAAGTGATCAGACGCTGTAGCCGTAGGTGCAAAGGAAGCCACAAGCACACGCACATCTTCGGCTATTTCAAGTGGCGAGGAAAATGGAGGTCCCTGTCACAGTTTGCAGGAGGCTACACGCCAGACTTTGCTCAGGAGGTGGTGATCGGTGCGGAAGAGTACCTAAGAGGGACGCGCAGGCCAGAGATATTTGTGGAAGGCGCTCACGTGCCAGAAGAGCGCTTCGAAGAGTTCGAGAATGAAGAAAAAGTGGTTCCAGAGGAAGATCTGGAACAGAGGATGCTGCAGGAGGAGCTTATGGACGTTTCCAGAGAGGAGGAAGTCCCAGGAGGCCCAGCGACAGCAGAAGCAGACAAGAGACAGGTTGAGGCTGATGATGGTTCATGGGAGGCTTGGACATCCGAGCCCCGAGACCTTGGAGAGGATGCTACGGCTGGCGGGAGCAGATGGACAGCTTCTGAAAGAATGCCGTGAGCTTCTTCAGTGCCCGGTTTGTGAGGCTTCACAAGCACCCAGGAAGCCGATGCAGCAAGCTCCAAGCATGCGCCCGGTAACTTTCAATGCCTCAGCGCACCTGGATTTGAAGTACGCCAAAGACTGCAAGTCGAAGCTCTACGTGGCATTGAGCATGATAGATCATGCTACCAACTTTCATCGGGCTTGTCTGCTGCGGACAAGGCGCCCCGCGCATGTGGCAAACAAGTTCGTGACTCAGTGGTGTGCCCTGTTTGGGGATCCCACGGAGCTGGTATTCGACCAAGGAGGAGAGTTTGAGAAGGAATTCCTCTTTGAGTTGGAGAAGCGCGCGATCCATTCAAAGGTGGTCGGTGCCTATGCCCCCTGGCAGAACTCCTTTGCGGAAAGGCAGGGTGCTCTACTGGGCGCTGCGTGGCATGCACTCATTGTGGAGCACAAGGCGGAGGACTGGACAGTGATGAAACAGAGCCTTGCTGCAGCGGTCCAAGCCAAGAATGCGACTGTCTCCAGACGCGGTTATTCGGCAAATGCTCTGGTGTTCAGAAGGCCAGCGAACTGGATGATGATGTCCAAGATCGGACAACCCTGGGACAGGCCTTGAATCTGGAAGGCGAATTCAGCAGAGCAATGGAGATGAGAGCCGCAGCGAGGAGAGCATTGCTTCACCAAGATGTTCAGGCAAAGCTCAAGAAGGCACTTCTGCGGAGACCTGGAGGAGAGGCGATTCCCTTTCTTCCTGGCCAGAGTGTATGCTTCTGGGTGCCAGGTCCAAAAAATGTGAGGTACAAGAAGGATCGCTCGGACCTACCGTGATGGTTCGAGAAGGTGAGGAGCGGTACTTCGTGAGCTGGAGAGGAAGATGTCTGCTGTTGTCAGCAGCCAACATGAGGCCCGCAACAGCAGAAGAAGCTGGAGACATGGTGAGATTGATTGGAGTTGGACGCCCAGGAGGCAATTCAGGAGTTGGAAAAGATGAAGTCGTTTCAGGATGCGACATCGTGGAGGCCCCCTTTAGGCCCTACAATGAGGCCAAAGAGATGATGAGAGGCTTGAAGAGCGTGCAAAAAGTGATTCGACACCCGCTGTTCAGAAAGCGGGTGATGGCAAAGAGGAGGCAGAAGCAGAAGCAGCAGCTGAAGCAGAAAGCCCCGGAGGAGAAGCCCATCGTGCCGGAGCCTCTAGGAGGAGTAGATGTTCCGGTGCCGGAAGGTGGAAGTGACTATGAGCCGACTTCACCGAGGTCGAGCGCCTCACAAGACTTTTGGCCTACCGTCCAGCAGATTGAAAAGTGGTACGACGAGATCGATGATGAGGTCATCTCTGATCACAGCGATAGCCCACGAGTGAGGAGACGCCGGTCGCTCGACGATGTGCCCGACCCGATCAGGCAGAAGCGATCGCCGGATGAGCAACTGAGTGAGGAGCAGATCAGGAAGAAGTTCAAAGGAGAATTCTTCCAAACGGTGATGGTCGCCACAGCAGTGGAGGAGTTTCAGGACAAGCACAAAGGCAAAGCCAACTTGCCGTCGAAGGAGCAAGGGAAAGCAAATGCCTGGTTGCCTCGTTCCGAGGTCAAGAAGTTGAGGAGGCTGTTGGACATGCCCATCACTGCAGCGCGACTGCACAAGCAGCCCAGGAAACGGATGCAGAGGCCACCCGGAGGACAGAAGAGAGGTAGGGTGGTCGTGATGCTCAGCAAACGAGCCGCAATGGTGAGTCAGGAAACACTTGAGGAGGTGCAGCAGCAGCCTAGGAGGAAGGCCCCATTCTTGTGGAGGGGCATGACTCTGTTCACCAAGCCAGAGGAAGTGAGAGCAGAGGAGAACATGGCCTATGTTCAACTGGAGGAGGAACTTTTTGAGGTGAGGATCACTCAGCCTCAGGCTTGGAGAGAAATGGTCGAGCGTGAGAGAAAGCTGGAGACCCTGAGCGAGGCGCTCATCTTGAAGCTCAAGAGCTCAGGGAAAGAGCTTGACCCAAGGCTCTTTGACAAGGACGAGGCGGCAGCGTTTGCGGAGAGCGATAAGAATGAGTGGGGAAGCTGGATCAAGAACAAGGTGATCGAGAGGATCAGTCCGGACGTGGCTTGGCAGGTGGACCGGTCCTTGGTGTTTCGTACACCCTTGAGGATGGTGCGCACGAACAAGAGCAAGGAGGCCATGAAGCTCATTGCCAAGTCACGGCTTGTGGTTCCCGGACATCTGGATCCCCAGCTGGGCGACTACCGGACGGACAGTCCGACGGTGGCCAGTGTTGCGGCGCGGATGACGAAAATCATCTGTGCCATGAAGAAGTGGTCCGGGTGGTTCTTCGATGTGTCGACAGCATTCTTGAGTGGAAAGAATGCCACCCGGCAGATCTTGGTCAAAGCTCCACCGGAAGGTTTGCCCGCAGTGGACGGCATGAAGGCTGTTCGCCCTCACGAGCTGATGCGCATCGTGAAGAGTGCCTACGGTTTGCCGGAGGCGCCCCGCCTTTGGTATCTTCGTCTTGTGGAGCTGCTGGAAGAGGGCGGCATGCAGGAGGTTCCCTTTCGCGAGGTCCACGTTTGTCCTGGTGATCCCAAGAAGACGGTGCGAGCCATCTGCGATCTGCATGTCGATGACGGCTTTCTGGCGGGCGAAGAGGGTGAGTTTCACTTTGAGAAGCTCAAGCAGTACATCAACGAGCACTTCAATATCAAGGAGTGGTCCAAGCTCGGTGAGAAGCCGGTACCGCATCAGTGCCCTGGCTCAGAAGTTCAAGGGGCCAAGCTACGCCGACGTCAAGAAGGCGAACAAGACCCTGAAGGATATGAAGGCCCTTGCGGAGTCCGGGGGTGCGATTCTGAAGTACCCGTACATCGGAGGTGAGGTGATGTTCGTGACCTACTTTGATGCTTCCTTGGGCAAGGAGGAAAAAGGTCAGAGTCAGCAGGGGGCGGTTCACTTCATTACTTCAGTGAAGGCGGAGACACAGCCAGCCAATGCGGGGATTTTGGAGTTCAACAGCGGCCGCGTTTCGCGTGTGGTCCGCAGCAGTATGGCTGCGGAAGCAGCATCGATGATGATGGCCGCGGATCACCAGCTCTACAACCGGCTGCTCTGGGAGGCGCTCACCAAGGGGCAGTTGGAGGTGCACGGAGCAGATGGTGGAGACAGGCATCCTGGGCATTCGCTGGTGCCCCACGTTCAAGCAGTACGCGGATGCCCTCACCAAGGAGATGGACACCGAGCAGTTCACGGTGCACAGGCAGTTTTGGGAGCTCTGCATGAAGCAGACCGAACAGGACAAAGTCCTGGAGGAGCGCCGTGCCGCGCTCCGAAGGGGCCAGCGCGAAAGGCGCAAGCTCCGAATGGCCGCTTGAGTCAACAGCAACACACTTTTCCCTCTGTGTGAGTTGCAAGCGGCATGTGCTGTTGACAAAACCGCAGCTGTGCACAGATCTTTTAGCATGCAAGAAAGGTTGCTGCCTGCTTTGCGCTTAAGTCCCCCTAATAGGGGCAACGACTGTTCTGGGGGTTGGTTCTTTTGGGGCCGCTCCCACAACTTTTGGGTAGGCAAGGAGAAACGAGTCGTACTTTGCAAGTGAATGCATACGATTCGCAAGAGCTGAAAGTAGTGACAAGAGCAGGGTTCGTCGAAGAAGAGCATGAATGCATGAGCGATCCAGAGACATGTTTTTTAGCAGTCTCATTCTGAATTCCTGAGATTGTTACGGTGATGATGCAGGGGAGTGATTCCTTATTTGCTTAAAGCTAGCCTGCCAAGCACCATCGCGAATCACCGCAGCAGTTCACTGGTTCGCCCTGCCCTTGGTGCGAGGTTCCTCAGGGCCCGGCGATGCGAGTCGCCTCCAAGCAAGGATCGAATCAGAAGTTGCTTTGTGTGCAGATGTCGTACAATGCAGAAACCATCACAAGCATACATATATATATATATATGCAATTGATCGGTGTGATGAATCCAATGCGCACTTAACACAAAATACTGGAATCCAAACGATAGATATATTGCATCAGTATACACCAATTTCACTCAAGAAGATGTGCGAGTCATGGATTGCCGAACCCGCAGGAATGTCAAAACCTGCGCCGTTTGCAGACCGCGGTCGAGGCAGTATTCTGTTGCGCACCACAGATGATGTCGGAGGGGCGTGCTATCAAATGCAGTGCAGATGTTGCGGTGATTGTAGAGCTCCATTTTGGTAGAGCTTCGATTTTGTAGCATCCCATGTGATCCATATAGCTGTGGAGTCAAAACCAATGGTACCATTTTGGGGTAGGTGCACCACCCATTTTAGAACCTATTCTAGTGGGGATTAGGATGTTCACTGGGGGGTACGATTTGGCTTTTGACCCATGGCCCTATAAGGACGGCAGCGTAAGACTCTGGTCATGTCAGAGTTTTCAGCTCCCTGTGAGGTGGGGCTGGGCGTCCACCGAGGTCAAACTCAGGCAAGCGGTTTGTCTCGCTATTACCAGAGCTATGAAGACAAATTTAAATGGGTGTGGCTCAGAAATAAACAGGAGGGGTAACGCAGGTTTTGGTCCATGTTTCCATTTGCCAGGGTTCCATTTTGGCTACCTATTTGTGACCTACAGCCAAAGGTTCAGTTGTGGAGATCTTGATGTGCTTGCTGTGATTTTTCCTTCACACCATCGGGCCGCGCAGGGTCATTCTGTGGGGACCGGCGCAGAGCCAGCCAAGATCCCCTGGCAGGCAAGTAGACGTCGTGCACGTTTTTTTTACGGCAAACGAGCGAACGAAATGTGCCTCTTGAAGCTGCTGCAGGCCAAGAGCCAGTGATGCCTTTGCGAAGCCGGCTCAGGCAGGCGATTGGCGGCACAAAAGCGCCCTGGTGCTTGAATCTAACGAAAGCATCAGCCCGTTCCATGAAGCATAAGTTCCTTGATTCTGGAGAGCTGCCTGGAGGTCTATGACAAATCACGAAGTGGTCCAAGAGGCGACCACTCTTCCAGGGCTGCCGGGCGAGCCACTCGGCCTAGGCTCGCCGCTCCAGGGCACAGATTGGGGCAATGAGCATGCGGACCTGACACAGTCTCTTGATTCGAAGCATAGCATGCGGTCAGAGCATAGCGTTAGATGCTGGAAAATTGCAACAGCAACCAATGCAGACATTTCGGCCCGCTTTTAGCCAATGACGCCGCTGGATCAGGAAGGTCCCACCCTGAGTGACGGCCCCAACGACCGTGCTAGAAGGCTCAATGTTGGAGTTTGCATGTACCTGTACTCTGCGCGCGCAGTGCAGTATGCAGTGGCATCTGCAGATTTCCTGGACACCTACATCATGGACATATCTGGCAGTAATCAAGTTGTTGGCCAGATTGAGTCCCTGTGTGGCGTCGCAGCGCTTCTGATTTTATTACCCTGCGGATACCTGGCCGACCATTGCAAACGATTGGGTCTTCTTCGCATATTGGCAATTGCAAAGGCCCTGCCCGTCATGATGACCTTTGTTGGCGTGAGGGAAATGAACTTGCAGCTGCTACGAATCGCGCTGGTGCTTCTCGCTGTCGTGACTTGCAGTGATTGGTGGGGATGTGTTGACATGTGCCATCACTGGAGACCATTTTTTGAAAATGTAAATGTTTACTACTTGTAAGATTGCACTGACTAGCTTGATGTTCCACTTGAAAGGATCCCTGTGTACGTGTTTTTGACAGGGAGGAGCACCGCTTGGCACTCATCAGGGGGTAACATAGCGTTCACCTACCCGACAATCAGCAGGACCAATTGCCTCAGATCATCAGTGTCTTCAAAGCATGCAACACAATTTAGGCTTAGCGTAAAAAGATCGGCTTGCTCTGTTCTCACAACAAGCAAATTGTTCTTGTTCGATCGATGTGGCCGCTGAGTCCTGCGTGATGTGAAGCTGCAATTTGCAGGGCGCTGTTGGCTGTTTTTTTACTGCTTCACCAGTGAAATGTCACCGTGGCAAACCTACACGCTTGTCCCTGGCCAGACTTGGCTGAGGTGAATGGAGCTTTTGACCAGGTTTTGCAAGTCTTCCTGGTGGACAACATTCTTTCTGAACAAAGAACACTCCAGCTCAGTCGAAAGGAAATGCTTTCCTGGCTAGGGAGTGCGGTGGGGCCTTTACTTGGGCTTCTGTTGGTGAACTTGCACTCAGACACTTCCTGGTCGATTCCTCTCCTCCAGAACGTGCTTTGTGCAGGGCTGGTGGGCTACCTCTTCGTTGAGCCTTCGGTATTTCTCTTGAAGCCGACTCGCTTGTGCACGAGCGGCCAAGAGCCAACTGATTCCTCTTTGCCTGCTTGGACACAGCAAAGAACTTGCGGGCTTCGCAAGCAATGGCTGGTACCAATATGTACAGAGGCTATGTGGGCTGGAACACAGATCGCTGGATCAATGAGTCTCAAATATGTTCCGCTCTTCTTCCGCAAAGACTTTGGGATAAGCGCATCCGGTTTGATGGTCCTTCGAGTGGCTGAAAACTTGAGCCTGGCGTGCATGAATTGGGGCACACCCGCAATAACTGCAAAGTTGGGCCGTGCTTGGGCTGCGATTTTCTTCATCGCTGCTGGAGGAGTTTTCATGCTTGGAGTGGCCGCGGTGCATCAAACTTGGCTCGCTGCGTTGCTGTTCGTGTTCAGGACCGCTTTTGCCAGAGCAAATGTGCCTTGCGTGCAGTCTATTATTTTTGAGTCGGTCCTGGTGAAGCACAGAGGACGCTGGGCAGATGCTAATCCGCACATATGCGAGGTTTTCCGATTTGTTGATACATGTGATTAGCCATGTCTTTGAATGTCATTCGGAGGTGTTGCGATAGCAACCATCCGTTGGCATTTGGCTCAAGTTCGGATCCGTCGCGACCTCGGATGAGCGTCGCCGGGTCCCCACGTCGATCACCCACGTGTCGGAGGAGAAAGAGACTTCGGCCCGGGGCAGGTTGGTGGGGAGTGCCTGTGCGGTTCATCGTCGACCCAGGTTTGCGGGTATCCTTTTCCCTTTTGGTTTGGTTTGGATTGCGGTTGTTTGGTCACTTTTGGCTTGTTTACCCCAACTTTTCCAATTGCCTGGACGCAGGTCCGTGCCCGAATCACATTACTTCATTGGAGGGCTGCCGCCCACTCTGACCTAGGAGTTTCCTGGCCCACTAGTGGTCCAAGGAACCGAGCCCCCGAAGGCTCAGTGACCAGTGGTTCAGGGGCAGGTTAATAACCCAGAGAAACATACAAAGAGAACAGAGCACACCATTGGTACTTGCTCCCAGAGTTCCGAGGCCCGCGCGTAGGGCCTATTGTAGCCTCATCGACTGGAGCCCGCCTATCTCTGAAATCAGCCCGGTACCGCCTTTGCCAGGCTCCAGTTGACGCGAGTTTTTCGCATTTCCTTCATTTAGACGCTGGTGATCGACCACTTGACTTTGCAGACCCTCGCGGCATTTCATAAGCGGAATTTGTTTTCCTTTGCTAACATTGCTGGCGATGCTCGGAGTGTCGACCGCTTCACCATGCGGACCACCGCGGCATCTACTTTATGCTGGTGATGCTGGGTGTGTGTCCCCGACAAGGACGAAAGAAACATCAGCTTATGGAGCTGAAGCTGCTCAAGACTACAAGTTTCGAGCTGGAGCTGCCAAATGCGACGCGCCTTGTAAAACGATACGGAGGAAAGCATGACAACGCCTGCAAGGGAACGGCAAAGGCCCACGGGCAAGCTTTACAGCCTCATGAGTATGTTAAATAGAACACTGGCTTCGCGGCGCTTCGCGGCACCACGGACGCATCTTGCCTGTGGTACCATGTATGGGAGGCCATTGTTCCTTACTATGTTTCCATAGTTTAGTGGCTTGTAGTCACGAGGAAAACCATGCTTTTCCCAATAGCATATTGTCTGAAATTTGACTTTGGCCCAAATATGGAAAGAGGTTTTCAACTAGCCGACCTTGAAAGCATCCAAGGCTGTAACCTCGTTCAAGTCAGCCACCAATGGAGCAGGTGCTTGGGTTGGTGGCTACTTGGCGGACCGCACGAATGATTATCGAGCTGGCTTCAACCTGACAGCCACTTTGCATTTGCTGTGTGCTCTCCTCTATGTGCCGGTTGCCTTCTTGGTGCCTCCCTAGATTAGTGTGTTGCGTGCTCTTCTTTCGCAGTACGATCGGGGAAAATACACAGTGCGCGGATTCTCCTTCTGTAGATTTACACATGTTTGCCACCGCGCTGGCAAGCCCAGCGATCGCTTCAATGCCTGAGTGCACTAGACTGCAAGGGGTGAAACAACTTCTTGCTTTGGTGCAGGTTATGAAGACGACGATTTGCTGGATGAGCCTTTGTCAGTGCGCCAAAGCGCCGTCTGAAGCTCAGAATTGTCAGCTTGCCTCGAGAAGAGCAAAGTATATGTGCACAAGGCTGGAGGGAATGACTGAAATCCTTGTGTCAGCGAAAAATGGGTTTGCTTGAGGAACAAGACTGGCAAGACTGGTTCGACTCTGGTAGGCAGGGCACCGAACATGGCAGGTGAAAATCCGGTCAATCAGGCGAATCGGGCAATGTTAGTTTATTAACGTTAGCAGATTTAGGAGTTGTTAGCTCCAGGTCTCAATTCACGTTTTGAGACTACTTCGCGAAGTGGAACTTGTGACATGGCAGGCCTATTAGGCGTTAGGGGTATTGCGGAAGGACGCCTCAGGTTCGGATTTTTGCATTTCCTGATCACAGTCAGAAGCATGGCAATGGGATGTCAAGCCGGTTCAGTCAGTCGTAAGACTCGGTTTGACATCACTGCACATCACTGTTTGCATTCTCTTGCCGTCCTCAAGATCAGTCTGAGTCATTTAGACCAACTCAGTCTATCACACGCGGCAGGCCAAGTTACATACAGAGATGTACAGAGCAAGGCACTTGCCGGTGTCCTGCGTCCATTTTGAGAGGCCTTCTCCCAGGCCCTCCTCCGCATCGACCCTGCGCAGACCGCGGGGGCGTCCCAGATCCTTTGGTCTTTTTGAGGCTTTTGCCTCACGCCTGCCTCACTGAGGTGGATACCACCTGGGGTTCCCAAGGCGTGCGCATTGTACCATTGGCCTGCAAGGACCATCGCGGCCTGAGTCTTCTCAAGTTGTCCCATCATGGTGTGCGAGTGTGCTCACCCAAATGTGGAAAGATTCTTTAACTCATTTGCATGTGTGGCGTTTGTTGCTGAAGCCCGTACTGCCATTCAAGTCAGCGCAGCCATTTGAAGAGCTTGCCAGCTTTGGCAGACTTTCAAACTTGTACATAGTTGGCAGCAACACTCAGCAGACAGATCAAACAATGTGTAAAGTCTGAGGTGTTGGACAAGGTGCCATGTCTTAGGATGATGAAGTCACACGGTGGAGACGTGGCATTGCCAGCACTACATACTTTTCTTGCTCGAATATATACATCGGCATCCCTGATCCAAGCCCTTTACTGTCAGCGCGCAGAGTTCGCTTTTCCAGCCAACAGCTTCAGCTTGTCTAAGATGTGCTGCTTCTGTGTGCTGCCATGCCGATGCGTGGCTCAGAGGCCGAATTGGTTGACCCAAAACATCCAAGAGCCAACAGCATTGGGAGCAGCTGATCAAATCATGTCAGACTCTAATGTCACTCGGGTCAATCCATTGATCACCTCCAAACCATTCCCCTTTGCTTTGTTTGCGTTTGTTGACTCCATCTAATGTATCCGTGGGAATTGAGGGAATTATTCGATTGCCTATTTTGTAATACGACATCTAGCATGTTTGGCCCGGTCCAAGTATTGCCCGGTGGCCTTGTGCTTGGGCTCAAGTCACCGCAGAGTCTCAGAGAACATCAGCATCAGCGAACATCAGCATCATGCCAAAGGACGAGACGGAGGCAAGGCTCCTCTCTGTGGGTGATGGCCAAACAAAGGAGGCAGAGCTGGGAATGAAGATGGATGTCGAGGCGGCGAAGTCAACTGCCACAGACATCAAGAAGGAAACCACAGCCTTTGCCAAGGATTTGGGCAATCAGATCGGTACCACCTGGGAAGAGATGCGTGCTGCCAAGTTCACACTGGCATTGGATTCGGAGGACGACACCTGGTGGAAGAAGGGCATCAAGTGCTTCATGACATACTTGATGAAACCCTTGATCATCATCATCATGATCTACGTCTTCATTGGGAAGCAGTTGTACAAGGTGTACCAGATTCTGCCCATTCACCTGCTGGAGATGATCTTCGGGGTTGGCCTGTGCTTTTTCGGGGGCGTGTACTTTGCCTCCATCGCTGCCTTCGAGGCCTTCCGCAACTTCGGGGGGAAGCTGCTGCTGGATGAGCTGGCCCTCTGCTGGGAGCAGGCCATGCTGGTGAAGGAGGCCCATGACGAGGATGAGAAGAAGGACCTCAACGAGGACGGGATTGCGGACGTGCAGCAGATGAGCACCAACGAGCTCATCAACCACAAGGCCAAAGTGGCGATGATGGCTGTCAAGGAGCCGGACCGCTTGATGAAGGCCAGCCAATATCTCTTCACCGCCTGGGTGTCGGTGATCGCGACGCTGAAGTCGCAGTTCGCCAAGACGGTGGCCATCGCTCTGGGCATCGCCGACCAGTTGGAGCTGCCTGCAGTGCAGCTCTTCGGCCCCACGCTGGCCATGCTGCTGGGCAAGGACTTGCAGCACTGGGTGGCCCCCACCATCGGCACGACCATTAAGGTCGTGGCCGTGGTGGTGGCCTCCTACATCCAGGCAGTCATCAGCGCCTTCTACTCGGGACTCCGTGGTGGTCGTCTCTTTGGCGAGGCCTTCATGTACGGCGTGATGCCCTATGTGAGCCCGTATTTGCCCGAGTGCCTCAACGTCAAGGACTTCAACCCGGATGAGTCCTACATTGATGAGATCATCGGATTCCCGCTGGCTGCAGCTGGCTTCTACTATCAGATCACCAACGGCTTTGCACTTGACTTTCCCTACAGCATCATCATGTTCCCCTGCACTGCAGTGGAGTGGATCATCCGCTGGCACATCTACACCTAATCTTGGATGTGAACGGTGCATGCTACAGGCAGACGTTCCCAGCGGAAAGCCTGGTGTGGTACCACGAACCGCATAATTGGTCCTGTCAGCTGCCTGGAAGCAAAGTGTTTTTCCAGTGATGAGTGAAGCTAGCTTCAAGCGTCGATTTCATGCTTGAATGAGCAGGCTTTCCCTTCTCTTTCTAAAATGATGTCTGCGCTGAACTCGTTCTAGCAGCAGCTTGCTTCCATGCAGCTTCCGCCGTGTTTCACATGGTGAAGGCAGGCCGCGTGCGTGCAGACTCCACCAAGGCAAAGCCTTGTGTTTTCACGCTATTCCTTTGAGATGCTGAGCTGACAAGACAGAAACAAACCTTGCGCTCTGATCTTTAAGCCCTTTGTGATACTTGATACATGCTTGCGCATTTGGGGGGTTGATCAATTTTCCTGGCCCCCAAATGACCATCTGAAACCTTTTCCATGTGGAAAATATTGTCTTAGTGGTTTTCCTCCAATGGTCATCCCACGTATCACGGAGCTTTTGATCAACCCCCGGTTTGTGCCTTGGCAAGCCCCAGGCGGGTACCTCGGAGCTCGTGCGCCTCACGCCAAGCGCTTAAGCGCTTGGCTCTGGCTTCTCTTGACCTGCGAGCATGAGACACGGAGGAGACACGTTCGCGTTTGTTTGTTTTGCAGAGAGCAATAAAGGCAATTCCTGCTGGATACGGCCAAAGTCGAGGACCATTCTGCCTTGATCAAGGGAGCTTAATGGTGAACGGTAAGGCAGAGGAACAACCACAAAAAACCTCGAGTCTTGGAAGTGCAAGCAGGACCTTGCGGAGATGTTACAGGCAGTCTGTCCCACGCCAAGCAGGAGCCGCGCATTGCACGCAGAGCGGCACCTTTGACAACTGACAGTGCGATTCGTTGTTGGCACGGCAAAGACTAATTAGTCCATGGGCATTGAAGCTAGCCAATGTACATTGGCTATGCAATGCGATACAGGCATTTCAGGGCTTGAGGGATCATACCAGGAAGACACTCTTGGCGCAGCTGCTTGTTTCATCGACGGCGTCATCACTGCAGCAGGCCCTCGACATTCTAGGCTGCTGCGACTTCACCTGTTTTACGTTGGGTGGATGTGATGAGTGCGGACATTTGGTCCCTTTGCCACTGGCATCTTGGGCGCAGATGCTCGGCATGCTGCACGCAGATCTGCCAACAGCTGCCCAGGCAGCGGCAACACGGGTCTCGGTTTGGGTGGCACGGCTACGGCTGTCGCATGCCTTCCGCCGCCAGCTCCTGGTCAAAGTGGTTTCCCACATCGAGGGGGAGTGCCCTATCCAGCTGAAGGAGTCAGCAGCTTGGGATGGCACATGCTTACGCCTTCAATGCGAGACGCAATCAGCATCAGTCGCTCGTAGACATCTTTGTTTGAATTGAGGCGGCCTGGTGGTGGCTTTGGCTTGGCAGAGGAGAAGTCCGTCCAGGCGACTTTGCTAGAGCCAGAAGAGATCCATTGGTGCTTACACAGTTGGAGTTGAAGGTGCTGCCAGCATAAACTGCACCCAAATATGAAGACTTTGATACTGCACTCATTGTACAGCGTTCTTTCTGTATTTGTTTGTTGAAGCCGCCAGTGGGCGTGTTGCCTGCATACGACTGACTGCCAGTGCTGCCGAGGGTGCTATATCCAGGGTAGTTTCGCTGGATATTGGCGACACCTGCGAGAAGTATGCGGCGGATTTGGGTCCTCGTGCTTACTGCCAGCCTTTGCAGCACTTGAGCCACTGTTTATCTTGTAGAGTGTCTTCCCTAAGTTCGGATGGGAGTGCAGCTTCCTTTGTGGACCTCTAGAGACATGGTCCGCAGCTTAGCCTTGCCTCTATGCTTTCACATTTTTCTCAAAACAATGCAGTGATACGAGATGCATATCAAAAATAGCTCAACCAGTTCAATCAGCTGGTGCAAACACTCTTCGTTTTTCGTTGCATACCGATCTCCAGCCTCGTGCGGAGGCTCGGTTCTCATCATCACCAAGTCTACAGGAGAAGGCGCTTCTTGGTTACACAACCAAGACCTTAAAATGCCAACTCATCGTTGTGACATTGGCTACCCGCCGCGTAAGATTTGACACACACACACACAGAAAAACGCACATGGCCACAACTGCACAGTCGCAGGTAGCAATCTGAAGCCTTGTGCATGCAGTGGCGTGGATGTCCGTCTGACAGTTTGACCAGACATGTAGAATGTCACAATGTGATATTGACACAATGGTGAAGAATGTGAATCTTGTTTTACGACCTTGGGCTTGTAAAAAGCATCACAAGTGACACAAGGCAGTGCAGCTTGCCAAGCGCCATGGAGCAGCATGGGCAACAGGTGATAGGTGTAGCAGATTTTCCTGCAACTTTACTTTTGCCGCTTCTCCAGTAAATAAATTTAGCGTAATCCTGCAAAGGCATCTAGGCTTGACTTCCCATTCCAAACGGGAACGGAGGCTCCTCAGTGCTGGTAGTTTTGCTCGTGCTTTCAATTTGATCGCACCTCGTCCCACCACAACCAACTGGGTGGCTGGAAAAAGAACCCTCGCGCTTGTCGTCTAGGGCCCGCCCCTGAACTTTCTTTGCAGGCCCGGACCACTGTAAACAGATGCTGAGATACCCGCAGAAGCTACGAAGACGCAGTCGCAAGCCAAGATTGGAGAGTCAGACATTTGCAGCGAAGCCGACACCTAAACCGATGCCCAAGCGATCGCCGACTTTTGAGCCGTCCAGCATGGCCCGGCCACTGGTGCTGTAACTTGAGGTGTTTCCTGCCCTTTCAGCCACCCGCAAAAGGTATCTTGGCCCGGGCACAAAAGGACGTTCTTGGAGCTTACCGGCCAAGCAGCTCCAAAATGAACTTTGTGTGTTACATTTGTACCGAAAAGGTGTGTGCTTTCGCGCTGGAGCTGCCGAAGCGTACTTTGTGTACTCCACTTGTAGTGAACTGTTGCAACTTTCGAGCCGGAGCTGCCAGCGTGTACTTCGTATACTGCAATTGTACTGGACATTTGGGACTTTCGAGCTGGAGCTGCCAAAGAGCTGCGATACTAACCGATACCAGGGTACAAGGTTACAGGGGTTGTCCTCGTTTTTTCCAGCCCAATTGGGCGGAACAAATAACCCTATGAAAGTGATGATCCCAATTTGGTTCGGACCCATCAAAATCGCCGCACCACCGCTCAGAATTTGGACATCAGGATTGTGTGCTGCCAGGGCAGCTGCGTGTGTCAAGTATGGGCTGGCGCAAGGAAGGCGCATCTAGCGCAAGTTGAGCCAAAGACAGTCAAAGCAGTTCGCATGCCTGTGGCAAGCAACCGCGAAGTCGCAATACTTGGAACTGCTGTTCCGTCGTATGCCACGCCTCTACCGCCAGAAGGAAAACGGCGATGTGATGGGATCAGCAGAAAGCTAAACATTGTTTTGCGCAAGTCTCACGCAGCCCCCAGATGTCCACAAAGTGCTTTCAAGAGGAGGCTCCCTTCCTGTGTAATTACATTGCTCTCCGTGCCCCGGGTAGGCGCTCTAGGTAGCGTGTGCGCTCATCGGAGCGACATGTAGTGTGTGTTTTGGAAGACCGCCGCTTGGCACAGACAAAACCTGCTCCGGTCGCAAATCCCATTTTTTGGCATTTCCATTGGCTTCTCAAACACGCCACTCGAAAAGGGTACGTGTGTGTGTGTGTGCCTCAGTTTTCGCAGTGTGGTTGCGGTTGACAAGAGCATCATCGAGTTGATGACCATCTCAGCACTCACGCATAACTAGTTCTTCCAGCTGCGCATCAGCAGGTGGTCAGCTGGTTTGTCGCGGAGCCGCCATGTTTGCAAATTTCAATCACACAGTCACAAGAGCCCGGCTGGTTATGAGGGGAGGCGCAATGCATACCACAACGCGTGTCACCCCAGTAGTTGGGGGCATGCCTTTTTCAACAAAAAACAAGAGCCATATTTTGAGCCAACGCTGATGCAGCGTCGCAGGCATCGCTGTCAGATCAGCTGCTCGTGCTTCTGCAAGGCCGTGGAACACTGTTGTGAGATGGTTTCCTTGAACGTAGCTCATTTGTCCTTTTGTTCCCATGGCCACAAGGCACGCAAGGGCAAGAGTAAATGTTTGACATTTGGTTTAGACGGGGCTGGTTGGTAAATGTGAGAACTGCCTTTGTTTTACCCCGAGCCAGCCTCATGCAGGATCCGTGCAGTTGAAAGAGATTTGTATTTGTATGCTTATATTGTTCGCCTCAAGTCTAATGACAGCCCAGCGTGTAGAGAGTTCTCCGTTTTGGGATTGGCCAGCCAGATGCGAAGATGGGAATGCATTTTGGCCGAAGTCTAAATCTGTGAACAATGCATGTGAGCAGTCGGGAACACCTTGGTCTGTTTCTCATGAAATGGCAAAGGAAACCTCGAATTGGTTCAACTGGGGCAAGTGCAGAAGTCGTTCCGCTTGCGATGCTGCTCCGGAGCTGCTGAGGATGCCAAAGCGGACCCGGGGAGTCGAACACCCCAATGTTTTTACCCTGCCGTCCCGCATCGTATGAAAGGATTTAGTAGAACGTCTTGGAATCGCCCTCCCCCCAGGAAAGTCCGAACCGTGCCCCCAGAAAGGGGCGAGGAGAAGGGTAGTAAAGAGGTAAGGAGCATTTCTTATGTCCAACACGCTACAAAATAAGTATTGCTGGCACAATGCTTGTACAAAATTCTCGCGAACCGCTCGTACACACTAGTTTGTCCTAACAGTAGCTGTTCCAAGCAAAATGCATATTGGCCCGCCCGTCCGTGCTCGACTACCCCAGTTTCGACGAGCAGTGGCTCACGCGTGCAACTTGTCATCCGACATTGTGGGCACCGGCATGAGCATCGGACAGTTTACTGCGTTTTGGGGCGACTGGACGGTTCCTAGCTACTCACGCAAGCCGGGGAGGTCTACAATACGTCGCCGCCATGCTCACTGATCGAGATGCAACGCAGACACATGAAAAGCCATGTGGCTGCGAGCCAATTTATAAGGTCCGGAACAGGGTCCGGAACCCACATGCGATCCAGACCTCCGTTCCAGACCTCCGTTCCAGACCTTGCCTAGAAACATGTTCCAGACCTTCCGTTCCAGACCTTGCTTGTGTATATTTATTTCTAGAGTATTGATTCAGATGGTCGTTCTTTGTCCGGTGTGCAAGTGCAATGGCCAAGGCTGAAATGGCGTGGAGCAAGAAAGAAGGAGCAAAGGAGCAAGAAAGACGGAGAAAGAAATGAAGAAAGGAGTATCGGTGTTCGGTGCGATACAATTCCGCCGCTTTCGATACGATACGGTAACGGTTCCGGTTGAAACGACCATGTTTACATGCGGCTTGCTAGCATTCCAAAGTGCAAGCCACTCGCGTAACTGTTCCAGACCCCGTTCCAGACGTGTTCCAAACGCAGCGGAGCAATTTGCCACCAAGTCCACATGCACACACATGCGCCATGTAAGTAGCTGCGCTTCTTACGTGGCCCGCCACCCAAGAAGCCTTCAAGGACGACATGTGCCAGGGCTTTGGAGACAAAGAAGTCTTTGAAGGATACCCTGCATCGGCTTGCGCATCGGTGGACATCGGCTTACGCAGCCTTGTGCGTCGGCTGGCGCGCGTGGCGGGCGTGACTACAGCGCATCGGTGTCCCAATGACGCGAGGGTGGCAACGATGGCGGCGCGCCCCTAGTCGCTTCATCCATCCATCTACCCTTCCATCCATTCATCCATCCATCTATCCATCTTACACTAAATGAACGTGTGCTTGAGAACTCCACGCATGTCCTCCCAGAGGTCCGGAACAAGCGACCTTGCGGAACTGACTCGTTCCAGACGTCCGCGTCACCGCGGAACGTTCCACACCCGAATATTGACCCACGCCCATGTGCTTTGGGCTGTTGCTGGTGGCGGGCCCCAACCGGCCTGGCCAGGCGCATTGCGCGTGTGACTGAGTGACTCAGATCTGGCCTGCCGATGTAATCAGCTTGTCCACGCCTCCACCGCAGTTGAGAAGTTTTCGAAGTTGCAAAGAAGCAGCCCCGTTGCGGTTTGCTCACGCTCAGCCATGGCTAAGTTTACAGCAAAGCCCGTTTTAGGAAAACTTACATTTGGTGGTTTAATAATGTGGTGGCCCTTTTGCCGCGCACGCACAAACACACACACATATATATATATATATGTATACATTTATGTATTCATACATTCGTATATACTTACAGAGCGGGTTATTGCGGGCTTGCGGTGCTTGCCGTGCTTTCAAAAAGAGGCAAGCGCGCAGGCAGCCAGCGCAGAAACAGAGTTTGCGGTTTTGTGCTCCAAACTCACGTTTAATTGGCGCGGGAAACCCGGCCCGTAAATCCAACATCCTCAACGGAATTTGTAGAGGAAGACTCTTGCCGTTAGGGATGAGATCCAGGTTGGGGCATGGAAGGCCGCGTACATGTTGGATGGCTACACGTTGCTGTAGCATCGCGCAGTGGGACTATGGCAGTTTTGCACCCGCCAGGGGCAACCACAACGTGTCCCAAATCCTGAGGCTGGTAAAGTGGTTGGCTGTATCTCGCATTGCGCCGGATTGGGTCAACCTTGGCCGGCGGGAGAGATCGCTGTCATCGAGAAGACTATGGTCTCTTATTCGATGAACCGGACTTGAGGATGACGGTGCAAGGCGGAAGGTTGCCACATCTCCCCGGCCAAGGGAGGAGTGATGAGGGCATGGGATGACATGAATCGTGTGCTGTTTCGGCGCAGCCACGTGTCGGCAATGATGGCATTGGAAGCAGTCGTCGAGAAGCGGGCGGCAAAGTTGTTTGTGACGACAAATCAAACCGATAGGTTTGAGTCGGTGACGGACTACTTCAGGGCCAATCCACATCATGCGGCGCAGTGGGGACGGCGGATGACGACGGTCTGTTAGGAAGCTCGCCCGGCACGATTCGTACTTGTCGTTTTACATTCCCACCGCCTACATGATTGCTGCGTCGGCTGGATACCTGATTCCCCAATCACTGAAGGGGTGAGGAGATCGTAGGTAGCCACAGGCTGATGACGAAGATGCGGGATTTCCTGAAGCACGCAGATCCGCCTTCAACGAAACAGCGCGTGAGGATGGTACTCGGTGGGGCTCAGCCCGAGCCAGAGGCGGTGGAAGTGCAGACCATTCACACCGAGTTAGCCGAGCACACCCGGCCAAGTGCTCAACGCTGCCCCAAGAAGGTGGCAGCTGATGGCCCATGGAGGAAGGAGACCGTCTGAGACGGACCCCTCGTGAGGGGGTTGTGATTGGCCATGTCTTTGATCATTTGGAGGTGTTGCGATAGCGACCATCCGTTGATCCGTCGCGGCCTCGGATGAGGGTCCCCACGTTGATCACCTACGTGTCGGAGGAGAAAGAGACTTCGGCCCGGGGCAGGTTGGTGGGGAGTGTCCGTGCGGTTCATCGTCGACCCAGGTTGCGGGCATCCTTTGTTCTTTTGGTTCGGATTGTAGTTGTTTGGTACTTGTGTGTGGGAAACCCTGATCCTTGGGACCAGGGATTGGCTATTGTTTTGGGGTCTTTCTTTTGTGGCTTGTTTACCCCAAATCACTTTTCGCCCCTGGGCACAGGAGGCCCGTGCTCGAATCACAGCGCGTATTCGCTTTTGTGGCGTGTGTATGCCGCGCGCGCCCCCCCTTGTTTGGCTGCGACTGTTTACGCGTCGCGAGGGATGCTCGCAAGTGACTTGCCGGTTGGAGAATCGCACGCCTGGTCCAGGCTGCTGTATGGTGAGTGAGCTTCAGAGCGCCGTTCTGCTGAGACCTGAGATAGTCAGCGTGTGTGGGAGGGTACATCTTCGGAGGGGCGTGTTCCACTTGGGGCATGTGCAGAACACACGCGCAAACACAAAAGCAAACGTGCATACAACACACTGCTGGTACTTTTCCGTAGAAAGGAAAGGAGTTTAATTCCGTCTGGGTCTTTCTGTCGTCTTGCGTTGGTTCTTCTTTGCAAAAAGAGGCCTCTGACTCCTCGAACAATTCTACATGAGAAAGGTCAAAGCCCTTCTCTGCAGACATATCTGTTGAATAGTGGGATAGGCCCGTAGTTCATGCATGTTTTTGCGAGAAGCAATGCCAGATGAGAGAGCACGCCGTGCAAAGAAACAGGCAAGTCGAGCAGAAGCAGCAGCAAGAAAATCATCACTTTCTCCGATTGGGCAACCGTCGTCGAACTGTTCAAGCGCGATAAAAATGAAGAAATCCCAAAGGGAGGCAGTTGCCCAGTCAAACATGTTGACAGATCTAGTTCGTGTGGCTTCACTCAGAAGCATATGGCACTGGCTCCTGACAAACGGACAGTGAGCGCCAGACCTGAGCAAGTAACTGTTTTGAGTGGAACTCCAGACCAAGCAGCGTTCAAATCAGAGAGAACAGAAGTCACAAAACGAGTAGGCCCAGTCAAGCATGTTGACGGTGTTTTTGCAATCAGACATTCTACAACAGATTCTACAACTGTTTCTATTCCAAGAACATTCTGTTGTTGAAACGCGCGCGCAGACACGCGCGCGCGCACAAGCGCACACAAGCACACACACCGGCCAACACACCAACACACCATCGCACCAACGCGCCAACGCGCCAACGCGCCACCGCGCCGACATGCCAACACGCCAACACGCCATCGCTTCAACACTTCAACGCACCATCGCGTCAATACTTCAACGCGCCAACACACCAACACACAATCACACACACAATCAAACACACAAACAGACAGACAGACAGACAGACAAACAGACAGACAGATAGACAGACAAA